CTTCCGTCGGTCCTGTTGCAGTGGGGTTTCGCCGTGAGGTCAAGCTGCATGAGAGGCGCCAACGTGTGGACTGTGGAGGAAGTTGGTGATGGCCTGCGAGTCGCAAACCGGTACGTGTGTTGGTGGCTCTCTGGATTCTCATTCGATTTACACGTGTAGAGAGAGACCTGGATAGGCTGGTGATGGTATCCGCAACTCAGCTGGGAGAGTTTGGCACCGCCCCAGATTTACGTACCTCGGGACGCCAGAAGAGGCCATGGGCCAGCCTCAATCGGGCCAGGCTTCTCGATTTCGCACTCGGCCTTGCCTGATTTGAAGCCGCCGCCTCCGGCTCGCAAAAACGTGGATAGCGCCAGCAAAGGTGGACTGGGACTGGATTGTTGAAGTGTCTCTGAAAAAGACTGGTACATACACTACACAAATACTTGAAGATCACGTCGTTTTGCCCCCCGGTGTTCCTGACCCTAGTCTCACATTTTCTTTTCTTCTTCTTCTTCTTCTCCTCTTGCTCAGGTACAAAGGCATCTTTCAAAAAAACTGCTGAACCGGCCGGACTCACCTTATTGTTACCCTAGGTACCTTACCGGGCACCTTACCGGCTGTTCAAGTGCAAGCGTCGGCAAGAGCCTTGCCCTGCGCCTGCCTGATTATCTGCCTGCCCTGCCCTGCCTGCTACCTAACGCACCTACCTAGCTTACTCCGTACCTACCTCTAGTATGGGATTGGCATAGGATTGCCGTTCACCTTGCTTTCACCCTCAACACGCCTCACTCAGTCAATCCCGTGGCTCCCGACTTTGGAACTTAGACACGCCTAGCCCCAGTCTTGCCAGCAACAAATATTTGCCAACACCACGAGAGGAAGGAAGAAAGAAAACACCACCACTGCCGACCGAATTCCCTCGCTCTCACGCCGTTGCTCACTTCTCCCCAACTGGCTCTTCGTCGGCCCTCTCTCTGGCCTGCTGCTGGCACCAAGTAGGTAGCTACGCAGTACTTAACCGGCACCCGGCCTATCCCACCTGGGCCTGGTCCATCTGAATTCTGGTCCGGCGCCGTCAACGAGCCAGGGGACAGGGATCGGCCCTCTCCTCACATCCTCGTCGCCCACGTCACCTGCGCGCAACCACCACCCCCAAGACCCAGGACCTTTCCTTCTCTTCCCTCCCTTGTTCGCCCACACGCCCCCCAGGAGAACGACCCAAGACCCGACGACCGACCCAGGCAAGAACCCAAGCCCACACCCACACCCACTGACTCCCCGCTTGGCCCATACACCCTTCCCGCTGCCTGCACAACCTGACGCTACGCTGCTTTTTGCGTGGTGATCCGTGAGCCCTGCCACCGTCTTGTACTTGCTGCAGCGCTGCACCTTGCTCGCTAGCGCACCTCACTTCAAAGTACTCAATTCCCAGCACCTCAGAGTGGAGGAGGCTGAGTTGACCCGGTGGACCTGAATGATCCTGTCTAACAAAGCCCAATTCGTCCCCCAAATTCTTGATCCAGCTCTTTCCTGCTTCTCTTCTTCAACACCTTCCCATACCGGCGGGATCCAGAGAGAAAGCAGGTCTTTTCTGCTAATAGGTGTTGGTGGTGAGAAAGCAACACCACAGAAGCGATCGACGAATGTCGCTGTCGTCGCTACCCCGTCTCCATCTGCGAACGGGGCTCAAAAGATATCACCAACGCCCTCGCCCATAATATCCGATTCAACCAAACCACGAACCGCACATCGGACCATGCAACGGGTCTCGAGCTTCCTCCCGTCTTGGGAGGCCAGGAGGAGGAGCAACGCCAGCACCACGAGCAACGCCCGAAGCAGCATCATCACGGCAAACAGCAAATCTCCCCTCGAGAAGGTTTTCCGCTGGTCCACCAAGCCCGCCCCTCTCACCACCACTGCTCTTGCCACGGCTGCCTCACGTATTGGTCGTGAGGCTTTCTGGCCAGCAACCCTCGATGCGGAGTGCGATCGTGCCGCCCGCATTTTGAAATCATTTTGCTGTAAGTGGCTTCATTTTACTGATCCCGCCTCGCTTGTTACATGGTGCACCCGTTCACTAACACCATTTCGCTTGCAGCCGACGGCTTCCTCGCGCCCCTGCACGATCAGCCCGACCGCTCATCGGCCCTCACTGAGCCCCAAACACCAATTCGAATTTTCAAGAAAATCCCTCCGAGGATTATCCAGAATGCTGCAGGCATCGCAATCTTCACTTGCATGCGATCGGGCCTGTGGATGACGGGGTCTGGCGGCTCAGGCATCCTGATCGCCCGCAAAGCTGACGGTACCTGGTCACCACCCTCCGGAATCGTGCTGCACACCCCGTCCCTGAGTTTCGTAATGGGCGTCGATATTTACGACTGCGTTCTTGTCATTAACAACATCGCTGCCCTCGAGCAGCTCATTACTCAACCTACTATTACGTTGGGCGAAGACATTGGTCTCACAACTGGCCCGTTAGTCGCACTGGAATCTACAGAGGTCGACCCGAAATGGAGGGAGCTGGACAACACCGTCTTGACGTACATGAAGGCAAGAGGACAGTCGCAAAACGTCAACTTGACGGGCTGCATCCTGAAGGAGCGTGGAAATGAGAACGAGAGGTTCTACGGGTGCAACGTGTCGAGCATGGACATTTGCGCCGGCAATGTGTCTAGGCACGTAGAAGAGACTCGTCCCATGTTCGAGGTCATCAAGGAAGCCGAAGGAAGAATCGACGCGGACCAGGTCATCCTCAGCAAACTCTCGGCTCTGCCCGCACCAGGAGACGCCATTCTTGAGACGCCCAGAGCCTCGCCCGCCTCGCCAAAGACCAAGATTGCTTTCGGAATACCCAACGCTGAGGACCCGGACCCCTTTGGTGTGCTGGCACTCGAGATGGCCGGACTGGAGATTCGCGAGGCCGGAACACACCAACGCCCGACAAGTCGTCAGTTCGAGTTCAACCCTACCCCGACCAGCCCTGCCTTCTCAAAGTTCAGCAGACAAAGTGTCGAAACGACAACGACAAGAAGCAATCGGGCCAGTCTCATGTCCACCAAAACGAACCGTACCAAGCTGTCGGAGGCCTTCACTCACACCAGCACGGCCATCACTACCCCCGACACCTCGCCAAGCCAGAGCCAGAGCCAAAGCGAAGACGGTGCTTCCATCCACAGCCTGCCTGCACTGAAGGAGCCCGAGGAGATTGATTACACCAAGATTGATTTCACACCCTTGCGGCAGATCAGCGGTAGCCACTCGATCGAGGGCACCATCATGACGGACAGCGACGATCACTTGCGTACCGACGTGAGCACCATGGATGATGCGGCGACCAAGGCATCTAGTGTATACACCAAGGACGACGCCAGCATCATCACCAAGCATGATGATGAGATCGAGGAGGAGGCGCAAGACGAGAACGAGGATGATGACGCCGACGACGAGGACGATGAGGACGACGAGGAAGAGGCGGTCATCTTCGAAGTGGCCGAGGTCCAGCCGGCTCGCATGGCTGCCCCGATTCACGCCAAGGGCTCCCTGGTCACGATTCCTAAGAGGATTCCGCCCCCCTTGCCTGCGAGAAGCCCTGCGAGAGGCTCCCGCGCGAGCAAGAGTGAGATGGGAGATGTGAGCCATCTTCACAGCCCACTTCAGTCTTCTTTCACCGCCTCTCCTCGCCAGTCCATTGATTCCAGCTCTATCAGAAGCGAGTCGTCGAGCAAGATCCCGTTCATCAAGGAGGTGCCTGCTGAGGATGGGTCGGATGCGGAGAAGGCGAGCAAGACCGATTCCATCATGACGGAGAAGCTGCAAGTGGATGAGTCGGCACTCCAGACCCCCACCGTCCAGGAACTGGACAAGGCCACACCTCTGGCCCCTGGGGCTTTCCCAGATGAGGAAACCGATTTTATGACCCCTTTGGGCAGCCCTTTGAAAGAAGTTTCCAGCATCGAGTCGAGGCATGTTGCCCCGAAGGCGGTTGATGTTGCATGATACCATTCACTTTCTTTTTGCTTTTTGCGTGGGACTAGGTGTGCCACCCAGGAACTTGGACACGCACGCTGTCTCATTTTCCTGCTTGAAATTTTCACTGCCAGGCGTTGGGGGAGATTTACAGCTGCAAATTCTGGGAGCAGAATACTCAGCAGTTACTTGCGATTGACGAACAACTTTACGACGGTTTTTACAGGCGTTTACGGATTCAAGGCTCAAAAAGGCCAGGCACCGGGAGGGTACAACAACACCACAAATGATGATTGGGTACACAGTTTGTACCATGGGGGAAACGGAACGGTTAACTGGATTGGGGGAGGAACTGTATACCTTAGAACCGGACGTTGGCCAAGCAGCCCCAGATGCTGCAGAGGGACATTACTTGGGCCACCGCGGGTTGACTGTGAGGGGCAACCCAACAAGATCACCCGGCAATGGTAGCCTAGCCTTACTACGTATTGCATAAAGATAATGTTCAATCATTCAGAACACTCCCCGTCCCATTTTCAAGCCGCACGATAACATGATAAGCTGCAGCTTGCTTGAGCGGAGCTGCTGCTCGATCTTAAAGCCCCAGATCTTTATGACTTTGTGACCGAAAGAAGACTCTGAGCTGCTTCCTTTGAACCATGACAGCCTCGGATTTTGTGAATCACCAAACTGCTATCATCAACATCATGATTGCTACTCTGGTGTCTATGCCTTGCTGTGTGTGCAAGAGCTGCACGGACCGGAAAAACATTGTAGCAAACATACTGTTTGCACGGACCACCCCAGCACTTTCTGGCTCCAACACCACCAGTGGCTTTACAGCTGGCGCCAGCAGCTGCACCAGCACCAGCATTAGCTCCCAAGAGGACTCTGCCAGATACGCGTTTCGATCGCGGCCCCAGACACTCGCGCAGGTTACGCCCACGAAGCCTCGAACTCGAGCCACCTACGACGACAATCCAGGCTCTGCCACGCCCTACGACACTCCAGCTCAATCCCGTGCCGCGACAACCCCTCGCGCCGGCAAGATGTCGACCCAGACGGGCAAGTTCCGCGAGGACCAGGTCCTCATCATCTGCCCCGGCAGCCAGACGACCATGGCCCAGCTGGGATGCGGCGAGCTGACCCCGCCTGTCCATCGCATGCCCACGCGCATGTTCAAGGACGAGGAGACGGGCGAATGGCGCCCTTTCCACACCTTCAAGCGCAAGAAGGCTGGCGCCAATGGCGCTCTCGCCATCGACGGGCCGCGTACCGATGAGGACGAGTACGAGTGGGTTGAAGACACAGACTCGAGCGAGGGCGCCATCTACCCTCTTCAAGGTACGTCGTGGTGGGCACGATTGCAACGCCAGAAGGTTTGCAATGCTAATTGAGTGGTTTCTCAGGCGGTCGCATTGCCAACATGGAGGCCTTCCTGGCCTTCCTCGACCATGTTCACAGCATGCTCACGACCACTTACCACAACACTCCCATCATGCTCATCGCCTCGCCCCAATGGACCCGCCCCGACAACGAGACGATTGCGCGCTACATATTCGAGAAGACGCGAACCCCGGCCTTGTGCATGATGCACAGCGGCATTGCCTCCCAGTACGGCGTCAAGTGGCCGAACGTGACTGTGGTGGACATTGGCTACGAGAAGGTCGACGTAAGTTGCATACACGACGGTCGCGTGGTCAGCTACGGCGAGCTGGGCGCCCCGAACCCTGAGCGCTTCATCTCCGGCGGTGAGATCTTTACGCGCAAGTTGGTCGAGAAGCTCAAGAGCAAGGACTTCACCTACGACATGGCTGAGCAGCTGAAGAAGAGCCATGTCTGCGAGGTTCTCCCATATGCGCCCAATAAAGCGAAGCTGATGGAGCTGCCAACTACTTCGACGGCAGGGGCTGCTGGGAGCGGGCCGTCTGCCGCGCCGGCTGCCGAGGCACCTCAGACCAGCGAGCCAGCGCGTCCCGTGGCTGCCGGTGACGAAGAGCCCGAGGAACCCAAGGGCGACGAGGGTGTTCTTGACGTAGCCAGCATCGTTACGGCGGGCAACGCGCGCGACTTTTTGGCCAAGAAGGAGAAGGAGAAGCAAGAGAAGGGCAAGGGTGGCAGAAAGGGCAAAGCTGCTCAGGAGGCAGAGGCTGCCAAGCCTGTCCGCTTGCCCAACTCGAAGCGCACGCACAACATGTTCCACTTTGAGGAGGTCATTCAAGAAGAGGTCCAGCCTCCCAAGAAGGAGGAGCCCAGGCCGGAGGCCAAGGAGGAGCCAAAGAAGGAGGAGGCCGGCAACCCCACTGAGTCCAAGGACGTGGAGATGACGGACAGCGCCGCCAAGCCCGCCGACGCGCCGGCTCCTGACGGCGAGTCGAAGCCGGCAGAGGCCACCCCTGCCGACCCTGCTGCAGCCGCCGAGACGAACGGAACGACTGCCCAGCCCGCCGCCGTCGTCCCTACCGAGACCCCTGCGGCCACCAACGGCGTGCCCGCCCCTCCCGAGAGACAGGCCAAGCGCGTGCGCCGCGACATCGAGGTCGGTCTGGAGCGGTTCACCTTTGCAGACCGTGGCGAGATTGACCGGATCGTCACGACCATCTACCGCACCGTCCAGAGCATCGACGACATGTACATCCGTCCCCTGTGCTGGGACAACATCATCTTCGTCGGCAACGGCGCCCGCCTCCGCGGCCTCAAGGACAACATCATGCAGACTCTGACGGCCCGCCACCTCATCTCGCCCAGCACGGCGACCATGTTCACCTCGGAGCTCCCCTCCAACATCGCGACGCCCACCGGCACCGGCGCCCAGACCCCCACCGGCTCCTTCACCGGCGCCTCTCACCAGCTGCCGCCCAACAGCTCCGGCGTCAACCCCCTGCTCCAGGCCGCAACCACGGCGTCGGCGCAGCACCAGGGCACCCCCGGCCCCGGCGAGGCTAACGGAACTCCCGGCGGCGCCCACCACTTCCACAGCCAGACGCCCACGAGCATCAAGCTGGCAGCGCTTCCCACGTATCTGGGCGAGTGGAACAAGAACGGCTTCGAGGAGGCCATGTTCCTCGGCGCGCAGGTCGCGGCTCGTATCGCCTTCTGCCAGCACAACCTGGATATGGCCGGCCTCGAGGCCCAGCGTCTGGCGAGCTTGAGCAGAATCGAGTACAAGTAAGTTTCTCTTCTCTTACTCTGACCGCGCATTCATATACTGATACCTTTTTTTTTTTCACAGTGAGATGGGCCCCAAGGGCATCCGCACCCACTCGATGCTCAAGTAAGAGGGCAGCATGCTTCGTCATTGTTTTCTCGGTCATGGAAAGCCGGGCCAGCGCAGGCGTGGGGGATACTTGGGATGGTAAATGGTGAGAGAAGAAGAGAGACGAAAGTTTTGGCATCGACACGGGCATTTTTTGCTTGCCTTATACTGCTTGTCTTGTACCCGTTTCCAAAGGGATGGGTATGAGATGTCGGCTTTACCGCGTTCTGGAGTTTTACGGACACATCAAAAACCCGGTGGTGTGAAGGCGTGGGGGATTGTTACTTTTTTTTTCCTTTTCCTTGTTAATGAAGCTACCGTGGTAGACTTGGCCATTCGCGGGGATTTACATATTGCTTCTCTCCTTGATTGTATTCAGCAGGCAGCTTCCTCTCCGTCGGCCCCTCAAGGAGGGGCCTGGAAGGGTTGCGCGATGGACTCGAAGTTGTAGAAGGGGAGGGGGCGAGCCAGTGTTTCCACGATACTCCCAATGCATAGATCACTCAGAACCACATTCGAGTTGTGACCAAACCCACAGAGGGTGTTTTTATTTGCCAGTACCTATCATCATTTTACCGCTAGTTTGCGCTGCCAGTTTACTTGTTCATCATTCACGAGAGCTCCCGCTGATATCTCGTCATCTCACAACTCCTCCACAATCGCTCTCCCAGCAACAATTAGCTCCCCATACCAGTTTTCTCATCTGCTCCCGTCATCCACTCATCATCTCAAAACATCAAAGCACCTGCGCATATCTCAAACATCCTGCTCCGACTTGCCAGCGGGGTTCCACTTGGCCTGGCAGGTAGGGCACTTGGTACCCCAGCCGCTGCTCTCGCGTGCGAATGTGGCGAAGCATCCGGTGTGGGCGTAGTGGCCGCAAGTACCGCAGCATACCGTCTCCAAGTCGCCGAACGCCTGGTAGCAGACGATGCAGTCTTTGCCCTCCTTGGACTTGGGAACGCCATCCTTGAAGGCGGGGTCGTTGTCGATCTCGGCCTGGGTAGGGCGGATCTTTGGGGCACGAGCAAAGATCGTGGCGAGCTCGTCGTCGGAGATCCTTCTCTGAGGGAGGATCTCGGCAGGAGCGCGCAAGACGTGCGTAAGGACATCTAGAGCATGGTGAGCAGATGCTGGTGATGCTGAGATGCGTGGGACTCCCAGATGACATGCTTGCAGTTGCTTCGCGGGTTGAATTTCTTGCGAGATGTTAGCAGTTACACTTCTATACTTTGATTGATGTAAACCACTTACGGCAGCGGAACAAGTGCACGACGTCTCATGCGCAATAGTGACGGTGTACATGTCGTCGCCGGCTCCACGGACAGCGAGCGAGAGCCGATTCGGGTTGCCCCACTCGTCGTTGGTGTACTGCTTGATGATGTACATGCGCTGGGTCATGGCCTTCTTGGTGGACATGATGTGTCTATGGTCGTTGACAGGGACGCCGTTGCGTTGCTTCTTCGTGCTCTTGGGGGTGGAGCTGGCGCCCTCGTCGGCGGGATCAAAGCCCTCGGCGACGGGGCGGACGTCGACTGTCTGGCCGTCGTAGTAGGTCTGCCAGTTCTGCAGGCGGTTGACGAGGACCTGCTTCCGGCCGTCGGTGGGGACGTTGCGCATCATGAGCTGCTCCTTGATGATGTCGACGGAGAGCTTAGACCAGTCAGTTCCATCTGGAAGGGGGCCAGTCTTGACGCCGTACGTGCCGCGACCGAACCGAGTGAGGCGAGGGATGTCGGCGGGATATTGGAGGGGCTTCTTGGGTGTCTTCTTTGGGGTCTTTTGGGAGCCCTCGAGGAGGGTCTCCGGATCGTCCATGTCCATGTGAGAAGACGACATAGTGGGGTGAAGTGAAGGTGGCTTCTGAGATCCCGCTGCAGGCAGGATTGTGCAAGTGTCGGGGACGGAAGAGGTAGGGTCAATGGCTCGGATTGTCGCGAAAGCCAGGGGTGACTTATGTACACGACTGTTCAAGGTTTTCCGTAATGTGTTGATGTGAAAGTGGAAAAGCATAGATTGGGAAGGTGAGATGGGGGTGAAATATTTGAGCAGCCCGGCAGGAGCAGGCTTCCTTGGTGGCCGCCCTTTCATTCTGGAAGGTGCGGCGAACCCAGCCGGTGGTCTTGCCAAAAAGGCAGACATGTTTGACCAGTTTCACTTTTTGCAATCTTTCAACGGAGCAACGATCCCAAAGATGTTCCAAGCAATTGATTTCAACAGAACGTCGTAGCAAGCGCCAAGGTGAAGTTATTCCCATTCAGAACGCACGTATCAACCCCGCGCCTCATATCTTGATTTGTGCCATTTTCATCGACGAACTCAAAGTATTCTTCCATCTCATCTGAATTCGGTGGCCACTAAAGGCTATAGCGAATGGGATTTACCGCAGTACCTAGAACTGTCGTCAATTGGTTCTCGGTGAGCGCCGGAGCCATCGGTGTAAGGAGTCCCTCGTTGGCAGGGGTCCCACGTGGCGCTGATGTTTCCCAGAGACCGTGGAAAGACAGGTGCGGGGGTCCGTTTGACACTCCCATCTTCGCTTTTGACTTTCGCGCAGGTCGTAGCTGACCATACTGGGCCATGTACTTCTTTGCTATCTTTCCACGACGCCTCCGTTTGAAACGATTGACTCACCGAGGAAAAGAAAATTCCGGTCCTGCGTTGGTGTCTGCTGCTTTTCGGCAGCTGAAGCCTTTGTTCCAATCTGGCATGTCAGGGTCGTGAAATGGGGTCCTGATTGGCTTCACCTAGCTACCCTGTCTAATTCTCTGCATCCCCCTGTAAATCAAGTGACTCAACAGCAGCGGAAGCCCGCTTGACCTCGTCCCCTCTCTTCCACCATTCCCTCTACGGCGTAGTGTCAAAGTATTCAAGAACCTAGACTTCGGCCAACCTCTTCATCCCACGCTCATTGCCCAATACCCTTCTCTCACCCGTCCTCATCCTATCCCACAATGACCAGACGAAACATCAGTTCGGGCTCGGCCTTTGAGGCACAAATCGGCTACTCCCGCGCCGTAGTGTCGGGCGACCTCATCTTTGTGTCCGGGACGACGGGGTACGTTGCCCGTTTGAGAATTTGCGACAGGGAACTTGACAATGAGACAGGTACAACTATGAGACTGGAGTCATCTCGCCCAACATCGTCGAGCAAACCGAGCAAACAATGGAGAACATCGCTGCCGCTCTCGCTGCGGCCGGCGCGGAGATGAAGGACGTTGTCCGCGTACATTACATCTTGCCCGACCGCAACGACTTTCAGATGACTTGGCCTGTTCTGCAGAAGTGGTTCGCCGATGTGCGCCCGGCTGCCACCATGATTCAAGCCGGTCTGATGGAGGAAGCCATGAGGATTGAGATTGAAGTCACGGCCAAGAAGGAGTCGGCAGCTTGAACTGAGCCAGTGTGAACAGCCTGAAAGAAGCCTGCCATGTACATACGGCTCAGCTCTTCTGCTGGTAAGAATGCGCGTGTAGTCGAACCCAAACGCTAGGGACTTTGTACTATAGAACGAAGACAGACAGCTTTAGCATCGGCCACACCACCGTCCATGTGTCAAACGTGCAGCAGTCAGCCATGGGGAGGACATTATAGCCTCACTTAGAATGCCGGTTCTTGTCTTGGACTCTTCAGATGAAGTTGAGACGGGAACTGGACAGCTGGTCGGCGACCATACAAAGTCCCGACTCTTCCGGTGACTACGGTTGGCTAGGGCCACGACTAGTTTCTATGGTCGCCGACCTCCCAACATGACGTCCACCTTGGGTTTCCCGCATACCACTGCAGAACCCCGGATTTGTACGACCTGGGCCACACAGAAGTGGCTGAGACACGGGTAAATGTTTCAGGAGATTTCGCTATGGGTGCCGCTATGCAAAAAGAACGATAACTACAGATGTATCTAGTGGAAATATGAGGCAACCAGGGCTCCCGCGCCAAACATGGACATGATGGTGACAAAACTGGCTGTAGAAAAAATAGACACGCCACTGAGACCGTGTCCGGATGTGCAGCCTCCCGCTATTCTGGATCCGAGGCCAATCAGGAATCCGCCTGCTGCAGCGAGCTCCGGCGACACGGCCGTATCCGCGGCGCCGAGCGCAAACGCCGGGTACGCGTTTGCGAGGGCCCAGGCACCCGCGGCCAGACCGGCTGAGAAGAGGATATTGCTGTACGAAGCCGGCTTGCCCTTCTCACCGCCGCCCTGGACAACCCACCAGAAGTATCTGCCAATCTCGTCGTAGGATGTTGACACGCCCAGCATGGACTTGCGTGTCAACAGGGAGAAGAGTTGGGCGAGACCGATGAAGAGGCCGCCAATGGTGGGCGCAACGACGGCATAGGGGCTAGCTGGGGTGTACTTCATCGTAGCATAGATGACGCCGGCGAACACGGCCTCGATGCCGATGAAGGAGGCTGCCCTGCTAATACCAGCGCGCTCATAGACGGTGAGCTTCGGGTTCTCAGGGGCGGCTTTGAAGGCGTTGGACGTAATGGCCTTTTGGAGAAAGCCGGTCCATGCGATGCCCGCCGAGACGGCGCCAGCGAGCACGTAGATGCCAGACTGTGTGCCCACCGCGATCTGGGCCAGGACGGTGCCCGGGCAGGAGCCAGAGAGGGCCATGCCGGCGCCGAGGATTGAGCCACCGAGGATGTTGCCGTCGTACTCGGAGAAGAGGCCCAGACGAGAGGGGCTGCGGGGTTTAGGGTGGACGTAGCCGAGCTTGTCCAGAGTGACAACAATAAGTCTGGTCAACGGCGTCAGCGACGTGTTCATGCACGAGGGAAGGAAGCGCGGCATACGTGCTACTGGCGGCCGCGGCGAGGAACGCTTGGATCATGTGCCAGTTCTCCAGCTTGAGCTGAGCAATAATGACGGAGGGCTGATATACGCCCGCTCCCACCAGAGCGGCACCGAAGGCGGCGCCTGACAAGACGGTCGCCATGGTTATGGTTGGTCGCGGGTTTACTGAGATGAACCGGGTTGGTGCGAAGCAGCGCGGGACTTTATATGAGTGGTTGCCGAAACGAGTGAAAAACCTGATGATGCGTGGAGAGAGTCTATCTCCAAACGCCAAATCTCGTTAGGCTTGTCGGATGAACTTATACGGTTTGTAAAACGTGTAAAACGAGAACGAGACTGCAGTCAGGGGAAAAGGTCGCCGGACGGAGGGTGTCTCCGTTGATTACAGAATCAAGCCCGAGAGGCCATGAGCGTCGGGGACTTGGAAGAAAGTAATGGGTTATTAATGGCCTAAAATTATGGTGGTTTCGGTAGCGGGGCTCCATTTATTAAACCCCGTCGTCGCAAACGCCGCGCTTCCCCTCTGACCTAGGTGAGCTCCCGCCCCAGCAGAGGGGTCCCTGCCAATGGGGCGACTCCGTCGGCAGTGCTGCCGTCCGCATCTGCGTCGTGGTAGACCGGGTTCCTACACGTCGGCCGTTGGTTCGGCTCATTGTGGACGTAGTCCTAGATTCGAGAGATGGGTGGCGTTGAGTTAGTCTTGACTCGGCGTCCATTGCGCCTTCTTCTCCCCCGCTAACGACATGGCGCTAGATGATTCCAAAAAAACAATGCTCTGGACGATGGAGCGCTGCTTCAGAAACTCGGGAAGGCCTGTTCTCGCAGGAAAGCCATGCGACAACTACAACGGGAGATGGGCATCGCGATGTGGAACAATTAAACAGCCAAGAAGATAACGATGCATCAGTGTGGGAGGTCGGCATTCACCAACCAGAAGCCGGATAGCGAAACTTGATTGGTGGACCAAAGTCTCAAGGGGATCAATAAGGTTGCATCAATGGGCAGCGCTCCCGCACTGGGGTGTACCTTGATAAGTATGCTTCCTCAGAGTTGAAAGTCCCCGAGACCTGGGGCACCGGTGACCGTTTCCACTCCAGGTCGCCGACGTCGGGAAACACTCCGGGGGCACGGGCGTCGCCGGAGAGTGGGTCCCGTTCACCGGGATGCTGCCTCCAAGCACGCGCTTTTGCGGGGGCTTGCTCGGTGACCACGGCGTCAACGGTCGGAGGAAGATGGCGTTGATAGACGGCGAGGCTTATGGGATATGTTTCGACCTGTCGATATAAGACTCGGTTGAGAGGCCGCCTCGATTAAGACTTTGCGACGCACTCCTGCGCAATACCGAATGAACCGCATCCAGGTCCTAACAAGACATATCCATCCGCAGAGTTACCCGAAAATGGCTCCAGAACCAGTTATCCATGAAATCTTTGAGCCGGTGACGGGTACATGGCAGTACATCGTCGCTGATCCCTCCGCCAAGGCAGCTGTCATCATCGATTCCGTTCTGGACTTCGACCCCGCCAAAAGCGCAATCTCCACAAAGACCGCCGACGACCTGCTTGAAGTCATTCGCGAAAAGGGCTACAAGGTCGGCATGATTCTCGAGACGCATGTCCACGCCGATCACCTGACAGCGGCCAAGTACCTGCAGTCCCGGCTGCGGGAGGCGCAAGATGGCGCAGCGCCCGAGATCTGCATTGGCTGGCGGATCGGAGAAGTGCAAGAGAGATTCGCAAACAAGTACGGCATCGCTGAGGAGGAGTATGCCCATGCCTTTGACCGGCTATTCGACCAAGACGAGGTCTTCAGTATCGGCGGATTAAAGGCAAAGGCCATCCATTTGCCAGGTCATACTCCCGACCACATGGGGTACATGGTCGGAGGTAAGCTCCCAAAAGCAGAAGTTTTGAAACGAGCACTAACACGCCGCAAAGCCAACGTCTTCGCGGGCGACTCGCTCTTCAACCACGACGTCGGCTCCGCCCGCTGCGATTTCCCCGGCGGCAATGCTAGAGACCTCTTTGCTTCGGTGCGGAAGCTGCTTGACTTGCCTGAAGACACCAAAGTATGGACAGGCCATGATTACCCACCAGAGGGCCGGGGCCCCGTAGCGGCGACCGCAGTTGGTAAGCAAAAGACCGACAACAAGCATCTCGGCAACGGAGTCAAGGAGGAGGAATTCGTCAAGTGGCGCGAAGGGAGGGACTCGGGGCTCGGCGAGCCCAGACTGATGCACTGGGCTCTACAGATCAACATCAGGGCTGGCGACATGCCCAAACCAACCCAGAGCGGCGACCGGTTGCTGCATGTGCCTGTCAAGATGCAGGGCGTGAATTGGTGATTTTGAAACTTGGGCAGTGTGATGCCACTTTGTCTTGAATTTACATCCGTATGTGTATGTTAGCGCGTCTTCGAGAATTGTAAACGATACCAATGCAGAAGACGTCGCATTTTGCGAATTGTCATTTGTGAATTCCGGCTGGTTGACGACATGGAAGCCGACGATGGGCTTCAGCGAAGATCAATTCAGGTGGCCCATGCGCTGGGGCTTCTCTTAGCGCTCAACCCCCCAAAATGCCGAGGTTCCTCACGGCCGTCAGCGTCATTCAATGCGGGGGCCGGTCCCCCGGCTGTGTGGAGGTTGAGCCGGGGAACGTCCATCTCCCCCACGCAATTGCACCGTCTCCGCCGGGATTGGGATACACGGCATTAATAATCATCACCGAACGTGCAACTTCATAAAAACGCAATCTCGTCATTCTCACCTACCAGTGGACCGAACGGTACCAATTACACGCAGCAGAAGACTAAGAAGACTTATACTCAAAAGACTATCACGATGCCGTATTCCATCACGGTCAAACAGATCGAGGGAAAGCCCGGGAAGGTTTACTACCCGTAAGATACATTTCATCTGCTGGACGATCTCATGATGGCTTACCCAAAAATACAGTCTGCAACTCAATGAAGCCCCAAAACCCTCCCCAGGCCCTAAGCAGGTCTTGGTGAAGCTCACTGCGGCGGCACTGAACCACCGTGACCTTTTCATCCGGCGCCATCTTTACCCCGGCATCTCATTCGACCACCCACTACTTGCAGACGGCTACGGCTTTGTTGTCGAGGTTGGCGAGGGTGCCAGCAAGGACCTCCTGAACAAGCCCGTCGTCATCACCCCAAGCCGCGGCTGGGCCTCGAGTCCCGATGGCCCCGAGGACGCTCGCAAGTTCAGTGTGATCGGTGCAACCAAACTGTACCCTGACGGCACCGCACAGGAGTATCTTGCTCTCCCCGAAGCCGAAGTCGAGCTGGCACCGGAGCACTTGACGCCAGCCGAGGGAGCCGCATTACCCCTTGTCGGCCTCACCGGCTGGCGTGCGTTGGTCACGAAGAGTGGCAACGCTGAGAAGGGCAGAAACATTCTCGTCACGGGCATTGGCGGCGGCGTGGCGCTCCAAGTTTTGCAGTTTGGCGTGGCGCTCGGCTGCAATGTCTATGTCACCTCGGGTGACGAGGCGAAGATCGAGAGGGCCAAGAAGATGGGCGCGGCCGGCGGTGTAAATTACAAGGAGGACGGCTGGGAGAAGAAGCTCCAAGGCCAGCTTCCCAAGTCACGCCCTTACCTCGATGCCGTCATCGATGGTGCCGGGGGAGACATTGTGGGCAAGGCCGTGAGGCTGCTCAAGCCCGGCGGTGTCATCAGCCAGTATGGCATGACCGTGTCGCCGCAGATGGAATGGTTGATGCAAGCGGTGTTGAAGAACGTGGAGCTCAAGGGCACGACAATGGGCTCGCGAGATGAATTCAGGGATATGGTTGCCTTTGTCAGAGAAAAGAAGATTCGGCCAATTGTCAGCCGCACGGTCAAGGGACTGACGAATCTTGAGGGTATTGACAGTTTGTTCAAGGACATGGAGGCTGGCAAGCAGTTTGGTAAGCTGGTCGTTGAGTTTAACGATTCTACGGCGGCGTCGCCATCCAAGTTGTAGATGAGTTCGCAGAAATTGTAATTCGAGCGCATGCCAGCTTCTTGTGTTTGCTATCCACGTATCACCTGCCGGTGTTGTCCTTGTCCCACAGTGAGAAAACATCACAGATGGCGCTGTTATTCCAGAGTTATGTGACAAACAATTTATGAGTGCTCTTATGATGTCTACTAGACTCCGAGTTGTGGAGGGCCTTATCATTATTTGTTGTTATGTTCCTACTTGGCTCTTCTGAATAAGGTAATCCAAGTACACCGTGTCTGGGAAGGAACACTGAGGAGGTCCTTCCCAGTTCAACTCATAAGGTAGTGTATTAAAACAGCGAACTACGACAGCAACTGTCAAAGCTTCCTCCTGAATGTCAACATACAGCACCTAGACGACGTAGCCAGATGGATGGTCACCCACGAAGTCCTACAGAACTGCAAGGGCCACCTCATCTTTGTATGGATTTTTTCTCTTGTACTTTCTGATCTGCTGGACATCAGCCAGAGAACCGTCACTCTCACTTTCAACATTGAATTTTGTTCACTGTGCTGGCTCCTTCCTTGGGCTTGGTGTACATCTCGCTTAGAGGGCCCTCCCACTTCACCTCTGGTCTCTTGTTCCTTACGTCCTTTTTTTCGCCCACCCTACCTACCTCACATCTTTTTTTCTTTTTTCTTTTCCCACCTCACCTCTCCCACAGATTTTCTCCAAACACTACTCCCCCAAAGAATCACAACCACTGTCAACTGCACGACTCCCACACCATCCTTCCCTTCAAGATGCGGCACAGAGCCTTCCTTGCCATCTCAGCTGTGGCCCTCATGCTTTTCATGGCTGTGAGTGCCGTTGCTATTGATGCCACTGTTGCCATCACCAACAACGGCAACTTCGAGCACGGCAACAACAACAACCTCAAGCAATCCGTTGCTCCTGCCCATATCAACACCCAGCGTGCCTATGACTACACCGACAAGTCCACCTCTTCCATCAAGTCCGCCCCTGCTGTCAACTTGGGCAAGGTTCCTTCCCAGCTTACTCTCGGTCCCCACCTCGCTCCTGCCACCTTCCACCATGAGAACCCTTTCAACATCACTGAGGAGGAGGCCATCAAGCGCGGCATCAAGCTGATCCCCATCGACCCTGAGCACTGGAACGCCCTCCTGACCGCCTCCAACCTCAACAACGCCACCAGCAGCCCCGACATCTCCGAACTTCGCCGCCGCGAGGTCGATCCTCCCGACCCGACCGACTGGTGTACTCCGAACAAAGACCCCAGCCAGTGCATGTTCGGCGCCTGGTGCCACGAGATGAGCAACAGAGATGTCCCCAACCGCGCCTGGGTCTTCTACAACGATTGCGAGCTCACCGGCGACCTCCACCCTTGGACTTGGGGCGTGTGGCACGACATCTTCTCCGGCCTTCGCTGGGTCACCGTCTTCTTCATCAACCAGATGCGCTACCCGACGCTCAAGTACGCCGGCCGCGAGTGGGGCAGCTGGGACGACGGTTGGGAGCTCTACTACCCTTACGGAACGATGGGAATGTACTACTACCGTCGCTACTTTGACTGCTCGGGTTGAAAGTCGCAGACGGGACTGATACGCTGACGGAAAGAATGCGTCGAGAGAGAATGTGCTCCATGGACCAAGCGCCATTAGGCATTGACAGCGTCCTGGACCGGGAAGAATCAAGATCCGAGATGTGCAGAGAGAATTTGCTTGGACAAGGGATTTCGTTGGAAGCCGAAGTCATCGTGGTTCTCTAGGGTAGCTTGGTCAACTTTCTTCTCAAGTCAACTTCATTACATACACACACACCCCGCTAGTGCTCCCATCGTGACATTGCATGCTCTGATGTACAGCTATTGACCTGATGCATCTCCAGCAATCTACCACTGCTAACGTGAGAAAGCTCTTGAAATCTTGAATGGAAGGGTATCTTGGGCGAGCTACCATCTCACCAATGTGCGCGGCGACACCTTTTCTGCGGAGATGCAACAGGCGTCCACCACTCCAATCTACATGATAATCTCAACCACGCTCAACACCGCCGCCTCTCACTCGTCGTCCTCGTTCTTCTTTCTCTTCTTCCTCTTGTGGCCCAACTCTTCGGGCGGGACGAAATCCTTTTCCCTCTCGCGCAGCTTCTCCTCCTTCTTCTGCTTCTGCTGCTCGATCCTCTCGGCCTGGGCGGCCTTGGCCTTGGCCTCCTTGCCGAGGAAGTACTCTCCCGTCTCGATCTGCTTGTCGACCTTGCTCTTCTCGGGCGCCGGCGGGAAGGGCGTGTACGTCTTCTTGGCCTTGTCGGTGACCTTGAGCGGCACGCGTCTCTTGCTGAGCGTCTTCTTCTTGAAGTTGGGCAGGAAGCGGTCCCAGCTCTCGCTCGCAAGCTCCGGGTCCTTTGCGAGCTCGCGCTTGATCATGAGCTCCTTGATGTGGTAGATGGGGTGGATGTTGTTCATGCAGTCCTCGACGACGCGGCGGACCTCCTTCAGGCCCTTGTAGGGTCCCATGACCGAGACGGTGCTGCCCTGCACGAGGATGTAGGTCTGGGTGAGCAGCTCCAGGGCCTTGAGCGTCGAGCCGTTGGGGCCGAGGATGCGCTGGCGGCGCTTGACGTAGCGCTCCTTGTTGCGCACGAGACTGCGGATCTTGATGACGTCGCAGGCGACGCCGTCGTCGAGAATCTTGATGGCCTGGGGCGCGGGGACGCTTCGAGCGAGGAGCTTGATGAGGTCGCGGGCGTTGAGGATGGCGGCGGGATCGAATGTTTTTCTTGTCTCGTGTTAGTGGACTTGGCCGTAAGGGTTGTGCCAGAGGATGAGGCAGTCTCTTACCTTGTCGTCTTGACGGTCATAGAACCTTCAATCAAGTCGAGCGAGCAGGCAATGCCGTGCTTCTCGAGAGACTTGGTGACGAGAGGCCATGCCTCCTTCAGATAGACTTCGCGGTACTTGGGGAAAACAATCGCAAAGGACGACTCCTCGGCGAAAGTGCCGCCAGCATTGTCGGCAGGAGTGAAAGGGTCGACCTTCCACTTGTCGATATCGTCCGTATCCCACGGCTTGTCCTTCTTGTATGTGGAGGGCATCTTGGCGGATGTCGTGTGTGATTGATTGAGTATGAATGCTGCGCCTGTCCATTTCGAAAAAATGCGGCGGCAGTACAAGCCATCGAAAAAAAAAAGATTCTTATCGATAAAAAGCATAAAAGCGGGGCACTTACAGTCAGCGGGAGCACCGTCCGTGGTGGGCTCACCGAAGCCACCCAAGGTCCACTTAGGTACTAAGAGTCAGGTTCGAATCATGTTGCCAACTGACATAATGTGTCCATGCTGTTTCTCTAAAGCCTCTTCTCTGATTGAATTGCTAAGGTTGACCTACTGAGGGAGTGGCTTTGTCTCGGAGAAGTTACAATTGTCTTCAGTGACTTCCTTGTTTTCTTCTTTCGTGTCATCTTTCATGATGACTTCCAGCGAACATGTCTTTTGAGTTCAGGCCAAGACGACACCAATTACCTTGTATCTTCTAAATAATAACGAAATGGCAGGTATCAGCTAATTTGACTCCTGCCGCCATCATCGACCATCCCGTATTGAAGTCTGTGGACACATGCAATGAAGGTCCCCTCTCAACAATTGCATCAAAGCTCACCTCAGATACCGAAAGCCGGTCTCCGAGCATGATAGCCAAACATCGTGATCACCTACATCCACCATTGGTCAAGTCTAGAGCTCCTTGAACGTCTTCGGCATTATCGGCGATCAGATAACGGCACTGGTTCTCCCACACAGCAGGGGCGTTGATATGCCCCTATTACGTTGACAAAACCTCAACTTGACCCATCTCAATCTGCACAATAAGGCTGAGGAGCACTCCACCGAGAGTGCGGCATCCGGTCCAATCATTGTGCATCTTCTGCCAGTCCCCGGACTGCAACTAAGCAGAGAAGCGTGATAGGCCAAGCTGTCGCGCAGGGAGTAATTTGCCTTGCTCTCGTTAAGGGGACGAAATGGTAACACACCATCGCGGTGCCTGACTTTTCAAACACACTTCCAAGAACCAAAGCGGTTACTTAATGTCTAAGCCCTGGTTGTCAGAGCTTCACCGAATTGCTTCCCCGCCAAATTGAACTACTTTCGCAGGTACAACCCACTGTGCGATCGATCGACGCGCTCTCGACTTCTGAGTCGCTATCCGGACCGTGCTCACCTGCAGCAACTAATTTTTTTTTTCTCCCCTTCCTTGCTTTCACGCATCACTGTCCCGCCTGAGCTGCGCGCGAACCTCCACGTCTCCTGCAACATCGAATTCGGCGCAGGCTTATCTCGACACATCAGACGAGACTCTCACAGGCCAACACGTGGTTCTCTTTGCTGAGAAATTTTCAACTCCACGCGCAAGAAGACGATCTCGACATCGCGCAGCCTCGATACCTCCTTCTCCACACACGAACGCGATCATCCCAGCAATCGTACGGCCGACGCCTGCTCTTGCGCCTACATCGACGTCCATCTCACAGACCGACTCAACCTCGCGAATCGGTCTTTTCATCTCGCGATATCGGTCTGCTTTCACCATCAAAGTCAGCAACCTCGGAACCTCGATCGACTCTGTTCCGTATCTCGTCTGCATCTCCTCAGCGACGCTCAACAACGACCGCCCTCTCCTTCTCAAGCGCACAGAGTCCAAAGCTCTTTCCGACCGACCATGGAGGAGGGCACAGCACTTTCCGGCCTCCCGCCGCCGCCAACGACCCTCGAGCCCATCTCCCGACCGAGTTCGACGTCAACATCGGCATCCGCTTCTCTGCAGCAGTTGCCAGGCATCTCGGCGCTTGCGCAAGCCAACTCCACGACGAGCTCGCCACAGCTGCGGTACGTGATATGCCAGGCAAGGGCGGACGGAGGAGCCGACATTGCGTCTTGCACCTTGCAAACGCTATGCGCCCTCATTCCGCACCGTGGCCGATAAAGTGGAGGGATAAGAACTGATAGCTGGTGATCCACAGAACCGCGACTATTCCTGCGCCCGCGGCCGCACCCGCGCCCGCGCCCGCGCCCACGCCGACTCCCTCTGCGCCGATGCAGCAGCCTACCTATGCTTCTCCGGCGGCCACTACCGGCGGAGGATCCACTTCTGGCACTGTGAGTCCCTGTCCCTCTCCGTCGTCGTCCTCTCTCTCTCTGTCGCCGTCGTCCTCCGTCGTCCCCCATCGTCCCCTGTCGTCCCCCGTCCTCGTCGTTGTCGTCCCCCGCCGTCGCCTCTGTCTCCGACACCTATCTTGCATCGATACCACTTTCCGCGCCAAATAAGCGTTGTCGGTGGTTGGCTCTCAGTGGCCAGATAAGGACCCCTGCAAGTGTGGGGCCCGCGGGTTTATGTGGGTCTGATAAGATATTTTATCAACTCAACTCTGCTGCCCCCTTCAAGAAGCCCGCCAGTCCCATCATCGCGAAGTCGAAGTGCCATATCCCATTACACAACCCTCAACACTCTTTTACAACAGAACACGCAGACGACGGTGACCAGACACGACAGAGACGATAGCGAAGATGATGGCCACCGCTAACCAGGAGCAACCCACGCAGCCCACTTGCCAAAACTGCCAAACCTCCACAACGCCTTTATGGCGCCGCGACGAATATGGCTCGGTTCTCTGCAACGCTTGCGGTTTATTCCTCAAATTACACGGCCGGGCACGCCCAATAAGTTTGAAAACGTGCGTTAATTCTCTTCATTTTGATGTATTGGAGTGTTGCTGACGATCTATAATAGTGATGTTATCAAGAGTCGCAATCGTGTGAAGACGATGCGCCCAGATCTCGCGAAGAAGAAGGTACGCGCGCGAGCTCTTTAGCTCTTTCCGGTTGTGGGTCCACTGGCTAACTCGAAGAAAGCAGCAACAGCAACAAGCCGCCAACTTCGCCGGCGCCGATCCGAACGGTATGGACCTAAACAACGCAGCGCGCAGGAAGTCCGCGAACGGCAATATCGACGGCTCCGACTCTCCAGTATCCCGTACGGCTACGCCTTCCCTCTACAACCCAAGCCTGCCTGTCTTCGGGAATATGGACGACTCACAGCTGGGCTTCAACGTCGGCGGAGAAAACCGCTCCGCATCCCCTCTGAACGGCGACCGCCATCTCGACGTCCCGCAAACCCACGAACAGCTTATTGCAGCCAACTCAGCTCTGAAAACCCGCGTCAGCGAACTCGAATTGATCAACGAGCTCTTCCGCGGAAGGCTCAGCCAGATGGAGCAAGACGAGGCAAGCGCGAGGAGAGGGCAGGAGATTAGCGGTAAGGCCGAGGCGCAGCTACGATCGCAGTTGGAGGCCAGCAACAAGCAACTGGAAGACAGCCATCGAAGGGAGAACAACCTCAAGAGACGTCTCGATGAAATGGAGCTTGAGCTTAAAGAGGCTAAGGAAGCTGCCGACTCGTCTTCCGAGTCTGGTCGAGCCGCCAAGAAGCTGCGCGTTGCCGATATGGTGGGCGACTCAGAAGTTTCTACCCCTCAGTCAACTACCGCGTAAGAGCGGGGACGGGCGACGAGGATGGACGACGAGGATGGACGACGGGGATGGACGACGAGGATGGACGACGGGGAAGGACGACGGGGACGGACGACGGGGACGGACGATGGGGACGGACGACGGGGACGGACGATGGCAATAGGGATACCGACGACAGGGATACCGACGATAGGGATACCGACGATAGGGATCCTGACAGCATCGATACCGGGGACAGTGGCGGTAGTGGGGCCGGCGGCGGCGGCGGCCGGAGATGCTGAGCGCCAGCGGCAGGCGTGACAACGGCAGGCGCGGCGGCAGAGGTGGGGCCGGCGTTGGTGTAGTGGCAGGAGCAACGGCTACTGCTACTTCCGCGCGAAAATCTCCCCTTATGATGGAAGGAGCGATGCAGATGCAGGCTTCTTTCTCGATGCCTGTACCTATAATTTTGCGTGTTTTTCTTTGCTTTTGCTCTTTCTCTTCATAACGTCTATGCTACGTTATCTGTCCCACGGGGCAGATAACTACGAATGTTCAGGTCGCTAGAGAGTGGTAGGTAGGCGTTGGAGGCCTATTAGGTTCGAGTTACATTTTCAGGCTTCGGAGCGCTTGCGAGGCCTTAATCCAGGGACGACTGAAAAAGGGGCGAAGTGTTAGTGGTTATGGCTGCTAAAAAGGAGCCTGAAATGTCTGCTTTGCGTGGAGTATATAGGATACCTTACCTTCCGTGCGAGGTTGTGGGAACTCAAAAGTCTTTCGCGATTGAGAATAGAGGCAATTACGCATTACTATGATATAATGAATTGGCTATTGCGTGGTTTTTCTTGCCGTCGTCTCTCTCGTCGTCTCTCTCGTCGTCTCTCTCTCGTCACCTCTCGTCACCTCTCCCGTCGTCTCTCGTCTCTTTCATCGTTACCCTTCCTCTCATCTCCACCCTTCCTCTTACTGTTATCCTCTACCCTCCTTTATATTAATGTCTTAAATAAAACATTATAGTATGTTAAATATAAGGAGAGCTAATATCCCTCTATATTGTCCTTAATAAAATTATCGTAACTTAATATGTGGTCACACCTAGTAAGACCACGCATCGCGTCTTCTATCCTATATATTATTCCCGCTTTTTTGATGAGCATCGCGACACCCCCTCAATTCAACCTCTTTCAACACTACAGTTCGACTTACGCGATAGCAGCACTTTGGCCTGTGTTTGATCTCAAGTGGGCATAGAACAAATACGCTGTATTTCACACAGGCGTTCACTCACCGCCCGGTCTATCCCCGGCACAGCAGGGCGGGCGGGCAGGCGACCGGGTGGTGAATGTCCTCGCGAGAACTTGACCCGCAACGCGGCAGGCTTACATTACTCGCAGCTCACGCATCCTCCACATTTGACTTACGTCTTGACAAGAAATAGATGCTGAGCGACAGCAAAATCGAGACCGTGGGTAGCATCGAATTCGACAACAAGCGCTGATAAAACACAGTGTGTCCACATTTCTGAGTGTTGGTTCGCCGCTGCTATCTTTGGCCCTCATTTGCGCCTCCGAGACCCGTCTACCTCTGTCTCGTGATTCTGCAATGCCTGATCTTATAAGAAGGTCAAGATCAGAGCCTTTTGACCCTCAGCTAGAATCTCGTTGTTATTGAGCATCTCCTTGGTAACATACCTGTGTATCTACCTTGGGGCGTATCCTCGTGTCCTGCCTGTGTAGAAGCAGTGCCATGGGTTTGTCCTTTACAATTTTTTTGAACTTTTTTTGGACGTACTCTATTCTTCATTTGCTGTTCAGCTATATGGCTTAGTAGATTGAAGACTTGTCACAACCTTCACTGTAAAAGAATGGGTTTTCCTGAAACTGTCACTTTTGAAAGAGAAGGGGTGCATATAGCCCTAGATCACATCGCAGGGTCTACCGTTGGCACTCTAGGAGCCCTTTGATGTACTTATGGAGGTGTTTTGTATTGCCATCATTATCATCGTGCTTGATACCACCAGTCTCCCTCTTCCGTCGGTTCCGACGCAGAAGAGTAGGCCCTCAGGGAGCACTGTAGGCGGGCGAGCTTCTCATTCCATGTAGTGCTCATCGTCGTTCTGACAGATGTCGAGGACCATGGGCCACCGAATTTGAGGTCTAGTATGTGGGAGTGCAGGCCTCTGTTTCGTTCAATCTGTCTATCTCTCTAGCTAAGTGTGGGGGCCTTGCGCGGCGGGCTGCGTGGCGCTTTTGCTGCATTTTGATAGCAGTTTTGCTCCGCGATGCTCTCAAAAATGAGGGGATCATTCACTCGATTCTTGGTAAGAAAAAAATGGTCATTAAGCATTTTGATGACTTGTCTTGGGTATCTGTCTAGAGAACCCATCGACGGGCGGTCTGGTGTATAGAAACGCAATTCTGAGAGAGATGCTTTCAACACACCCAAGGTCTCGAATTGAAGCTCTTCCATTTACTTCTACGACGTGCATGACATTTGGATGCCCATAATCTGCCCTGTTGGCCTAGCCACAGTAAGTTCATTCTATCCTTTCCCTTGAATATCGAAAGCTTTGAGAAGCCAGCCCTGTATTCCCCTGTCGTGGACTTCACAGGTAGTCTTAATACTGTTAAGCCAACTAATCACTTAAGCTAAAGTAAACATGCGTAGAGGGGCTTTAACGACAAGAAGGACAGCGACAAAGAGGACGAGAGCGACAAGAAAGACGAAAGCAATAAATCAAAAGAGGAGGGCTGGAAAGAAAAGAAACCCGACATTCATAGCACTGCTATTCCTACACATTTAATGAGGTACTTAGTTTTCTTCAATTGTGACTGTTTTGGTATACCCCATGTAAAGTAATAAAGCATTACTTTCCGGGGTTGCAAGAGTCTACCTTCGCATTTGTCGCAATTGCGACAACTACAATAATATGATTACAGAGTTATTTCATACAATTGTTGCGGACCATCTCTCCCGAGTGATATGATGCGAACCAAACATCCTTCTGTTTGTTGCCCTGAGGATCTTCTCTGTGTGTTCGCAGCTGCTGAAAGTGACAATGAACCATCGATAATAACACCAATGCCAGATGTGGGTGGCAAAAGAGCTGGGCACCGCATGCTTTTTGATCGTGAGGAATTTCCGCTGATGCATCTTCCCTCAGCTGCGGCATGGTAAACACGCCGGGGCGAAACATGGGCCTCGGCGCGACGGACGGAGGGCAGCGGGCCCCACAAAGCCGAGGGAAGTCGTTGGGAACAACGGCCAAACCGCCGGCGAAGAGGCAGGGATCCGTGTGCATCGGCGGCCCCAAAAAAGATACCGCAGAACGGGAGGGGAGGCCGGGATCTGGTGGAGAAACCGCTGTAACAGCGCAAATGCGAACCCACGTCCCCCCGCCCCAGATTTCCCCCGCCTGGGGCTTTTTCAGCTCTTCCTCCAGCTCCCTCTCTCTCTCAGTGACTTTGAGTTGTTCCGTGGCTGATTGCCCCCAAGACTTGGCTCAATGTTTTGCATATCTCACACTTCGAGGCGGCGAATGCCAGGCAGGTCTTGACTTCGCTCGTCAACAGCCGAGCCGCCACACCCCCTTGCGCCGTTCCTCGCATGGCCTCTATTCGTTTTCGTGTATGCAATGTCCCTTTCCGTCGAGCGGGCACGTCAAGCGGCGTTTCTTATCATTTCTCTTATCAGTAGCGCAGCATCCATCGGTTCGGTGGACAGGGATAGCTGCAGTTGGGGACTTATCAGCAACAACACATCGGCCGTGCGTGGGAATTGTCTTATCTATAAGACATTAAAGTCTTTGGGGTTATTTGCGGGAGCCACTAGGAAAAAGCAAATGCGAGTCCCCTTGATTGCCTCCCACAATTAGAATTCCGTAGGGCTCTCTCTCCCGCAGCAGTTTTTGTGAACCCATGGAGAATTACACCAAGTGAGGCGCAGTAACGCCATGTAGAGCGCCTCGTGGGGTAGGTTGTGTTGGGTAGAGCAACAAGTGGCGAGGGCAAATTCACAGAGAGCCAGTGAGGTGGAGGGGATATGTAGCAAAGAATGTCCCGGGCATCTGGTCACGATGGATTGAGGGGCAATTTCCCAGTCTTGCCTGCGAATTCCAGGTCTTGTGCGCCGAGGTCGAGCGCTTGAGGGAGCCCAGAGTCAAGTCCAGGTGCCATTGGAAAAAATATTAGCTAGCGGATGGCGAGAGAAAAAAAAGAGGCGAAGAAGTGCATCCTCCAATTGCCCCCTTGACCAGAAGGTGAGGTGACTTTGACGAGAAAAAGATCTCCCTCCCTACATCCATGGATTGGCCCTCGCGCGGGCGGCCCGTGGTCCAAAAAAGTCGTTCATGGGCTAGCTCGGACAGCCGGAGCACGCAAACGCGCAGCTTCGTAGTGTTAGGTTGGTTGGCCTGGCCCTGTGGGTGGGGTCTACCTTAGTTCTGGCCCCCTCCCCGGCCGCCGACGGATTAGAGGGAAAAGGCTGGCTGGGCCACCTTGCTGGGCGAACTTTGTCACGGAACTCAACGAAACTACGGTACGCTTCCCCTAGCACCAAAGATGCACAACCACCAACCAACGCCTTGCATCTTCTCCCACCTACATCCTTCCTGTGCCCGAGCGGAGAGCACCCCATGGGCGAGCTGGACGAATGGGGGAGAAGAGCGGAGGGAATCGGGGGATCGGACGGGAAAAGAGGGACGGTGAGAGTAACCGTGGCGTGCTGAGGTGGTGTGCCTGCATGGCCTTGAGCCGTACTTATACACACACGCAGCACAATATACATACAACACGACACCCACTCCAGTCCAGAGTTCGATTGCACGCACGCCCGCATTTATGTCGCCATTCGAGCTCTTGTTTTACCTGTTGATTCCAATTCCGCCCCTTGGGTGTGTTTTCACTTTATTTACTCGACCCTGCCTGTGTGCCCGGCAAGTGGTGCACGTTTCAAGCTGAGCAGGGTGGAATTGGAGACTGACACCAGGGAGGAACGCGCAGGTCTGAGGCATCCCTCTCGTACCTGTGTCGTTCAAGAGACATTCCAGCAGAGGCGGCCGTCCATATCTCTACATCCCGGGCATGCATACATTCATACCACAACCCCAGGATACGGCTGTTTTGACAAGATAACGGCCCTCCATCTCGGTGGTCCTTTTACTCCGGACAAGCCCTCCATCTAATCTCCCCTCTTTCTTCCCGGAACCAACCCACTCTTTCAGAGCTACCATGAGTGCACTGGGGGCCGAAGCATCCTGACCATTTCTCTGCAATCCTCACGAAAGAAGAAGCGCGGCCCGTCCCTCTCTCCATGGTAGCCAGCCCACCAAGCTAAAGCACCCCTCGCCCATCCCAATTACACCACAATGACAAAAAAAACCATGCTCAAGTTGTCGACGCTGCCAAGCCGGGCCGCCTACAGCCCGCTCATCCCGTCGCCTCTGAACCCAGATGTCGACGTCGTCGCACCTCAACGGCACCAGAGGCTGCGGGAGAAGAGAAGGTTGCAGGGCCGCGGGGACGTGAGCCCGACACAGAGACTACTACGTCACAAGGCTGCCATGGCATGGAAGTCGGAGGCCTTGACGAGGGAAAGCAGGATATATACCAGGGAGGAGATTCTCAGCATCATCGCCGACTGCGACACCCAGGACGCCGCGGCGAGAACGGCAGTCATCATGCCCGACCTCAAGAAAAAGAAGCAGCCTCAAGTACACATCCGCGCAGCACACTGGAAGGAGACGGACAGCGAGGAGGACGATTTCTTTTGCGAATTGGACGACCTGCTCGGCGTCGACACATCAGATGGGAGCCCGCAGCAGTGGCCGACACTTGTCCCAAAGCTTCGCAGCCCCTTCTCCAAAGACACGGCGAGGCGAGTCGCCCTGGCAATTGGGCTGATGTGCATCTGCGGTTGCTTGCCAGTGCTTCGAGCACACGGCTTCCACATATACCAGGGTTCCGAGGCACCTTAGGTCCTGACTCCGTCTACTTTGAGAGAGAGGAGACTTAAAAGGAACAATACCCATCATCAAACAGAGAGGAGAAAAGCCGTAACAGGCAAACAGTCGAAGATGAGAGAGGAGTCTATCCGAACGTCGGAACCAAAACGCCGCATTATTCTTATTCGTATATCATTCCGGGCTCGCGTCTAAGAGCACACACACATCATACACCGTCCAGGCGGAAACTGGTAGCCTCACAGAGACTACTTCTTCTCGTCCTCACCCGGGCTCGTGGACTTTTCTTTATCCCTTGGAGCGTCGGCGTCGGCATGCTTTGCGGCTTCCTCTTGTTTGACCTTCTTGGCATGGTTGACCTGCCAGATGGCCCTCTCGATCTCGACACCCAGCTCGGGCAGTTCGAGGGCCTTGGCTATGCGCTGGCCATTGGCCTGCGAGAGGAGGATTTCTTCGTCCTTGACGGCTTCGTCCTTGCCCTTCAGGGGGTTGACGTCGCCCGTGGCTGGCTTCGATGGCGTTGGGGATGTGTTGGCTGGGATTAATGGGTCGTAGATATCGTTCAGAAGCTTGGACGGGTTCAGAGCCAGGAGTTTGTTGTCCAACAGGAATCGGAGGTGCTTGCCTCCTTCGAGAGCGCGCCAGTGTGACCAAGCACGATACGCCAAGTAGAAGAAAGGCAGATTAGGTATCCTAATAAAAAGAAATGTCAGCAGTATTTCTTGTGCAACAACGACTTCGCGGCTTGTCTTACACCGGTACCAGGGCAAACGGCGCCGAGATAGGCATTCCAATGAGACACCACAGCATCTTCTTTCTATGCAAGGCATCTCGCTCCGTCGCCAACGTCCTCACTACCTGTTCGGCCTTGGTCGTCGGAATGATTGCGTCAGGGTATACCAGCTCAACCTTTTGCTTGCCCTTGAGCTCATCGTCTTTGCGGCGTGCAGAAACTGGCGGGACGGACTTCAGACCCCACTCTTCATATGGAATTCGGCGAAGGGCATAGTTTCCATAGTTGACAACCTTCTTCTGCCACCCGCTTTCTTTGGCCTCCCAGCCGGCCCAGAGCTTGGACGCCTTTTTGGATACCTTGTCTGCCAAGCCTTGCTTGTTTGTTGTCACTACATTGAGTCGCTGGGAATAGAGCAGAGTTCGGCTCGTGGTGAGTGGGAGGAGGTAAACACGCATCGTGGATGCCGAGGCTCAGAGGCGGATGCGGGGGGGAAACGATCGAGAAGCACGGATGTCGTCGTCGTCGTAATCGTCGTCGCCCGAGGATCTGCGACCGGCAACTGGCTGGAGTTGCGACGGACGGAGGAGGGGTGAAAAGCGGTGGGCGGGGGTAGGGCTCGGCTCGGTGAAGCTCGATAGGACTAGATGGCCGCAGGACTCATGGTGATTTTTGTACAAGACGGAGAGCGAAGGGGCGAATTGTCGAAAAGTCGCGATGCGGGCGGCCTCTGTGGTCCTTGTCGTGAAAGGAGGCAATTTTGACGCAGTTCGTGGAGTGCGAGTTTGGAAGGCAGCACTGAACCCGGCAAAAGCTGTGATGCTGCAGCCCTGGCCCCTGTCATCCATCTTAGCTTCTGGGTCAAGCTTCCTGGGTTAAGCCTGGGCCAGAGAGTGACGCACATGGGCGTCATAGGTCGCTGGAGCGATTTAAGTGGTGCGCTGAATTGGCGATCCAGTGTCCAATCGGGATCCCCAGTCGCGGGCGGTGTTGGGTAGCCATGGGGGCCAACGGGCCCTGAAGAGCACACTGCACAATCAGTCCGGGGGGTCCACCTGTGTCCCAGGAAGCGCTAGGCTTCCGTGTGCCCCTCTATCTTTTGCGAATTTTTCAGAAGTCCCAGATGGCGCGGCGCAAGTTAGGATTCGAAACCCGCTAAAAAGGCTGCGAGCTCGCGGCTCAAGGCGCTGCTATGCGAGGCGAAGGCGAGGTGAGGTGGTATTGCCTGCCCGGGTGCGAAGGGTGCGAATGAGCATTCGCATTCAGCTGTCCAGGTCCCTCTGCAGATAAAAATGTCCGCGGATAGGCGGTACGTACCTCCACCACCTTGACGCTGAAGGAGCCCGACCATCCCCAGGGGGATCCACACGTTGCTCCAGTGCTACCGCGGTTTACCTGTCACTCAGGCACGCTCCATTGGTTCTCTTCGTTTTCCCATTCTCTGCTCCCTTGTTTGCAGGTTCCGTTGCCTGCGCTCTCGAGGTGTTGTTGCGCTGCGCGGCGCTGCGCGGCGCTGCGAAAGGAAGTCCGTAAGGTACTCGGCGCTCACTTCTCTGTCTGCACACTTTCCCGGTTTGCTGGAAACGCCCGGGACCGCTTCATACCTTACAGTACCTCTCCGTCTTCACGAACAGTCCATCAGATCGGATCGTGTTGTGTGGTCTGTTCTCGCACGCTGCTGCATGCCGGCCGCCCTTATATTTGGTGGTGTTGTTTCCCCTGCCACACCAAGGGTCAGCGCCGGTATTACCTCTCATCAATCAACGGCGCCAAGCCAAGAAATAGGACCCAAGCAGGGCAAAGGCAGCTGGCCAGCAACGCTAGCCCGTCGTTCCCACGAGACACAGCCGCCGCCGCCGTTGAGTTCGACCGGCCACCTGCACTCAGCACGCACTCACTCAACCCAACGGCTGCTGCTGCTGCTGCGGCTGTCCCTCCTCCCGTCACGCGCTCTCTCGCCCTACCTCTCCAGTACCTTACCTTAAGGTTCCTTGCTTTTTTTCTACCCTTCCTTTCCCTGCCTTCCTTTTCCCTTCGCGCCTTTCCTTCAATAATCCTTCTCTTCCCCTCTATCCTCTGTGTGTGTGGTTCGAGTTCGCTTCTACCCTCTGTGCTCTCGCACCAACCTCCCTTTCGACTTTGAAGAAGCACCAACAGCACACTGCGTTGTCTTGTTACGCGCCTAATATCGATACATCCACCTTTTGCCGCTACCACCGGAGGGCGGAGTGCATATAATATGAGAGCCCTCCGCCGCGCGATTGAGAAAGCGTTGAACCCCAGACGCTCTCAGCCCCCGTCCACTTCGGCATAGTCGCCCTTATTCAGTCCCGCCCCAGCCGCGGCTGCGACCGCGATGAGCACAGCCAGTCACCCGCCTGGCAGTTCTGGCTCGCCCGATTTCCGAGCTTCCGTCGGTACCAGTAGCACTGCAATCGACACAGGTGCTTCGCGATTGAGGACCCCGCGGTCTCTCCCTCGTAAGTACCCTCGAGGCGATTTTCGCTGGGTGGTCGTGGCTGGCTGCGCACCTTGCTGACCTACCCTCCCTTTGCAGCATGGATCGATTCCTACGAGACACGATACGGCCAGGCCACAGAAGACCAGCTGCGATTGCTCTCACCCCCGGCGCCGGCCGTTCCTCCTCAGCACAATCATGCGCCCGCCGAACCCGATCGTCGAGTATCCCGAGATGGCTACGTTGACCTCGCCGGCGACCCGTTCCTAGAGAACTCCCGCACGCGCCCGAAAATCAAACTCACAGACGTCTTCAGAGGCAAAGGAGCACAGCACGGAAGAAAATGGGACCACTTGCGGACCGCAGATCCCGTCATCGTCTCGAAGCACCGAGCAGCGACACAAGGCCCGCCCGCCGCATGGCGAGACTTCCTCCAATCCTCGACATATGGGCACATGGAGGGCGAGGAGTCGGAAGTTGTGGACGTATCAGTGCTGGATAAGTTGCAGCCTGACTTCAACAAGCGCTATGACGAAACGATGCATCGAGACGTGGAGAGTAAGACCTCAAGGAGGAAACAGTCCAAGACCATCTGGAAGAGGCTGTGGTCCATGGTATTACGACACTACCTGATCCCTCTCACCTTCCGACTCACGGTCATGGTTACATCGATTATTGCTCTTGCGATTGCAGCTCGTATTTATAAGGTAGAGAATGCCAAGAGCGGATCGAGTCCTGAACGCGCACAAAGCATTGTGGCCATTGCAGTCGATACGGTCGCACTGCCTTACATCGGCTACATGCTCTGGGACGAGTACACAGGCAAGCCTCTGGGTCTTCGCCCGGCTGTGCAGAAGATCTCCCTAATTCTGCTGGACCTCTTCTTCATCATATTCAAATCCGCCAGTACGTCCCTGGCGTTTGAATCTCTGGTTTTCCATAATGTGGACGCAGGCCCAGCGAGGCACCTGTCAAAGGCACTGGCATCCTTCCAGCTGGTAGGGCTGCTGGCGTGGACCATGAACTTCGTGGTCAATATTTTCCGTACGGTACAACGACTTGGCGGAGGCGAGGATGAAAGCTCTCACGATCACATGTAGCTGGACAAGCCGCCTTGGGCTCTCTTGGTTGGGTATACCCGGTGTATTAAAAGCCTGTACTATAGCTGGAGTGCGGATGCTCTTTATGGCTCTCCTTTGTTAATGATTATTACTTCAATACATGTGTTATGTCACACCAGTGTGTGTTGGGCTTCTCTTTCTTTGAGTGGGAAAAATGTGCTGTCTTACTGACTTTTAATATCTTGGCTACAGTGGAGAGGCGAGAGAACATGAGTGGAAAATCTGATGCATTTCTCTTTGGTCCAAGCGTGCCGTACATACATACCAGCAGCCCCTAGACCTCTCTGTAACTGCTGGCACTGGTTCCTTGGGTCTTGGACGAGCGGCTTTGTCCGGTGCCGTCCGCAGACCAGGACAGCGTTGCAAGGTTCTTGCAGTGTATCTTTTCAACTTCAGACGGACGGGCGTGGGGCATTCAACAACAATAAGCAGCAGGCCATTGAGACATGTTCATGACTTGACACGATTGGACGCAGCAGACCAAAAATTACAGCCATCATCTTGAATATTACGTATCTGGAAAGGGACGTCAATACGTCTTGTCCACGTGATGCATGATTATTTATGTAAGAGCCAACCTGGAATGCCATCACAACCTCAGCCTGAAGATGTCGGCGATGCTCGAGCAACCTGGGGAAAGTGATACGGAGTAAGGCTGAAAATGCCCGGAGGATACATTTAACTTGATCGATCTCACCCCCTGGCAACTAGGTAGGCAGCCCATGGGCGCCTAATTAAGCACACGGCACCGCAAAGCACGCCTTGCCTTTCCCAGAGTGCATCACTTGAGGCTGATGGGCGGTCAGAGGCGGCAAAACCGCAAGCTAGCCTCATTCAGGTATGCCCCCACAAGTCCCCCCGACCGGCCCATGGATTGAAGGTCCCACGCCCAGGACATCCACCAGTGCGACTTCAGTGTCAGTGGCCCGTCTTCAGTTCCTCCACCACCGGACGCCTCCATACGCCGTACAAGCACTCACACACCCAAAGCAGCATCCGTCCACTGACTGCCTCCGGCTGCCTGCCTGCCTGCCTCTGCCTGATTGAACGCGCTGACCTGTTCTGGTCCAGGCTGTGACTTCCTTCTTTTCTGCTTCCATCTTCTTCCTGCCCTTTCAGAATATCTTCGTCCTCACTTCCCTCCTGCCCGCTCTGACTCAGACAAAGGGCGCCGCGTTCCTGTCCTGCCCACGCAGCTCCTCCAACTTCGTAAGGCAGCCGGCTCTCTCCTACCTCGCTCCCCTCTCTCCATCCCTCCATCACGTCCCAAACCCTTGCGACCAACAGCCCTCAACCGCGCCCGCCTCTGCTTCCAACCCTGATGCGAAAGAGGTCGACCCTGGTGCCGCCACCCTTTCTGACCACATCCATCACCACGTCCTGATTCTTCGGCACCTTTCTGGCAACCGCGGGACCGGAGACACCACGTCCATTCATTGACCCGTCCACCGAAACTTACGTCGAGATTTTTTTTAACAGTTTCTATTTCTACAGAGCAGCACCCCGCTCCCCGCGAAACCTCCTGTCGACTACCTCCCGTCGGCCAACATCTTATCCCCCCCATCAACGGCCACGACGGCCTCGCCACACTCTTCTGCCGAACAAGATACACGACGACTACGGATACGATTCGAGACCCTCGGGTGTTGACAGTAGAGAAGATGGCGCCCACAGTTCAGCAGATGCCTCCGGTTCCCAACAGGGAGGACATCGGAGCAACGTGAGTCGACTTTTGCAGCCTTGCGACGCCTCTGGCTTCGCTGCTGGCCGACAACCCGCGCTGACTGTTTGCAGATGGAAATATCTCGAGGCCGGGATCCAGCGTATCATGCTTGATCTCGAGCGCGGTATTGACATGCAGATCGTGAGTCCCCTCGCTGCCCCGCGCCTTCCCTCCCTCTGCGGGCTTGCCGCCTGATGCAAGATTGCTGACCTTTCCTTCGTGCCGCAGTACATGGGAGTATACACGTAGGTAGCGCTGATCGATTGTTGTTGAACCACTCTGACCTAGTTGCAGTGCCGTCCACAACTTTTGTACATCTCAGAAGGCCGTTGGGCTCTCAGTGCCTCAAGGAAGTATTGGTTCTGGCAATCACAGAGGAGGTAAGTCAGCAGCCAAGATTCGCATGCAAGAATGTGCCCGTGCTGACCACTGGGAATGAACAGCCCACCTCCTTGGCGAGGAACTTTACAATAAGCTCATCGAATACCTCAAGTCCCACCTCGAAGGACTCGTCCAGCAATCCAAGACACACACCGACGAGGCTCTCCTGACATTCTACATCAAAGAATGGAACAGATACACGGTCGCCGCCAAATACATCCACCACCTGTTCCGGTATCTGAACCGACACTGGGTCAAGCGTGAAATGGACGAGGGCAAGAAAAACATCTACGACGTCTACACGCTCCACTTGGTCCAATGGCGTAGGGTGCTGTTCGAAGACGTATCTGGGAAGGTCATGGAGGCGGTGTTGAAGCTCGTCGAGAAGCAACGCAATGGCGAGACGATCGAGTACGGCCAGATCAAGCAAGTCGTTGATTCCTTCGTGTCCCTCGGCCTCGATGACTCCGATCCCACCAAGTCGACCCTCGACGTCTACCGCTTCCACTTCGAGAAACCGTTCTTAGAACATACGAAGACCTACTACCAGAATGAGTCTAAGCAGTTCGTGGCCGAGAACAGCGTGGTCGAATACATGAAGAAGGCTGCTGCTCGTTTACAGGAGGAGGAGGAGCGTGTCAAGATGTATCTTCACGCTGATATCATCAATCCCCTCCGGAAGACCTGTAACCAAGCTCTTATTGCGGATCACTCCCAGCTCTTGCGAGACGAATTCCAGGTCCTTCTCGACAACGACAGAGAAGAAGACATGGCCAGGATGTACAACCTTCTATCAAGAATTCCCGAAGGTTTGGATCCTCTCCGCCAGAGATTCGAGACTCATGTCCGTAAGGCCGGCCTGGGAGCAGTACAGAAGGTGGCATCGGATGCAGAGAAGCTGGAGCCCAAAGTCTACGTCGATGCGCTGTTGGAGATCCATTCTCAGTACTCGGGCTTGGTAACGCGAGCTTTCGAAGCTGAGGCAGAGTTTACGAGATCCCTTGACAACGCCTGCCGCGAATTCATCAACAGAAACGAGGTCTGCAAGTCGGGCTCCAACAAGTCTCCTGAGCTGTTGGCCAAGTACACGGATGTTCTGCTTCGCAAGAGCAGCACCGGAATCGAGGAGGGCGAGCTTGAGAACACTCTCACGCAGATCATGACCGTTTTCAAGTACATCGAGGACAAGGACGTCTTCCAAAAGTTCTACTCCCGCATGCTGGCTCGCAGATTGGTCCACAGTAACTCCTCGTCGGACGATGCAGAGACAAGCATGATCAGTAAGCTTAAAGAGGCGTGCGGTTTTGAGTACACGAACAAGCTCCAGAGAATGTTCCAGGACATGCAGACCTCCAAGGACTTGAACGTCAGCTTCAAGGAGCATGTTGCGGGTCTTGGCATTACCAAGAACGCTCTGGACTCCCAGTACTCGATCCTGGGTACCGGTTTCTGGCCGTTGACAGCACCAAACACCAGCTTCACTCCACCCGCTGAGATCAATGAGGACTGTGAGCGATTCGCTCGCTTCTACAAGAATAGGCACGAGGGTCGCAAGTTGACGTGGCTCTGGCAGTTGTGCAAGGGTGAGCTGAAGGCAGGGTACTGCAAGAACAGCAAAACGCCCTACACCTTCCAGGTGTCGGTGTATCAGATGGCGATCTTGCTCATGTTCAACGACAAGGACAAACACACCTACGAGGATATCGCCGGTGTGACCCTGCTAAGCTCTGAGGTCCTGGACCAGGCTCTGGCCATCCTGCTCAAGGCCAAGGTTCTCATCATCTCCCCCGATGGCAAGCCCGAGGCAGGCAAGAGCTTCAGGCTCAACTACGACTTCAAGAGCAAGAAGATCAGAGTGAACTTGAACCTCGGAGGAGCCAAGGAAGCCAAGCAGGAGGAAGTGGAGACCAACAAGACGATCGAGGAGGACCGCAAGCTGTTGTTGCAGGTACGTATCTGGCGAATCCGACTCACCTTTTGACATATGCTAACAAGCCACACAGTCTGCCATCGTTCGTATCATGAAGGCGAGAAAGAAGATGAAGCACACGCAGCTCGTCAGCGAAACTATCAACCAGATTCGGTCGCGCTTCGTGCCAAAGGTTTCGGATATCAAGAAGTGCATAGAGATTCTCCTCGACAAGGAGTACTTGGAACGGCTCGAGGATGACGAGCTTGGATACTTGGCGTAATTGGGATCGGGCTTTTCCTCTCGAGAAGAGGAAATACCCTCTTGCCTCTCTCGATTGTCTATGTATTACAACACTCTCAAAACTGCATACACACAACCTCATCTTTACCAGGCACTCGATTTGCGTTACACGGGCACACTCAGGTGTGTGCAGGCTCCCCAGCGACAGGAACGAGGAATGCTTCACGAAGGGGGCTGTTTTCTTCGGGTTAGGGGCGACCGGCAGGTGGGCAGGGTTAGATAGCCGCATGCGGATTCCTCATATTGACTGTTAAAATATGCCACAGACAATGACCACGGTGACGCCTAAGATGAGCGATTCCACTCAATTAGTACTGACTGCGGCACTGCAGTACAACGGAGAGAGGCAGCCATAGGGTAGTAGACGTCTGGGATGTGTAGGTCCGCGGGGACGTGTAAGGATGAGTGTCAAATCATTCAAAGCCATGATATCCATCGCGGCCACACCGACGATATTGCTAGAAAATAGAACCTCCAACCCTGCCCTCTAGTACCTGGCCTTACCGTCAGCATCATGGCGCTTGTTGTGCAAAGCTAGCCGCCACCGCGACACCTTTGCACATCAGTCGTACTTGCTTTCCCGGGCATTGTCAAAAGCTTACTGGGTGTAAGACTGGTTCCTGGTAGCATTCCGCCTTACCCTCACCTATCAACGCAAGGAAAGTTAATTGACCCTAGACATGCTTGAGCAGGCAGATTTGGAGATTTCTAGGCACCCGGCAACGCTCTGTCGTCACATCAGCTCGGTTCCACCGACAGTTCAGCTACTTGAGAATTTTTCATATAGTTTGACCAGGGTTCCCACTGTAGTCGGTCGCCTTCGCGAGTCTTCTTACGGATTATCGAACAGCGAAGGGGCCGTAGAGTGGATAGATGGGCCACGATCTCCCCACAGCTCGGCCTCCGATGTACGCCGCATGGTCTATTTCCAATACGACGTGTCAAAGCATACGGTACGTTGTGATATCTAATTTCCCTCTACGGGGGGGAATTTGGACCTTGATTTACAGACGGCTGCGCTGAACAACTGTATGTGTAGTTGCAATAAGTTGGCGAAAGGGGCCAACCATGCTAGAGCACCACTCCTCGACATACACACACAATCAGCCCACTGCCCACGACAGTATTTTCCCATTTATGAAAGGTACTGGCGAGGTCTTTGTTCACCTTCGGATGGTCGGCAAGCTGTTTACAAAATTCAAGCGTACATCACCCTATGGATACAACTGGGAGCATGGCGCAGCAGACAAGTTGCCAAACATCACCATATCCAGTAAGAAGTCTGGCAAGATGCGGTGGGAATGATACAAACTTGTCGATTGGATGATGTCTCGTTGTGAACTCGAGCTCACTGGCAATACGTCGTATCTCATGGATGAAGCGGAAAGCATGGTTCACAGAGTCGACTGACGCTCTTGCAAGTGCTCCCAGCTCTTGGAGTATATAATTTCGCCTTCATCGTCGTTCTTGGAAATGCCTGAACCAACTCGTCAGCGCAATCTTTCAGCTTCAAAACAGTCTTATTTGCGTTCCAAGCAGCTCCATCTTCAGTCAAGATGCAATTCTCCGCCCTCCTCGCCACCATCGCCGGCCTCGCCGTCGGCGTCAGCTCCGCAGCTCTCAATGTTCGCGGCGAAGACGTCGGCTGCGTCGGCGCCTGTCGTCACGACTACGTTTGCATCTCCCAGTGCTTCGACAAGCGCGGCCTCGAAACCCGCCGGTCGGCTGCGCAGCAGTGCGTCTTTGGATGCGCCAAGGATGACTATGGCTGCTACGCCAACTGCTTCAACGAGCGTGATGAGAGGACCGCCTGAGTTGGAGCTTGCGGCCATGATTATGCCTGCATCGGCAGATGCTTTGAATAGACTTCGTCATGCTGTGACCTTGGTAAGTGCGGCAGAATACTTCAACATTCTGAAATTCACGGCGGTGGCTGACCGTTCCTGTTCCAGCAGCACAGCAGTACAGCAGCAGGCAGAACACAGCACAAGTGGCATCAACTACCAAAACTGTTGGTAATAAAACATTCGTTCCATTCTTTTACAAGGCTACTAGCTCGTATCCAAAAGAAAATGTACGCACAATACTATTAGACGCATAGACTGCAATCTCGATCATCTCAGTCACTGTCCAATCGGGCTATGACCCAATTCTGTTTGTCCACAATCTCAAAGTTGGCCGTGCTAGCACGTATTATCAGACCGTGGGATATTAGCTCTGCCATAGTTTCATTTGGTGATGTCTTAACTCTTGGAGGTTCTCTGGATACAATGCTCCTGACATGAGCAGTGTCAACAGATATCATACAGGAAACCTGAAGGGCTCCTCAGTGAACGCAGGTGGACACAAAGAAGACCGAGTTGTCCTAGATATGTATGGGAAGACTTGGTATACACATTTCATACTGTTAACGACCGGTGAGATTAGCAGCTCACTGCAACACGCTGGGATGTATTTGTGCTGAATCACCCGCGAGACATAGTTTGGTTTGCTACAAAACAGCTGACATTTGTTTGCTGGATAATTTACACAGAATAACAATGCCGAGATTCCTGGCTCGTAAATGCGCTCATCAGGCCCCGGAATGAGACACATCAACCAGACTCGAGCAATGGCATGCCCCTAAACTGTGTGAGACCTCGCGAAGTATTCATAGCTTGAACCCTCCCACCAGCAAGCTGGTATACACTCCTTCGGTGTCGTATTTGGCCTTGATGGTCTTTAGCCGTTGCAGATTTGCGGCGTTGTACGTGTTGAACACATCCTGCCCATTTCCCGCGTTGTTGAGATACAAAAAAGGAACCATCTTGTCTCCCAACTTGGCGCTCATCTCTGAGTTGATGTCCGCAATGAGCGTCTCAATGGCGCCAGTGTCGTTCTTGAGCGACCAAGAAAAGGTCTGCTCACACATAAAGTACGGCCCTGCATCGCTGTCAATACCCATAGGATCGCCAGCCGGATCAGCCCCCCGGTTCGTCTCGATGAAGGACCGCGAGATAAGGTTCATAGCAAGCGTGGAGATGAACCCTTTGATCGCTGGGCCGCGTTCCTGGGCAAGCTGAAAAAATGCGTCGTGCGCGGTGTACAAGGCATCGAGGTTCGACAACATGGTGAAGCCGTGAAATCGGAAGTTCTGGCCGTGCACCTGGTCGAAGCCCTGGTCGGCCTCGGCTGACCAGTTAGCCAGAGTGCGGGTTGCAAAAGTGCTGGTCTTCGGGATGACCTGCGGGGGGAGAAATCGTTGCAGTGCGGAGGGAGAGGTTTCGTTGTTGTCGTTGTAGAACAGCGTCGCCGAATATGTAATGTTAGGCCCCGCGGCTGGGACGTAGGAGATGGTCGGGAGGACAAAAGCTCGTTGGTCCTGCACTCCATTCCGGGAGAAGTCGTACAGGTCGGCAAGGAAGGAGTCACGCTGGCCGGAGCCGTAAGCCACGTTGCCAACGGCCACCTTCTCAATCTCGTATGTCTTGAGATCGAACCTGGTGACAATGGCGAAGTTGTTGCCCCCTCCACGGAGTGCCCAGAAGAGATCAGAGTATTCGTTCGTTGAGGTGGCGTAGACGATAGACCCGCTGGATAGAACAGCCTATGTCCGCTTAGTCTTCTTTCTTATCATACAATCCTGGGGAGAGAGAGATTCTTACCTCATAGCCCACAACATTCCCTGACGCCCATCCATACTGGTTGCCCAAGAAGGACATTCCTCCTCCTAACATGAATCCGGGAACCCCGACGACGCCAATGCGACTACCCACAACTGCCAAACCGTCTGGGGACAGGTAGCTGTATATGTCTGCCCAATTATGACCGGACGCTACCGAGATCGACTTGCGGTCGTCGGCTAGTTGAAGGCCCGTTAGGTTTGTGGTGGCCAACAGGATTCCGTTTGAATCAACGTTCGCAACGCCTGGTATGGGCATCCACCCGCCTCCGCGCACCGCAAATTGGACCCCAGATTGTGCCAGTATCTGCACTGCAGTTGCCATACTTTGCGGGCTGTCGGGTGTGAAGATGCAAGCCGGACCGAGCCACTCTTCCGCACTGAAATATCCTGATTGAAGCGTCAGTGTCCATCATGTTCTCCGTTCTGATACTAGTATCTTAGTGAACATATAAACTTCAAAGGAAGAAGGTGTTTGAAGGACCTGGGATCGGGTCCAAGATATTATCCATCTTCGGCGAAGGCATTGCTGCAAGAGCCATCATATGACAACATACCTTCATTGATAGAAGAGTAACCGGTATTGTTAGGAAGCAGAGTGAGTTGGGGAAAACTCTGCACGAACGAAACGCAGATTTCCGTGACAGTTCGATTCGATGAACACTCGGCGAGATTCGTGAGCATCGACGCAGCCAACATGAGTTGACTGTGGCGTGGTTGGCGCCCGAGCATCTTGTAAAGAACAAAGACTCAAACAGAAAAAGAGTACAGAGGGGAGGGAAGAGACTATCAAGAAATATACTTCAGCGTAAGTCAAGTTATTTTCAACAGAGATGACTTAGTCGCCCCAAAGGAAAACAGCAAGATGTTGAACATGTTGAGGACGAGCGGAATTTATCTACTGGACCGCTTCTTCGGCACTGTCGTCAGCGCACTCCTAACTCTATATACGACGTATTTACCAGTATACATAAAGACAAGTTCTTCAGATTATAGAGTAAGGCATCTGTATTATCAATGGGGAATACGTCGTATTCGCTAATGCACCGATCTAGAGGTTTAAGATGGCAGAGCACAGACGTGCAGATCATCTGGGTGTAAGTGGACGGCAAATGCTTCGCCACGCGGGAATTAGAGACAGAGGGCCAATCTAGGGCTAATCTGCCTTATACATGCGATGTATCCTTATACATGCGATGTTAATGACAGCATATGTCTGTGTGTATCTTTGAGTGACCTCGTTTGACATGTTCTGTTAAGATGATGTTGTCCCAAAGCTCTCCGGACTGGTCGCAGCGAATATAGTCAACCTCACACTGGGTTATCACCACATACGACCATACCCACTGGAAAACTCGGGATCCCGTCCGCTCTCCCATAGATAAGCCAGTGAGGGCTGGATTAGTAGTTGGGTCGGTGACGACCAGCGAATACCCGGTGTTGTATGTATGTTTTTGGTGTTGACGTCCTTTTTGCCCCACTGCAAGAGGAGTGTGTGGATGTGGGCTCCCGTAGCGTCGAGCTTTAACTACTTCCTACCGCTGTTATCTAACATAGCTCCTCGTTGACAGCAGTTGGCGGCTTCTGTTTTAGTTAAAGCAACATATCATACGTTTGTCTGAATTTTCATTTGAAGCTAGGCGTTTAGGGTTGTTGTGTAATGGTCTACTGGGGAGAAACCCGGAGGTGATTGCTATGACACCTTCACACACCTAGCCATCTGCAGCTTGAGATTTTTGATTGTGAAAACCGCACCACGGCTTCTGAGACCGCATTCTTTCTGTGATAGTCTCTTACAATTCATCCCATTGTCTCCCCGTATTATCGTCTTGACCGTGGCCATCTCCCAGTGTGTATCGGAAGAGCTCAGTCAGCTTCACCACCCTCGATGACTGTAGAATCAACGATTGTCCCAACTCGCTTGCCCTTATATGTCAAGACAACCTGCGACTCGCCGGCTCCATCTTTGGGATGACGCATAGTGACATCGACTCCCCTTAGGCCTTCCTCCTCAGCTCGTTGATTCCAGAGCATCTGCCGAATAATGCCGTCCTCGGAGCACGAGATGAATCCCATCGGCCATCGGCTTCGTCCGAGACCTTCGCGTACCCCTTTGCTTGCTGTTTTCGTGCTTACAAGGAAGGCAATGACTCCTTCGCCACGCCAACCAACTGGGGCACCAATAAAGGCCCCTTCCAATTCTCGGATGACCGCAGGAGTTACCTTCTGAGCCCCTCCTTTGCACTGAAAGATGAGCTTCAAGCTGGTTTTTCGCGACGGTAGTTTCCAATGTCCGAGCAGATCGACACCATAGTCTGAGACGCCACCCACTCTCATAGCTTGAATTCCACATTGAGAGAGAATCGACGACACGGTGTATTCGTAATGAGTTCCAACATAGATGGTAGATGCCGTGTCAAGCCCAGTTCGATCTGCATAGTCTAGGAAAGACGCAAGGTCATGGTGCTTTGCTGTTGATGCGTCGGGAACCGGCAAGTCCTGCCCTTTTTTCCCCTTCTGTCTCAGTGATGTTCGTGTCGAGAGTTGACGTGGTTGACCGGCATGGGGAAGAAGTCGCAGAGGACGAAACCATTTCCTGTCTAGTGAGCGTCGCAGAGCATACATGCTCCTGGGATATGGCAAAGTTGGTTTCGGCAGAAGCGTCCTGGCATGTTCCGGCGCAAAAAGCCCATCACTTATTGAAGAAACATGGCCTGGGACGATGAGTTGAAGTTGAGGTACGGTGGGTACGTACCGAACACGCTTTTCTGCTGCTCCATTCGATATTGATCTGGCCCGTGCGCCACACGCGGAATACCTGCCGCTGCCAGCCGTCATACGAGCCGTCTGCGGCACTTCAACCAAACTGAGATCAATGTCAACAACGGCCACTAGACGACCGGCAACATGGGTGACAGACTCACTCAACTGCAAGACGCTGTGGATCAGGTAAGAGATAGTCCCTCCTTCTTGCCATGCGACACCGTGATCGCTGACACATCCTTTAGCTTGCCCAGCAATTCGTCGCAAGCTTCCACTTCGTCCACCGACGCCACGACCTAGAACTTCTTGGCCCCAACGACAAGATACGCGATGTCAAGCAGGAACCGGATCAGAAGGAGGGTACGATAACCGCTGCAGATGTTCATCGGTAGCCTTTGAGCATTTTGACTGACAGCGCGCAGTGGACCCTCTCCCCGCGGACGAATTCAAGGAAGGCCTAGCTGAGCTGTCACGCGACTTGATTATAACGGAACAACAAATCGAAGTCCTCATTTCCAGTCTGCCAGGCTTGGATAGCAGCGAGGTTGATCAGGAGCGATACATACAGGAGTTGGAAGACGAGCTCAAGGTTGCCAAGGCACAGAGACAGGACGCAATTAAGGAGAAGGACCAGATCCTCGGTAAGCTCGACGAGGTCATCAGAAGCATTCGCAGACCTTGAGCGTCGGCGGGTGACACATTTATCTGAGGGAAACTGGGAGCGGCGTTTGGACGGCTTTTTCTTTTGGCGTTGAGCAAGGAAAAGAATTGGGGGTATGCTACCAACATCTATGAAACCATTGATACCCATTACATCAGGGGTTCTACATCGTTCTACATCTCTAATAATCCCCGTTACCCATTGTGCTTGATCACGACACAACTCTGTATCAGTGCCTGGGCCTTCTATGATATTAGACGTTCTTTGACTTGAAGAATTGAGGGAATGCCCCTCGTAGCTCTCTAAGGTGTCGGATCTGGTGCTTGGATGCCTGTGTCCTCGGCACAGGCAGTCCCTCCTCCACCAGGTGCGCCACATTCCAGCCGTACTCTGTGGCCTTTTGACAGTTCAAGTACGAGTCGTCTATAGTCGAACGTCAGCTCGAGGTCTGCTGTATCATGATGCCAATTAACTTACCAACAAAGTAGCAGTCCTCCATCTTTTCGACACCAGCCTCCTTCATGGCTCTGAGGTACATCTCCTTGGCAGGCTTGCAGACCAACGGCTGGGCTCCGTAATCGCAAAAGGTCAGTCCATCAAAGAGGTCGTCGATCCGGAGTAGTTTAACGACACGCTTAGCGTGATTGACATAGGCATTGGTAAGAAGCCACATGGTGCATTTGCTCTTGTCGACGTCCTCAAGCAACTCGCGCAATTCATGGTTGTACTGCAGAATGTCCTCGAGGGGAAGGGCGTCGTCGACCTTTGAGTTGTACTCCAGAGGATCGATTTGATGGTGTCTCACCAAGCCTTCAATAGCTAGGCCATAGTTCGTATAATATTCCTTGTGCAGTTTCACTGCGTCCTCCCAGGAGAGTGACAAATGCTTTGCGAAGTATTCGTCGATGAGTTGCGCCATATGGTCCTGTACCCTTGAGCCTGGAAAGTGTCAGGTTGCGAGATTACATCTCAATGGTCTCAAAAGCTTACTCCGCGGGTATAAACAGTTATCAATATCACTGATACCTGTTAGCGGTGGCTCGAAAAGATGCAAATAACGTCAACCTACAAGAACAGCACCGGCTTCGGAGCTGAGACTCCATTGGGTTGGATACTGGGATCCATGACTACTGGCCTGGAGGTGTGTGAATGGCGTAGGCTATGTCGAAAGACTGGGTTAAGAACCGGGGCAAAGTTGGGCTGCTCAATTATTCGTGTTGATATGAGTGGTCGCGGTAGTTGTTGAGAATAAGACCTTGAAGATGGAATTGGGGAACGGAAGGTTCTCAATAGGCGTGGGAGTCTGGCTGGCATGAAGGACACAAGACCAGGCAGTTGGAATCTCAGTGGCACTCTTTTATTTCTCGAGGTTGCAATCTCAATGGTTCAATGATGACAAACGGAAGCTGAGGGTCTGGCTTTGCTTAATACACGGCGTAGAGAGCTGAATAGTGTCTTGTGGTTGAGTCACGTCGGCGAGAAGGCATGCATGCTACGTTGCTACTTCTGAGGTAATTACTGAGGTAGGACGGACAGCAGCGGGCGGTTTGCAGGGGGTAGCTCCCGGCTGGATGACGGCAACGGGTGGCTCCGATGGCTGGAGAGTACACAGGCCGGAAACAGCCCGCTTAAGTGCATCCCTGCTAGGAAATTACTGTATCCATTCTTCCAAACTTGCGCTAGGTCGCCTTGATCCCGGGAATCAAGTACCACCACGCACACGACCCAGCTGACTCGGGTTTTCTCTCTGCATCATTTGATCCACCAGCAAACAAACAAGAAAAATCCGACTCCTTTTCGATTCTGTTCCACAGAAGAGCAGAATCTCTTTCATTTCTTCCTGTATTCTGTACTCATCAGCCTGTGTAGGGTTTTACCGTCTAGTCTTTCTGCTGTTCGCTCGCATTCCTTTCTTTCCTTGCTGTCTGTGGCTTTTTCTTGCTTGAACGTCGACCTTTCGCGCGGAGAAGATTTCTGCGCTGCTTGCTCGTCGCCATGGCTGAAGGCCAGCTTGCGACGCTGCCGCCGATGGCCTCACACGCCTCTGCCCCAAGTCTCTCGAAAGATGAACTTTATCAGTTACAGCAGTGCGAGAGGATCATTCAGTTTCGCGATGCCATTCTTGCCGGCGCCCATCCTAGGATCAAGGTGCCAGCCAATTTGGCGAAACAAACACCTGCTTTTGCAAACGCTTCTCTGTCCAACCCTTCCACGCCGGCAAAAGACTCGGCTGCAGTCGGTCAGCCCGACCAGCCTGGGGGCTTTCAGTTGGTTGCAAACACGCAAAACGCGTCTCTTCCGGGTTTGGGAAACCTGCTCCCGACTAACGCGAATCTGCCCCAAAGACCATATGGCTCCGGCAATACTGAGATCAATCCTATTTTCCTCGAGAAATCTGATGACCTGATCAAAGCCGAGATCCAGCTCCAGAGGCAGCGCCTTGAGCGAGCATTGCGGGACGAGGTCGACCAACGACGGGCGGCTGTGAAGGCTTCGGCTCAGGCAGAGCCACTCGCCGATATCGATCTCTCCGATGTCCTCTCCAAAGCTCTCACTCTTGTCCAAGCTACCACAACCATGCCTGCCAATGCTATGCTGGCTGCTAACACTTCAGCTGCAAGTGATTCATTTGATGAGAACTCGTACTACTCCTCCCAACACAACTCGCCCGACTCTTCCCTCCTCAGTTCCCGCGCAGGCAACGAGCCTGACGCTGCCACGCAAGCAAACAAGGCGTCTGCGCCTTCACAACCCTTCGACTTCCAGACTCAGGTTCAAACCAGTCCAACCTCCGGCCTGCCTTCCTCGCTTTCCCATGCGTCTGCTACTCATCAGCCACAGGGCCAAGCTTCGACGTTCACTCCATCCCACGCACGAGCTGCCCCGAGTGCAGTCGATATCGCACAATATGACCGAGAACCGTCGGTAGGCACGACGCAAAGAACAGAAGGGGGAGATAACACAGGTTCAACTTCAGGAGGTGGGAGCGGAAATGCCAGTCGATCTGAGGAGTCAGGCGTCATAGAACTTGACAACAGTGCTGATAGGTCTGTTCCAGTAGCAGGACGCCAGCAACTGAGAGACTCTTTGCTTGATCGTCAACCTTCGCCACTTATTCAAGTCCGGGCTCACAACATATCTCCCATCGCCCCACAGCCCGCACACGTTTCGTCTCTAGCCATTGCTCGGGTTCCAGCAGTAGATGCGCAAGACGTGAGCATCCCTCAAGGGACCACGGCGCAAGTCAGGGCTTTGCGCAATGAGCCCAATACTATTTCTAGTCCTGATAGTTCGCCACAAGGAGGACGGAATATTGAGAAGCGAAAGGGCAAGAAAAAGAACAAGGTGAACAAGAAGGCGGCCCGGCAAGCGCAGGAGGCCGAGCCTTACATCAAGCCTGAACCCCGGTCACCCTCTCCCATGAACGCGCCTTCGTTTATTCGACCCCCCAAGCGCCAGAGAAGACAGGGAGAGGAGGAGCCTCGATATGCCCAGTCAGAGCGCCAATTTTCTCGCTCCTACAGGGACGAAGCCGCAGCTCCAGCTTACGAGAACCAAGAGTATCGCCGACCTGTCAGTCAAGCCGCCGTTGCTGCTGAATACGGGTACGGAAGAGAGTACGTGGAGGATGCCCGCGTCCCTAGTGGCGCAGAGTATGTACGGCGAGTACAGTCGCCTGGCGTATACGCCGTCCATACTGCGCCGAGTGAGATTTACGCAACTTCTCCAGCTAGTGTCGATCGCTACGGTAGGGAACCTACACGATACTACCGAGACGGCTACGAGGTCACGCGTATGAGTACTCGCCCCGTGGCTGAGCGTGGAAGATCTCGTTCCCCGGCCATGAGGGGGAGAGGATCACCACTTATGGGACCCCCGAAGGGGCCGCCTGCCAGAGTCGTAGTAGATCCCACTAGCGGCCGCAGATACTACGAACCCGCCAGCGTGCTTCGTCAGTCGGCCGCGCCGCAACAACCAGAGATTATTTACGAGAGAGCACCGATCCGAGCCGAGTCCAGACGGCCCGGGCCGGACCCGCGCGACGATGACGTCCTTTACCAGAGAACCTCACCCATGTACGCGGTACCACGCCGTGTGCTCACCCAGCCAGAGTATGGAACGTCAGATGCTCATCGTATATATCGCCAGCGGGAATACTCGTCGAGACCGATGCCGCCACCAGGAGAGGAGTATGTTCAGATAAGGGGCGGAACGGAGCGGCGCATTGTGGAGGGGTTGCCACAGGAGTACATGATGCGTGCGACGACGGTGCGTCCGGCCGAGACGATACGATACGAACTTCCTCGGGAGTATGGGAGAGTACAGAGCGTGAGACCAGAGCAGCTGCCTGTTCGGGACTACGGCGGTGCGCCCATACACCCGGAAAGTCGACGGGAGGTGATCCCGCCCATTCCTCGTTCGTACAGCGTACGGCCGGCAGCCGAGTCCCACGTTGTGCGGAGAGAGTATAGTGTCAGGCCGCTGGATCAGCCGTACTACGGTCAGCCGGTCCCCGCCCGGGGTGAACCGGAGGTATCGTATATTGAGCGGCCGAGAGTGGCCGCCCCGGAAGTATACTACACCGAGGAGGGGCCCCGTCAGGTGTATCGGTGAGAAGCTTTATGAGGAACGGCAGTCATATGGCTGGCTATCGAACAGTAAAAGTAAATTTGAAATGGAAGATTCCATTGGGCGCGGAAATCAGAGAGAAGGAAGGGACGGGATGGAATTCGGGATGGGCTTTTCGGCAGCAGCCGTGGTGGGACACGTGTAAGACTACACAACTACTGTCCTGGAGTTTGGATCATGAGGAGCATGTACAAGTCGACGAGCGAATAAACATAATAGCGTGAGCCTAGCAAAGGCTGGATTGAAAATAAATGTTGCCTAAACCTGGTTACGGTGTGATGGTGAGACGAACGGTACAGAAAGTTGCCGAGGCCGCGGTTGCATGCTTGGTTCTTGTCAAGTTTCCAGATGGCCTTGAAGCTTGCCACATATGCCGCGCACAACACAGTTTTGGCGCCACAAGAGAGAGAAGGGGCCGGGATCGCTCCTCGACGCCGACCGATGAGGGAGTCTGGAGTCGTTTGGGGTTTCGGAATATGCAGTGGCTTTACTTACGTACGCACGCTGGGCGCTTGCTTGTTCAGGGGTGAGGGAAGGAGGAGAAGGGAGCAGGGAAAGTGGGCAGCAGTCGGGCACGTCCAGTAGCTTTGGTTTGCATTCTCTCCCTCTGATGAAGTCATTGTGTGAGCAGTCCTTCGTTTTCTGGAGACTCTTTTCTGTGGTCCTTGCAGATCTCCCTTCAGACGGGGGGGTTGTGTGTCGGTGGGCGCTCAACTCAACTTGGACACGAAGAGAAGGGAGGGATAGACGTTGCTGGGCTTAAAAAGAAAGCCAAGTGAACGTGGTTATACGGCCCAGATTGAAACAAGTCAGAGAAAAGACAGACTTCACAACTCATGGTCTCTTTTCCTCAAAACGACGAACTTACAAATGGACGCAGACTCCCGCAGGCTGCTGACAATCCCGCTGGTCGCACCGCTGGTCGCGCAAAAGCAGACAGGCAGAGTTGACCGCACGAGTTGACCACACGAGTTGACCACACGAGTTGACTTTTAGATATCAGTTGCCAGCTAGGGACAGAGTGCGAGAGTCGCTATCAACTGTGCGCCTTTCTGATCGGTTGCAAAAGGTTTAGAGTGTACAGGCTCCGGCGGGTCCGGCCAAACACACATAGCCCTTGCATCAAGGTGCAATATAACATTATTCTGATCCGCTCGCCTCGTCCGGAGAAGAAAGTTCAACAGTCAATGTCACTGCAAGGACGTACCCAGTCAGCCCATTTGCTTGTTGTTGCGTTGTGTTGGTCCGGGTGCCCTTGTGTGGAAGACCAGTTCGAGGTTGAAACGTTCATCCTGGGATCATCGATCTACGTCCTTCTGCTGCTGGTGGGATGTAGGCTGTAGCAAATAGCTGAATCACCATGAGCCGGATTCGCATTGCCCACCACGGTCGGAAGAGCGCTACCAACCTCTCTGCTGGCGGTCGCCTGTAAATGCCGGATCTTGAGCGTCTTGTTCGCCCGTTTCTGGCGCTGGGAGACGATAGGCGTGCGTGAAGACGCAAACCGCCCTTCCGTAGGTCGATTCGCCGGTGGGTCGCCGTCGCAGCAAGCCGGGGCTGGGGCGCGGCCACTTTTCCCATGGTTGCAGATCAATCAACCAGACACCACTGCCAGCGCCTGTTTTTTGTTTCCAGGCGAGGACGGACATGTTTTTCAAGGGCGAGCTCAAGATAGGGCCAGGTAGCCCAGGCTCAAGGGCCCGCGAGGGAAGCCCTAATTCACAATCCCCATGGTGTTTGCGTGACATGTGTCAGTCACCCTCTCGGGGCCGTACAACCGCCGTATGCGTGCGCAGTGAACATTGTCTCGAAGTCTCCGAGTCGCTGTTGGAACCAACATTCCGGCGAGCGTCGCGAGCCCAGAAGGGGAGCGGCCAGTAGCCAAGTGCCACCGCCGGTACATGCCCAGATTACCCAATGCCGGCAGCCCTATCAGCTAGCTAGGAGGACTGTAGCAAATCCCGAAGGCGCCGGTGACTGGCTACCTGGATCATAGTCACGGCCGCGGTCCGCGGGTGAATGGTGCGGTGGGATTCGGGACGCTCTCACTAGAGGCTCGAGCTCCCCACGCCACGCCCGCACCTTGAGACGTAAAGGCGTGGACGGAAGAGTTGGCCAAAGGGTTCAGGGATGTTGGTTGACTTCAGGGCGAAAGGCGAAAGTTCAGTCGAAGCTCCAACATGTCGGGGGATGACCTTTTGGGAAGTATGGAGATTCTCGTGTGCCTTTTGCCGATCTTTCTCGTTCAATGGGACAGACACACACACCAAGTAAGAAATGCGCGGTGGCTATTGTAGTGCTGCAAAGCAGCCCAACGGCGCCCCTAGGCCCTGGGAGCTGGAGTCGTGCAGATAGGCGGGCTGGCTGTCTGAACTAGGTATCTGCAGGCTGGCTGTTCGAGGTCCGATATGCACAGAGTGAGAGAACGCCGGAACCTTTGGACAGATCGACAGCTCCTCAGAGTGACCTGACTAAGACCGATCTTGCGACGGCGGGCCCAAATCAGGCCGTTTTCTTGATGACAGATGTGCTCCGTCGACGCACGCCGGAATCCGCGAACCGCAGGTGTTCTCGGCAGATGCACCAATGGGTGTGTTGGACCAACCTTTAGTCAATGCCCATTGGAATGGACCCGGACGTGGAGAAAGATTGGACGTCCAATGTTCAATATGGAGGCGTTCCTCGTATGTCGACGGAATCTCTCTTGGGGGAATGGCAGCACCGCGGATAGGTGGTATTAGGCGCGATGCAGGTGGTGACGCTGACGGCGGTCATGACAATGACGGCGACGGATGTGGTGGTGACGATTCAGAATCCGGACTATCATGAGTGCCGTCACTGTCGCAGCATCAAAAGTTGAGTCGTGACCAGGGCTGACTTGTGAAGGAGGAAAGACCCTCGGCCACCACCGCGTAAGCCTGCTTGGACCACATCATCCCGTTAAGCCGGGCCACAGTCGGCTGTCAGTCGCGTGCCCCAGCGTTCGGAACCCAGCAGGAGCGACTTCCTGGCGAAACGAGAGGGGGGCTCTCAGCAGCGGACGGTGGGCGGTGCGCAAGCAACCGACGAGTCGCAGGTAAGGTAGGTAGGTACCTAAGGTAAGGTCGAGGACAATGTTGTGGGGTTGAGCTGACCCTAATTCACGAGATGTCATCGTCCACGGACGACGACCTGACGGACCAACTGGTGGACCGCAGGTGATGGACGAAAGTATCAGTTCTGGGAGGAATTGAGCAGACTCATCTTGGTCGTCAACGCAGAAGTGATAACATCTTTTGGGACGACGATTAATGTTGAAATGTTGGAAGACACCGGCGGTATCTGATCAGTTGGAGCTGGGCCATCTCTGGATCTGATAGCCTTCCCGCCAAAGTGGTAGGTGCGACTGAGTGCACTGGAGAATTTGCCAAGAAAAAAAGTAGCCTCAAGGTTATTGTTTGGCGCAAAGAGGGCATAAAGCGTTGGAGGAACGCGTCCATCTACTTTCCGGTACCTCGGGGGATGGAGCTTGCGGGTGCTCGCCCGGTGCACACGCTCCTACCTGGTCCTTCCTCATCAAGCAGCATGCCAGACGAGGGCTCTAGTGCCTCCTCACAGCTGTTGGGCTGGGCGTTGTCATCAGCCGGACATGCTTCAGCAGTTGGGGACCGTCATGCCAGGAATTCCGAGAGCAACGAGCGAGAACTGTGCAGCATTCTTCGTATGAAGGTACGTAAGATGTCGGCTACCCCTGGGGCTGTGCTTGACGATGGGAGATTATGAGGTAGGCTTAAGTTCTAAACCCATACGTGCGTGCCATGCCGCAAGCCTTTATTTAGGGGAGTAATTGACCAGGGACTCGATCTACTCGCAAGCTAAACAAGAAAACAAAGTACAAGATGGAAATGACCACCATGGGGAAGAAAAACATAAGCCGGACATCGGACACCTTCATATGGCGCACTGGGCACGGACAGGTAAGGTGCCTTAGGTAAGGTACGAATACCTTACCTAGGTACCTAGAGAGAGGTAGGACACAGCCCTACTACTAGGGGGTACTGGTTAATTGGGCCGGAGTTCCAGTTCCCTGCATCTGTTTGAATTCTTGTTTGGAGCGAGCGACATGAACGCGAAGGCATCATCGAGTCTCCCCCAGAGCAGAGACAAGGTCCGCCTGTTTCTCCCCTCCACCAGGCCCAGCTCGTGCTGTCTTCTATTTTGTCTCTGATCTGCGGTGCCGGGTTGGCTGTTCGGGCGGCACGAGGGCTGGGTACGCGTGGAATACATGCACGACGACGGTTTTGCATCCAGCCGAGCAAGTGAGAGACAGTCCCGAGGTGGCATCGACAACACACCACGACGCCGACGACAACGACGGACCAGGTACCTTAGGCACAACAGGGACGGGCAGGATGAGAGGAGGTGGTGTTCCGAACCGGAGCCCTTGGACGACCTAGACGTGGGACGGGAATTGGGATATCGCAGGTTTCCGAAGCCATAGCTCGGCGCATCCGCAGACTCTGAGCTGCCACTGACTGACTGCCAACCAACGATGGCGGGCTCGGATCCACGTTACATACCACGCATCCGTAATGCGTTGTTGTAATCGACCGTCAACTCCCACCATTAGTTGTTGGGTGGTTTGGGCCAAATGGTTCCTCGTTTTTTGACTGAGAATTTTTGTGCTCGTTGGTGGAAGAGAGTGGAATGAAAGCAAAATTGGCTTCCTTGAATGTACCTTCAAGTGTCTGAGAGCGCCAATTGGACTCGGCGGTGGTTTTGGGAGTTCCATTCGGCATCGTCCCACTGGGGCTTCCAAAACCCTGCAGGCTGCCAGTCAGCGGCGAGAGCCAGTGAGCTGCGGCCGCTGCAGCGCGGTAGCGCTCCACGAGCAAGGGTGCGCCGTGCGAGGGACCGTCACCCGTCATGGATGTTGAGATGCCGAAGTTACCTGGTACCTCAGAGGCGCCCAGCAGGTACCTAACATTTACGAGTTCACTAAGGTACTTTGTATTTGTGCATACCTACCTAAGGAGAAGAAGAAGGAGAAGAAGAAGGAGAAGAAACTCAAGAGACACGCTGAGATGTTGGCGCACATGATCTTGCATGCCTTCAAGGGCGGCACATCAGCCGGACGGACGCATAGTCCCCCACTGGATATGTCCTACTTACTCCTCGCTCTCAACTTCAATCTGTGTGAGGTGATGTGCCCTGGCTTTTGGCCTGTGGGTATGTGTGTGTGGGAGCGTGAGTGGTGTGTGTGTTGTGTGTTGTGTGTTGTGGGTGAGGTGGTGGTCTCGTCGGGGGAAACTTAGTGGTCATCGCCTGAGGGCCTGGTTGAACAGGGGGCACTGGCCAGGTCTGAGGGCGACAAGAGAAGTACTGCGCTACATGCCGCATCGCGCAGTTTGAACGTCTCTCAGATGTACCGATGCGGTTGCCGCTACATTTGGTGTCCAAGATACCTGCTGATGGACTGGGACGGGGAACTCTGGGACACTGGACGGGGGGGGCACCACTGCAGTGGGCTAAGGTAGAGAGGTGGATGGGCGGAGTGGAGCTCGTTGCTGGACTGGGACTGGGCGCTCTGCACACTGGGGGCAGTGGGCACTGAGGCCCTTCGAGACTGGGACGGGGGACAGAGGGATGGACTGGGAGTGGCCGGACCATGCCATGCCATGCCATGCCTTGCCTGGCCTGGCTGGACTGGGTCTGCCGTGTGGCCTTGACCACCTATGACCATCTCTCGCTGGCTGAATCTCCCGACTCCTCTTCTCAGTTCTTCCACACTCATCATCCTCAAAATCACCACCTACAAAACATTCCCTCTCTACAGACCCCTTGTCGAGTCTGAGGAGAGAGAGAGCGAGAATAGAGAGCCTCGTGAAGCGTTACGCTCTTCTTTCCCCTTATCCCCTTTTCCTTTTTTCTTTTCCAAATCCCCCTTGTTTTTCACTGAATACCCCCCCAGTTATTGTTCGCGGTCCCTTCCTTTCGGCCTCTCGTCTTCGTCGTCCGCTAACCCTTCGCTCGCCCGGCCGCCAATCTGCACTCACAATATGAACAAACTGGCAAACATGCGTCACTGGTCCGAGAGGATGAGCCCCAACTTCGGAATGGGTCGTCCTAACATGCCCATCAACCCCATGGCCCCGAGAAGAGACTCAGCTCCCCAGCAGGCTGCTTCAATAAGCTCACCCCAGCCTCTCGATGCTCCGATGCCCATCATCCACTACTCCTTCAACGTTCCGTTCGCCTCCGACCTCGCCGGTCCCAACACCGAGGACATCCTCCATGCCACCGCCGACGCCGTCCTCCGATGGACCCATCCCGAAGACGCTCCCGATGACGTGGGTGTCCACGAGTTGCCCGTCCACACCCAGAACCTCGCGAACCTCCGCAAGGTCTGCAAGGACATCACCAGCGGCCCCTTCCAGATCGAGGCTCACGTCATCTCTACCTCGCCCAAGAACGCAAAGGGACAACAGGTCACCACCGTCTGTCTTTCGGGTACCCCGGAAATGGTCCACAAGAGCAGGGAGACGATCTTGAACGACAACCAGACTGTCCTGGTAGGTTTATTCGACGATGAGGAGCTGGGTCAAAATGTGTGGATTAACGAATGCCAATCTAGCGTTGTACGACGGTCGATGTGGAAGGTCATCTTGTCTGTGATCTTACTGCCGGAGCTCTGAAACAGCAAGTTACCGACACTCTGGATTACATTTCCAAGTACTGCGGGGTCGACATTTTCCTCCTTGGCCCCAAGTTGACTCCTATGGTTGATGGCATGACGGGCGATGCTGAGATGCGCGTTGATCAGAGATGGAGAGTCGCCATTTACGGCGACATTCTCTCGGTCGAGCATGCGAAGGCCCGTGTCCTCATCCAAATTGACACTCTGGTATGCCTGCCCAATCATTGGCTGGCTTATGTCTCAGCTTGCTGACCGAAACCACAGCTCGGCCGAGTCGTCGATGCCACCAAGCTCGACCTGTCCATTCACCAGCTCGTTTGCGGCCGCCACAGGAAGAACATCAAGCTCATCGAGTCTTCCACCGGCACCGCCATCTACTTCCCGCCTCCTTTCTCTCAGATGTACCGTTACTGCCCTCCTGGCGCCAGCCGCAGAGACCCAACGGATATCTTTATCACGGGAGAAAGCCCGCAGGCCATTGAACTGGCTAAGCAGAAGCTCCATGAGACCGTTTCGCGCATTAGGCTGTACATGAAGGATGTCACTATCGCGCCTGCCAAGATTGACAGCGTTCTCCTCACGCGCCTCGACAAGGTCCGCAAGATTCTCGAGGCAAACGGCACCTACATCTTGTTCCCGCCTCTTGCAAGCCAGCGCAACATGGTCCGAGTCCAAGGCAGCGAAGGACTGCATGTCGAGCGCACCGTACGCGAGATCATGGCTTTGGTAAGTCTGGATGGCCATGACTGCCCTTTCTCACACACGTTCTGACATGATACCACAGGCTGGACAGTTCTACAGTGCAGCTTGGTGGATCCAGCAGCCTGACAGCCGGCAGCTCCCCAACCCCGCTGACGTCAGAACCATGCTCGGCGATGTTTGTGCGAACTCGGATGCCGATCTGTCTTTCGATAAGATGAACTTCTCCATCACTGGATCTGACGACTCTGTGAAGGCGGCCCTGATGGTCATGTCCGAGATTAAGTTTCTCGTGCAGTCTCAGTACCAAATTCGCGTCAAGATCGAGCTTGCCAATGAGCACAAGGAATTCGTCAGCGGCAAGAAGAACGGAAAGATCAACAAGATTATGGGCCAGAGCAGTGTCCAGATCATCTTCGACGGCTTCAATGAGTACAACTTCAACATTGATGTCATGGCCGCCAGCTACGACTCGATGAAGCAGGGTCTGACCCTTGTTGAGCAAGAGATGCCCGCTTCCATCTCTTTCCATGTCCCTGACCAGTACCACAAGCGCATCATTGGCATCGGAGGACAGCACATTCAGCGCATCATGAAGAAGCACTCTGTCTTTGTCAAGTTCTCGAATGCAATGGACCGAGGCGGCATGGGCCGCGAAGACGACGATGTCAAGGTTGACAACGTCATCTGCCGCACGCCTGCCAGGAACGCCCAGAATCTCGATGCCGTTAAGAACGAGATTCTGGAGATGGTCGACAGAGCCGTGAGTTTCCTCAGCGATGACTTTGCCGCCCGTCACTGACATGTCTACTAGGACTCGGAGTACACCTCTCAGATCGTGAACGTCGACCGTTTGTACCATCGCCAGCTCCTTGCACGTCTCAGTGACATTGATGAACTGGAGAGCAAGTACAACTGCAAGATCGTCTTCCCAAGCACCGAACAAGCCAGCGATGAGGTGACCGTGACTGGCCCACAGTGGCAGGTCCCTCATTGCGTCGACGAGTTTTTGGTAAGCATTGGCAACAAACTTGCCCCTCACCAGCAGAACAAATACTGACAGCTCTTAGGGCATGGTGCCTGATAATCACGAGCTCGTTCTCACTCGCACTCCGGAGCTCATCAAGTTCCTTGAATCGCCGAGCTTTGCTCACGATCTTGTCCCCAAGTTGAAGACCCAGTACGAAGTCGACGTGTCCGTTCACCAGGATGCCGACTCTGAGGATGGTCTCCCAGCCATCGCTTTGCGCTGGACGTTCACTCGCAACAACGCTGGGGGCCTCCGCGATGCCATTGACTTCTTGCTTGCACAGTTCGCCACTGCTGGTGTCGAGGTCACCATTCTCAAGGGATCGATTCCCCGTCCCAAGTCGGACTCTTTTGAGGACTCCCTCCAATACTTCGACTCGAAGCTCCTTCAGCATGCTCCTGCCACCATTGCCGCCGATTCTCCCACCAAGGCCGCTTTCGAGGGCGAGGTCGCTCGCGAGCGAAGCACCATTTTTGACCGCCTGCGTAAGCCCGGCAGCATGACCTCAATTTCGTCTTTCCTCGACCGCCGCAAGAACAGCTCCCACTCGACGAACGGCAACTTTTTCAAAGGATCCAGCAATGTTTCCAAGTCTTCTCTCATTTCGATCGAGTCTACCCGCAGCTTTAATGCGGATCGCAACCCCTGGAACGATAGCGGCGTCAATCTTCCAGACGACGACAACCCTTGGGCCCACAGGCCCCTCGGGAATGGTTCGGACAAACTGACCATTCCTCAACCTGGTGACGTTACGCCCCGTCACAGCACTCGTGCGTCCGGCGACAGCGGACGCCCTTCTACGTCTCATTCTACGAATTCTGGATACCCCGGTCCCATCGGACCTTTCCGTTAGATTCCCGTCTTAGAACCTCTACGTGCAAAATACCCCGGCTGGATATACCCTGGCGTACAATACCCGGAACGTCGCTTCTGATGCATCGGTCGGCCGAAGTTTCTGCTGTTTTGCGTTGCGTCGCCCTCGTGCTTTGCTCTTGTTCTGTTTTATCTGATTTCAGTCGAATTCCTTATTGTTGTTTTTGGGTTTTGATGGTTCCTTGTCTCGGCACGATTTCACGTCCACTCTTTATACCCCCAACGTCGAGAGACTGAGGACAAAAAAGAAAAGATACCTTGTACGCGGTTTGGTTTTCGAATGCTTGATGCTTTCATGATCTTCAGACGACGTCGTCAGCAGAGACGACGACGGTCAAATGAAGATATCAAAAAGAGAAGGGTTTAGCGGGTCGTGCGGTTTCTTCCATTGCCCCAAATCGGCATCTTAGTCGCCAGGTTGCGTAGTCACTGGCTCCGTCAACGCGAAATGCGGCTTGACGATGCGCGAGTGGCCACGAATCGAACTACAGTGATGTCTAGGTGGCAAGATGGGAAAAAAAGTTCATGCTCTTTGTATGCTGGTCGGCCCGGCGAAGCCGCCAGGCGGAGAACGAAAAGATTGTCATGGCGGCGGACAAGACAGCGCAATATTGAGCGGCTGGTTGATCTGCAGGCGGGAGTGATGAAGATGGAACCTGTACACATACCTCAGCGCACCTTTCAGGTTGGCCTTGACATGCAATGATACCCATGGTCGATCAATGACTCTCGTATGTGATGTTGTGAAATATTAGTTCGGATGTGATTCTTGGGTTTGACAAGGTGTCAGGACCACCAAAACGTCGACAACAGAACGCTACGAGGACGAATGCCGCTCAGTCAACGCCATTATTGTCTGTATCAACATGGATTCCCATTCGTCTCACACCAGCCAGCATGATCAACTAAAAACTGCAATTTTGGTTGTATATTCTACCCAAACAGGACAAATTTTAGATTCTATTTATGATCGTGCTTGACATTTGAGTTGGGTATAATCCAGAATAGTGAGAACGGTGTTCTTGACATTTCAGTCTCTCATGACGATATAGGTCCAACCGAGACCCTCTCCCGTGCCTCTTGCTGGGCTTTCTTCTGGCTGTGGCGTTCCACACGCCGTTTCTCCGTCAGTATATTGGCAAACCTGCCCCTCGCCCCGTGCTTCATCTTAGTGATCATATCAGTTGCCTTGCCCTTGTCCACGTCATCAGCTGTCAACGGTTCTTGCTTCGTACGCAGCTTGTTGAGGAAGTCGAGTTGTCCCTTGGTCGGCGGCCCCTTTCTCCAGCGCTGATACCGGTGGATGAATACATGAGGAAACACTTCCGAGGCGTACTTGTCACTGCCGTGCACGGCGTCGGTGAACGTGGCGGCCCTCAAGAGTTCTCTCGGAGCAGCAAATGGTGACTTGGAAATACCAGGCGGAAGGGCCCTGACCTCAACAGCCTGCCAAGCTGGCTGGTTTTTCCCAGCTTCGACATCCAGCTTGGAAATCCTGATGAAGCTGCCGTTGGGGGCACAGAGAACGTATTTGTCCAAGCCAACCTGTACCCAGGCATAATGGCTGATGGCCCGAATGTGCTTCTCCCCCGATGCATCCTCGATGAGATCGAACACAGAGTTGTAGTCGGTAAAAGTGACCGAGCCCGCGGACACGGATTGAGAGCTCGAGGACGCGTCGTAAGCTTGGTGCTGTCGAATCTTTTCTGCCTCCCTTCTCTCACTAGTCTTACGCATATCCGCCGTCGACGCCTGGTCAACAATCTCGCCCGGATCAAGGCCGAAGAGCGTCGGTGTTGTGACGATGCCAGTCTCAAGGCTGGAAACCATGTCAATGACATGGCAGTCCGTCTTTCCTTTGTGCAACCTCATGCCCCTGCCAATCATCTGTACGAGCAGATTTCGAGATCGCGTTGGTCGAGCGAGAATGATGCTGTCAATGTTTGGGATATCCGTCCCCTCGGTGAACACTCCGCAGTTTACGAGCACGGGAAACTCTCCCCCACGAAATGCTTCCAGGATGGCACTTCTTTCCACTTTTGGCGTATCACCAGTCACGAATCTTGCGTCGAATCCGTGTTTGCGGAACGTTTGCGTCAGTCCCGCGACGTGAGCCAGGTCGACGCAGAACACGAGAGTCGACTTTCTTTCTGCTGCCTTTGCAAGCCAGCTTCGCACGGTGATTTCATTGATCTTCTCCGTGTTGACGGCCTTGGAGAGTTCTCCGGCTTGGAAGTCGCCGTTGGCACCGCTCCTGACTTTGGATATGTCGGCTGTCGATTCGACTGTAGTGAAGATAACGTCTGATAGCCATTTGTCGCCGATCATGTCTACGTAGTCCTTGTGGTAGACGATCTCGTCAATAGCAGCGCCGAGTTTCAGGCCGTCGAACCGTGAAAAGGTGGCCGACACGCCCACGAGGGAGGGAGAGTCGGCCTGCTTGGTGTCAAGGCCGAAATGACGGAGTACGCGCATGTATCCGGGAGCGACGATGTGATGAGCCTCGTCAACGAGGACCAGCTTGAATCTCTCCGGGTCGAACTTATCCAGTCGTTCTCCGGATGTGATGCTCTGGAGGCTAGCAACAGTAATGTCTGCAGTGCCCGTGGCATGCAGAGACCCCATCTCAATATCGACTGACTTGTCTGGGTATGCATTGGTGCAGTGCCTCGCAGCTTGCTCCACGAGCTCTCTCCTATGGGCGAGGATGAGAGTCTGCGTGGTGCGGTCTTGCCTTGGCTGTATCCTTTCTATCAATTGAGTAAAGATGACCTGCGGAGTATTATTAGTCTTGTTCTACATGCGTTGCCAGAAAATAGTCTGAGCTCACAGTCTTGCCGCTGCCAGTGGCCAGCGAAATGCCCAGTCTTTTATGTCCATTTTGCAGGGACTGTAAAACCGACTGGATGCATTCCTCTTGGTAGCTTCTCAGCTGGATCTTGGTGCTTAAGAACCGTTGAGTGTGAAGAGGCAGGTTCTTGGGGATGAACCGTCCCGCTTGGCTCAGGATTCTACGTGTTGTTTGTGTCCTCAGTATCTTCCCAAAGAAAGATGACAACATTTTTGGTCGATTCCCATGTTGATGGCGAGCTAGAGGATTAGAATCACCGTCGATGCAGTCCGGGAACCCAGGAGAATTGGCTAGGATTGGAGATATCTTCCAATCAGAGAATGAGAACAAGACCCATAAATTTAGCTGGCAATCGGCACGGGTACCTACCTACCTACCTAGGTGGCTACAGTGTACCTACCACCACCCATAACGCATCCACACAGACAATCGGGTGTGAGCCTAGGTACTAGGCTCTAGCGGCACAAATACTGGGGATACTTTTGTCTGAGCGATTCCCTACAAGGAAATCTTCGTTCTCAAGAGACCTTCGTCTCATGAGAACCCCACATCACATGCATCCGTAGGGCAACCGCGACACCTTTATTCTTCAATTTCTCTCACAAGCCTGAGGTGTCATTTCATAATTGATCTGACATCGAGATATAGTTGTCATCGCAACATGTACCTCTCATATCGCCCGAGCAAGATCGTCGACTTCAGGGCGTTGAACGAAGATGAGCATGGATCCGGACGCCGATTTTTCACCAGACGAGGCAGGTACTGGACCACACGAGGATATCCCTCTTGAATCAACAGAGGTGGATCTTCTTGGAGCAGAAGTGCTTCGAGGCTCGTCCGATGACGACGTGGCTTCTGTCAATCGTGGCCGCTCATCCCAAAAACGACGGGCATCTGGCACGGCAGTCGAACCGATTCTCAAGCGCCACAAAGGACTCTTCAACAACGCTTATCTCGATCTTCTGAATGCAGACATTGCAGATGCCGTGAACCAAATCGAAGGCGGCACGGAAGAGGAGCTGCCACCTTCCCAGATCGGCATGACATTTTGGACTCCTTTCGAGAAGAAGCTGTTCTTTGAGGCGCTCGCCAGGCTCGGAAAAGACGACCTCCAAGGGATTGCGCAGAGGATACGAACGAAGAGCGAGATCGAGGTTCGCCAGTATATCGCCTTGCTCCAGGACGCGGTGGAGAGGAGAGAGCGAGAACAGGATCACCGCCTGGAATACCTTGCGGAACTGGCAGACTACCCGGCAGCTGTCGAAATCAGTCAACCATGCTGTCACGCCCTTGACGAGGCAGCTGATGCTTTGTCATTTAGGCAAGAAAGGCACGAAGAGCTCGCCGAACAGAAGAAATGGGGCGAGTGCTGGAACATTACTCCAGAGCTTGCGAGGCGCATTGAGGGGGGCCGCGGACTCAAGAAAGACCCGGATTTCGCAAATCACCATGGCCTTGAGTTCACGGAACTTCTTCGCGTCAAGGAATTCCTTCGGCTTCCGGAGGAGATCTTCATGAACGCTCCCCACGCCGAAAACAATTGGCAATTCGTTAGTGAAGAGCCGCCAAGTATCAGAGCTACCGCACTACAGGATTTCCATTCACTTCTCGCGTCAACCACCAAAAAGATTGTCCTGACCACGCTCTTCATGGCGGAGTCTCGGATCAGGGCGAAGAGGAAGGTGGATCCCACCGTGAGGGGTCTTGTGCGGCGGAAGGATGTTGATGCGGCGGTGGCCTCGCTGGGCATGAAGCCGAACAGCAATGAATTCTGGGTTCTTTGCGCGCGTAGGCTACGCCTGGAAGTCGTGAACGATGATGTTGACGTACAGGATGAAGGGGATGTTACGGAATCACTCGACGAAGAGGAGCAGCCAATGTCCTACGATGAGGTGGAACAGACTCTGCGCCAGGAGTCAGGAGCCTCTGACCCGTCAGATGCGGGTAGCAGGTCTGTGACGCCAGGATTCAAGCTTGAAACTGGCGAGTCTTCTGAGTCCTCTGAGCCCGATGACTCGGCGTCTGAGAACTCGGACAGCGAGTCGTCTGTCATGATGGACGATGCTGAGTTTGAAGTCAACGAAGAAGCCAAAGAGGTACTCAAGTACTCCGCGTACGATTTCCCAGAAACGCACCGCACAAGAGAGGCGCTGAAGCACAGGATCAGAAACGAGCGGGGACAGGAGGCTTACGCCGATGCCAAGGATGCGAAAGCATCTTACGAGGCCGAGGCAGAGATGTGGAGGCTTTTGCAACGGCAACCCCCGGAACCGCTGGTGAAGCCGACTCTAGCTGAGCGCGGTCGGAGGGGCATGAAGGACGTGGAAGATATTTACGATGTTGGTCGACAATGGAGGGAGAGATTAGCGTTTCACAGCGAGTGGGAAATGCTGGGGACGGCCAACTTGCTAGCGAAGCAGTCTTGACGTCTTCTGAAATCTGGGCTGTGAATGATTGCTCTTCCTGTTCTTGATACCCATAGACTTGGTCTTTCTAATGTAATTTTTTGGACAAACCGCACCGTCCAATGTCTACCGGGCTCTAATGCCAATAATGATGCATACTGATAGCACCGTGCTCGTCCACTGTGTGTTGTCGCGCCCTGCGACGGGTATCATAGTCCATACGCCATTCCAACCAACGACTTCATACGATTGGTGACTGTGAACCTGTTCACCGCCCCCGCGACCTTCCTCTGCCCCGTCCCCTGCCTCTTCCACGACCACGAGCAGCTCCTCGGGTCCTTGACACTGGTGCACCGCTCTCTTCAGCGCTCTCTTCCTCATCTTCCTCGTCGGAGCCACTTCCGCTGTCGCTGCCTTCTTCCTCGTCCTCTTCTTCCTCTTCTCCCTCCTCATTATCTTCATCCTCTTGCTCCTCCTCGTCTTCCTCGTCTTCCTCGTCTTCCTCCTCGTTCTCCTCGTTCTCCTCGTCGTCTTCGGAGGAGGAGGAAGAGGAAGATTTAGTAGACTGAGCCTTTGAGTTCTTGCCAGCTTTCTCCACCTTTTCAGCTTTTTCGACTTTTTCTGCCTTCTCAGACTTCTCAGCCTTTTCCGCTTTCTCTGCCGCCTTGGCCTTGCCAGCAGCCCGCTTCTGGCTTCTGGCTACCCTGGCAGACTTTGGCGGTGGCGATGCGACGTCCGTACCGCCATCCTCCGTGTCCTCAACGGTGCTGGCGCGAGTCTTGGTGACAGTGGAAGCGCGCTTTCTCCTCCTGCTGGCCCCAGCATTGCTACCGCCAGGGGATGGCGGCGGTGGCGGAAGCTCCAACGCTCCGGGAGATGTAGGGGCTTCGCTTGGGTCTGCCAAGAGGCGCTCCAATTGCATATCGTAGAAGTCGCCAGGGGGCAGAGTAAATTCTTTGAACCGTTTATCGTAGTTTTCGTCATCTTGGGCATCGAAGTAATCCTCGCGCTGATCAATAGTCGGAAGATCGTACAAGGTGCGAAGTTTCTGCCAGATATGGGGGATGCGCGTGTGTGGACAGTCTTCCGGACCGATACCGTGATTCCGAAGGTGCTCGCTGATAGCAATCATTCTGAAATGTTTGTGCATGCCTGCAAAGAAGTGTGTTAGCTTTAGTTCGTCACTGTAAACATAGAGGTTCTCAAGCAGACTGACCCGCCGGCTTCCATCTGATGACGCCCTTGAAAAGTGATGACAACTGGTCGTCAGTCCAATGATTATTTGGCCATTCGTCAGCGGAGGGCTTGACAACCGGCGCAGCAGCTGTTGGGGTGTCGGCCGTCGGGGTGTCAACATCCATGGCATCGTCGTCGCGAGCTGGCGTCGGCGTCGCGACAGCTGAGACGCTGCTTCGCGCCTTCTTCTTGGGCGGCATCGTAGCTGCGTTGAGAAAGTTTGTGGTAGACCAAAGTGCGTATGTTTGGGGCGCTGAATGCAGCCGTCAAATTGCGCTCCGAGGTGATGTCGTGGTTGTGAAATTGTTGAAGGTTGCAAAGGTAGAGAAAGGTGTAATTGGAGCTTCGGTCGTTGGTCGAGCTTAGTCTCAGGCACGGCAGGGTATTTTATTTTCTGAGCCGCCAGGAGCCGCTTTGCGGGGGGTAGCCACTAGCATTCATCCCAATGCAGGGGACATCTTTAGTGCTTTGTACCTGTAAAGTATGACGCGACTGGCGCGTCGCGGGGCTAGGCTATGCAGTCCTTGCCCAGGCTTCATTGCGGTGTGCGAGAAGGGTGCGACGACACTTACGACCTGACCTTGCGATGTCACTGTCGGCAGCCTGCACTCAAGATCTGTTTACATCAATGCTACGCCACAAGCCTTCTTAGCCTTCTTCAACGATCTCATAATCATGTTCGTGCAGGACGAAACTGCCGACGTCTTTGCGATCCCAGATTTCTGGGAACCACCACAGTGGGAACTTCCCAAGGACGACAATGGTTTCTTTGCGCTTGAACTAAATGGTGGGTTTTATCAGAAGCAGTCCTTGAGTTTTTCTGACCAATACGTTCCGTAGAAACGGAAGCTTCACTACTATGGAAGCTACCCGAAGACCAGCCGAACCAGCTCTTTGCACTTCCTACGATAGATCCTGACGCGGAACGAGCCGACTCGAGCGCCGCCGATGCGCCGGAGGAAGAGCAGGAGGAACCCCTGCTTGAGAATGGCTTTGATCTTCGCGACCTTTGGATGGCGCTCGACAAGCCAACGCTACGGCCGCCAGAGTACAAAACATGGAATCATTTCGAGGCACCCAACTCGTCGTGGACGAAGCCCTTTTTCATAACGGAAGCTGGCCCTGGAGCAACTGACGCTCTGATGGGTTCTGACCAAAACCCATTGAGACTTGAGAGTTCTGATTTTAGTGTAGTGGAAGCGAGACCTTACTGTAACGCGCTGTTGTCTCTGGCTCTTGGCAGAGAATCGGTCTTCTTCTCCTGGGAAGAGGAGACAGCTACGTTCAAGCCGGCTCTTCCAAAGATCAGGATCTCGGGCTACTCTGGAAAGACTATCCAGGAGGTTCAGAAAGCATGCTTAAGATGTGGGAACACCTATCGGCGACTACGACAATTTGTCGAAACAACGTACAAGAAACATCCAACACCATGCCGGGTAGCTTTGGCAAGCTCTGTGGACAAGGCGCTTTTGGTCATTCAGAGCAGCATTGCCTTGCACCACCAGTCACCGAGGTCGATTCTTCAGGTCCAGTCACTCATTGGCCAAACGTACACCATCCTAAAGCAGTTCGAATCTCTAGTGGCCAAAATACGACGTGGTCATCTGGATGAGGACGTATTTGTCATTGTATACCAGCAAGCACAATCGGCAGAGTATGCCGAGATACACCTGAGAGATATGATGCGCGAGGTCTTGCGGCGGGTCTCGCGACCTTGGATCGAGTTGGTCGAGGAGTGGATTGGCACTCGACGTGAAGTCGGCGTTCCTTTAGGCAAGCATGAAGTCGGCAGGCAGAAAGGCTTTATCAAGGTCGAGTCGGAGACTTACATTGATGACTTCGGAGACGAGGTTGACGAGGTCGATTACCGTTTGGACACTGAACGGATACCCAGCTTCATGCCTGATGATATAGTCAAATCACTGTTCGAGGTCGGACGAAACCTTCGGTTCATCAGAACTACCCACCCGAGTCATCCCTTGGCACAGTCAAGAACAGTCTCGTCAAGTCGACCACCTACGCTTGAGTGGCTCTTCGACTGGGATGCCATAGTTCTTTTAGAGAGTAAGGTTCACTCGTATGAGCATGAGCTGCGGGATGCTATTCAGCAACATAGCCCAGAAACGCTCACTAACCTCGAGATGCCGAGATGGCCGATGGGCGATGCAGCGGGGTACCAGCTACAGTTCTTTGGTCTCGACGAAATCCAATTGCAGAATCGACTGGAGGCATCTATACAGGACTTTGCACAGCCCATGGGCGACTCGACTGCGGAGGATCCGTTGGGAATCATCATCAGGGAGCGCCTGGCTGATGTCAGGACAGAGGTTGGAAACGCCGGTACCGACTTCACCCCTCATTGGTCTCTGCTTCCAGTTCTTTCATTCGGCTCCATCATCTCGGTCCAATCAAAGGTCGTCGGCAGAGAGAGCTTGAAGTTACTGTTCACGTCCCATGACCTCAGACAGCACCTGAGCTTGCAAAAGGAATTCCAGCTCCTTGGAAACGGATTCTTCTGCAGCCGCCTCTCTCACGCACTATTTGATCCAGACCTCGAGACGGCCGAGAGACAGGCCGGCGTCGCTCATCAAGGTGGAGTAATGGGCCTAAGGCTTAGTGGTAGAGACACATGGCCTCCTGCCAGTTCAGAGCTGCGCCTAGCACTGATGGGCGTCTTGACTGAGAGTTACGAAGGCCCTGTGAAAGGGGGCTCATCTCAATCACGAGACGGCGAAGCCCATGAACTTCCCGGCGATCTCAGCTTCGGTGTGCGAAGCCTTTCCAACGAGGAGATCGATAAATGCATGGATCCGGATGGACTGGAGGCACTTGACTTTCTTCGGCTGTCTTACAAGCCTCCCCAGGCATTGGGATCCATCATCACGCCAATCATACTGGTGCAGTATGATCGGATCTTCAAACTGCTGTTGCGCGTCTTGCGGATGCAGTACACAGTCAACCGGCTCTTCCGGGATGTCACAGCCAGAGAGTCTGGATGGCACGACGTTGAGGGTGTTTCGGTCCGTTTTTGCTACGAGGCTCGTCACTTTGTGGCGGGCATCAGCAGCTACATCTTCGACATTGGAATTGAGATGCCATGGCGGGCTTTTGGAAGTCTCCTGGACAAAGTAGAGGCAGACTTGAAAAGCGACGAGGTGACAACACTGTCAGGATCGGCCATCAGTCCCGATCGCCTGCGCGAGCAGCACTCTCAGGTTCTTGATCGGATCATGCTGGCACTGCTCCTGAGGAAGAGACAGCAGCCCATTCTCAAGCTGCTCGATGACATATTCAGAGTCATACTCAAGTTTGCCAAATTCGCGAGACTCCGGGCCGACAAGCGAAGCTCTCGTAGCCAGGGCGATGCGACGGCCAAGAGCCTGTACAAGACCTTCAGACGAAACGTTGAGGTTTTCCTGACGGTCTGCAAAGGACTCAGCGAGAAGGGAGACTACGGCGGCAAGAAGGATGTTGCTGGCGACAAGGAAGGTTCGGAAAGAATCGATGCGTTGGACAACAACCCTATCGCTCAATTGGTGCTGAAACTCGACATGTTCAGTTATTATTCGAAGGCATGATGGACAAGGATTGGCGAGTCGGTTGATGCAGAGATGCCCTAGTGCTAAACAAATAAAAAAAAAAAATCTGCGGTGCACTAATGGCGTCTGCAACATAGAGAATACGGGTTTTCGCCAGACAAAAATTGCCGAAGTGCAGGAAATCTGGTTGACTTCATGAATGACTTCGGATGATAGAAGCTTAAAGTTAGGCAGGCCTTGTCCGGGCTGTGTTTCTACCCAAGGAGGTAGGTGAGTAAACTTATGTGCCCCGCCATATTTTGCCAGCGATGCCCTGGCGTCAGTGCCCCGCATCGCGTGTCCCACTATTGAGGTCCGCGTTTGTTGACCACTTTCCATCATTGGACGAAACACGCACCTGAACAAAACAAACGCAGCTGCTCTTGCGACCGATACTTTGCAACGGCTATAGTTTGTATCGCACGTAGACAACATGTCTCGCCCAGGCCCCTCAGCACGCAACTTGACTCTTACGGAAGAGCTGGAAAAGCTCGAGCAGTCTATTACTCTGACACTGCAAGGTAATCTGGTTTCATTGAAGAACTGTTGGTCTATCAAACGACATAGCGACTGACCGAATGTGCTTCAGAAATCGACTCCAACTTCAGCAAAGCTCACCGGATCGTGACCACCAGCATTTTACCCATCGTTGAGCAATATGGCGAGAACTCTAGAAATGTTTGGGAGGCTTCCAAAGTGCATCCAATTCTTCTTTGGTTAAAGGCGAAACTAACCTGCGCATATAGTTCTGGAAGCAATTCTTCGAGGCTTCGGCCAACGTGTCGCTTTCTGGCTACGAAGAGCTCGCGAACGATGAGGACGAGACCGCGGCCATCGAGGAATCCACCGTTCAAGACGAGACGTCGGCCAACTACACCCCACGACGCGAGAACGGCGCCGAAGACGAGTCGACAGCATCAGCCGCCGAGTCTACATTTCAAGCCGAGGAGTCCATGATCGGCGGCGATGATGACCTGACGGGTAGTACCCCGCGTCTTCCCAAGACCAAGACTATTCAGACTCAATTTTCCAGCCTCGAGTCTCCCTACGAGGCGCTCAAGCGGGAACTCAAGGGCGAGCCGCCGGCACCGCATGAAGAGGACGATGAGGACGAAGACCTTGGCATCGGCGAAGACTCGACTATTCTCTTTGCACAGCACACTGCCCGTTTGCCAGACATGTCGATGACGCCTCGAACGTCGCTCGCCCCAGCCGGTCAACAGTCTGCGCAGCCTCACAAGGACCCTCTGATGCACCGCATGCTCGACAAGACATTCCGTATCCAGGCCACACCGCACAAGGGCCCTACCTATCGCGTCTCTCCGCTGAAGCGAGAAGCGAAGCCCAAAGAGGAGGAAGATGTACCCACGTGGAAACGCCAGGACTCGCCCATGTCGTCGCCAGTTATGGCTGTTCCGACGCTACGAAGCGAGGCTTTCATGTCACCTACCAAGTCCAGGCGTCTCGCTGCAGCCACAGCAGCTGCAGGTCCCCGCACCCCCGGTGTCAGCGTCCAGACGCCTGTTACGGGCCGGAAGACCAAGGACGTCTTCGCCAGCAAGCCTATTTTCCGGAGTGCCTACGATGACGACACCACCACGACAGATATGGGTGCTGCTGGTCTAGCAAAGGACAAGTACGAGATCAACTGGGAGAGCGACAGCGACGAGGAACAGGGGCTATATGGGGGCATGAGTCCGCCGAAGACGATCCAGTTTGCGCTGCCACAATCGAAGTTGCTTCAGACGCCAGGTAAGTCGCACATTTTGGAGAATCGTGCGAACGCTGTTTACTAACGGAATCTTAGCTCGGGAAGCCAGCAAGCGCATAGTGGACGATATTCTGATGACGGCAGGTGCCGAACCGGAGAGCCCAGAATATAGTCCTACGATGGTCAAGATGAACGAAGACATTCTCGATGAGAGCTTTTGAGCTGATTGCTTGACATGGAAGAATAAAGACTGGCCATCAAACGTCCAATATTTGTATTGATAAGGTACCCAAGACTTGCACCTTCAATTTGGTCAACTTTTCTCGTCGAAATTGCCATAAGGAACAAACCCGGCCGACAAAAAAAATGCCCCCTGTGGGGGTCATACCACCAGTATTAGCGCCGACCCGTATATCGCACCCGTCTAATACGAAAGAAACCCCAAAACTCCTTGAAAGATTCCCAGTCCAAATAATCAAAACAGTTCAGCGGGGCTGTAACAGCATCCCGCGGGTCGTTACTACCGCTCCTTGAAGCCCCTGTACTGCTTTTCGCCCATCGCTTCTTTGCTCTACAGGTCGTTGCGAATGGAAGAGGACCAGTATTCTGACTGCGAAGAGAATAATCATGTCAGAAACTCATGGCTTGGAAAAAGAGACAAAAAGACGCGAACCAGAGCACGAGGAAACCATTCGAGGTACATCTCGTGTCGCATGGTACGTGTGTCTCCGAGGACCAGTATTAAAGTGAAAGGCGTACTTGGTTGTGGAGGACCTGGCCGCTGGCGTCACCAGCGGCGCGCTGGCGAGCAATCAGGGAAGAAGACTTTTTTGAGGATGAGGCCTTGTTATCATGAGAACGGTGCAGCTTGTCCTTCAGAAGAGTGACGGAGCTGCCGAAGCTGGAGATTGAGGCGGCGTCGGAGTCCTTGCGATGTTGTTGGCCGTAAAAGGACTGTGTCTGAGAGCCCTGGGCGGCGGAGCCTTGCTGAATGGCAGAGAGGACGGCGTAGCTGTGTTGCTTGTCGCCGGTGATGGAGCTGGAGAAGCTGGAGTGCATGCCGGACATGATTGCGGTGTGGGTGATCTTCTGGGTGGGTGGGTTGGCTATGGATGGAAAAGGTGTAAGGCTTGAGAAGGGAGAATGGTATGAGGAAGCTGTTGTTGATTGCTTGTGTTGTTGGTCTGTCTGAGTGATGATGATCCAAACACCTCAGGTTTCCAGAGAAAGACGAGCTCTACTTATACGACAACGACACTCTTCTCGAACAAATATCTTACAAAGCGCTGTACCCCCAAACAGCTGTCAGTCAGAAACAAGTCGAACCAGGATTCAGAGGTTGACTCGGAATGGCCTACAAGGCAGCCTGGTACCCACAGTCCAAGCTTAGTCGTAGACGACGGCAGTCGTCAACCGTCAAACGTCAACGCAACCAGCCATCACTGCCGTCGTCGACACCCCCGTAAGCCCGGGTGAAAGTGGATCGGGGCCACACGTCGTCGCCCGAGTCGATCTTACCGCCGGGGCGGGTGTGGAAGGTAAGCTAAGCTAGGCCGTAGGCGTTGCTGGGCAGGGGTGGAGGGTAGAAATGGAGGAACATCTGCCCGAAAGGACTCACAATCGCAATTTCAGCATGCAGAAACAAACGTGACTCATTACGCATGGCACGCGCCTCATGCGGCGCACTCACTCAGGACTGCTTCGTGGATGGGTGCCAATTCGAGGCCAAACGTTGACTTGGCGCATGCGTCGGGATTGGCTATAGACAGGCAGAGAGATGCGATGTGACGAGAACGCAGAACAGCAGCTATTGGGATGCAGAAGCGGTAAGCAGCCATGGACATTTGGGATTTGGATTGCACTGGTAGACGGCAGGCGACGCGTTTGTTGGTGTCTGATGTGGCAGTCATCTTACCAAAACAAAATGGAGCCCTCGAAGCTGTGTGGCTCACTTTACCTCACCTTACTCTACTTTGAACCTGCGAAGTGCGCGTGACTGCCTGGCGAACAGCCTAGGAGCCTGACGGGTGTCGCGAGAAAGCTGGGAAATATTTTCCGTTTGTGAGAATCGACATTGCCCAGGGAATTCATTCTTAGGCTGCAGCGGGCAATCAGAGCAGGCAGACGCTGCATCGCCAGGCTGTGAAAGCTTGTCCTGTTGGTTCACGTTGGCGCCGAGAGGTTCGGAAACCTGGCCGGAGAACGACCCACTTGCAATACCGCTTTCACTGCAAATTGTGTCGCAAAACTTTTCCTCATCAGTTAAGACTTTGCCAGCCCTGTTCCGCAGCGCCGCGATACAGCCCCCCTCCGCTCATGTCCGGGCTGACTCATAGGCGGCTTGTGTTCCTAGATACCTAATGGTGCAGTCGCTTTTTGGGGGCACCAGTCGCCGGTTGTCACTCGCTTCGTAGGCCTTGTGGGGCCAGATGACGCAGACTTCAGTATTCGCTTATCGGTTCGGTGCCGACTCGCTTCGCTCCGGAAACCTTCTGGGACCCAACGCTAACCGGACGGGAGACTGCGGAAGTTGAGGCAGTGAAACTTACCCCATGGATATCCAGGGTCCCTCTACAAGACTCACGTCTATCTGTCAAACCCCCTGCCTTGGGCAAGAGAAAATATCGCAACAATTCATATGAACCACGAGCGCATGTGTTCCAGTGAATAACATCAACTTCAGCTCCGACTCAAGCCGGCTCTCGCCGTCGACTGACCGCTGCCTCGAGAATTGCTCGGGGTATTATCTCTCTGTTGCGCACGCGAATCTTCGGAATTGCCGCAGATAATGGTCAGCTCGGCAAAACAAGCTTGACTTCATGGTTGTGGTCATTAGATCGCAGTCGTTCGCGACTACGAAAGTGCGCGCGACACTGCCTGCTGTCATCATCCTTGGCGGGGCCGCGTGGCTGGCCTATCGCGGCGCAGCTGCACATATCGCCGCGCAACTCATCCACTGCCTTGAACTACCTTAACTTAGCCCGCTTCGATTGAAAATTTCTCCTCTAGGCGCGGTTTTTCTTGAAGCGTTGGAGTCACAAAGAGCTCAACGTTGACATGGATCCTTGCCGCGTTGCATGATATGAGAGTATACAACTCAGCCTTATCTGTTCAGCATGTGCCAATGACTCTGCGTTGTGACTGGCGCAGATTTTGGTTGTGGCCAGTCACTTTACTCGTCGCTGTTTCGACGCAGCCTCAACTAACGTAGATGTGTTGTACCCGACTGATCCAGGTTGGATCCCGATGTCCGAAGACCCTCATTTTCCTGTCTCATATGGAGTGGCCCGATGTGGTTGAGTTCAGCTGCCTCACACGGGATGAGATGAACGGTTGGCGTCGCTCCCGCGAGACAAGACGAATATCGTCAAGGTAACGTCGACTTGGGAACGTTGAACAATATCATACAATGATGATGTAGTTGTGAGGTATCTGCCATCTTGTCCGTGTCCCGCAGCAATGGAAGGGGTGGTCTGTGTCAGTCAGACGACAGCAGCGCAGAGGGCCTACGCCGAGTGCCTCCACAAACCTTATTTAGAGCCTCAAGATGGGAAAGGCGTCATCGAGCTCCCGAGACGGGCTAGAGCAGACTGCTGAGGCCACGGACGCCAACCAGGCATTACCCCGCCAAAGTGACCAGCAGAGAGCTGCTTATTAAGATCGTATTCGTATTCCTTGCACAAGAAGCTAGGTAGAGCTCTTGAAGATAAGCGCGGTTGATTGGCCGGGTCAGATGCCACAGGTCAGGGGTAGCTGCTGCAGATTGGTCAATGAGAAAGCTCCAAGCACCATGGCGCAACGGGGGCTGGTTGCATTGCACAATGCATACATATGTACGCAGAAGAGCACAACCCGCCTCGGCTCCAACCAAGAGAATGATTATTCATACATCGCTGAGAGGGTATTCCAACTCCACCGGGGGAATTATGCAACCAGGTGCGGTTATGACTATGAAACAGCGTTGCCCGGATGTGCTGCCCGCCGAGTGAGTGCATTGGTTTGGTTTTTTCACTGGCAGGTCACCGACAGAACGCCACAATCTGAGCATATGGGAAAGTACCGCCATGTATGCGATACTTTACAGTCGAAGCGCCTTTTAGCTTGCCTCCTAGCTGCTGGGTTAGGGAACACAGGGTGACACTGACAGTTGACAGTGGAAGCCAAGCGGCGGCACATCGAGAGTTCGAACCATCCGAATTGAAGGTAGTGCCCCGCGATTGATGATTCTGTTGGACGCAGCCCGCCTTGCGCGGATGCGAGTCCTCGGGCTCGTTCGATATTGCGTGTTGTCGACAAATCGCATCCATCGGAATACGTGCGAGGGAAAAGTACGGATACCTCAGACTTGGAGGAAATATTGATCCTTGAAGCGCTGGATCACAGGCCATGAAAGGAGAACCCCACGCCTCGCGCCATTCGGAGTCGGGATGTTCGCGCTCATTGACGGCGGCCGATTTGGATGCGCACCCAATGAGACCAGACAGAAAGTCATTCAGCCAGGATAGACACACAAGGCGCAGTGCGACGGGCGAGGAATGGCGTTGGACTGGAGACTGAATGGGCAGGTTCTTGCGTGTCGGAGACGAGTTGGCCCTGAACGCCCTGGCACATGGTCGTCCAATGGTCCCAGGAGATTTGCGCGACACTAGTTGGACCCAACAGATTCGGAGACTAAACCGTTTTGGTGCGATCCTTACAAAAGCCGTTCAGTTTCGATTGAGACAGCTGCGGAAAGCAAATTGGGTTCTGCAGGCGATATTGAGGTGCTGCGGCGCGAACGGATGTTTTGTTTTCTGCTGGTCGTCGTCCGAATCAATCATGGGCAGAAGCTGCGACGCCCATCCCTTCTGGTTCTCTGGCCGTTACGCTGCCTTTTGCGAACCGTCGTCATGCAGGCCGTCTCTGGCTCTATCAGAACAAGCATGCTGCTGCTTATCAAAATTTGGGCAGGCGGGTGCGCTTCACCTTAGCTGGTGGTATTGCGGACGGGAGCTGCCAATTGACCTTCAGAGGCAAGGCAAGGCAAGACGGGAAAGTCTGATCGAAAAGACGGGACGCAGGGAATCCCAACCGCCCTGCGAAGCCTGCGAAGGTTTTGTCTGTGTTTTTATTCCAGGGACTTCCATTCACGGACCGGAAACCGCAGGCCCCCCGCCTGCAACTGCAACAGCCCTGCCTCGAGGAACTCAGCTGGCTGGCTTCGTCCCAACGACAGGCACATGGCATGAGTCCGAGGGTAAAATGGCGGTGGTGCTATCCGTACGGATACTGAATCAGAAGGAAGAAAAAAAAAATTCACAACCGACCATCACACAAGCTAAACGGGGCAAACCCACAATTCCATCACTTTTTTCATCGCGCTCTCTGGCCCCCCGGCAGTAACGCTAATCGCCGGCGCATCAAGCCTGGCTCTTCCCTGGAGCCTCCTAAGCTGGTCCTGGTCCTGGTCGACATGTTCGCTGTCAACAACACAGGGTACCTAGAAGATCTAGCACCGAAGACAGGATTGCCTATGAGCGGGACAGAAATGACGGCACCTGCGCCTGCAGAGGTAGAAAGCAGAGGAGGCCCGGAAGGTAGGTATGGAAGGTCGTCCGGCGCAGGTACCGGTACCTCCAAGTGACGGAGGGAGGTGAAGACTTACCACCTTACCACGCTTTTCACCTGGCCTACCACGAACACAACCTCATCCGGTATCCACTTCCTCCCATGTCCCCGTCCCCGTAACCGTCCAGGCCCATGTCCGCATCCACGGGAAGATAATCAACTCCCTTCTTTTAATCTTCCATCACCTCCCTACCTTCTGCTCTCCTTTCTCAAGGTAGTGATCCCTCAACCCTCGCTGGAGAGTCGAACCACAACCCTCACTCGCCCTGCCCATCGACTCTTTTCCCAGGACGAAGTGCGCCAGACGATTTTCTCTCATTGTGCGCTGCGCTTGAGTAGAGCTGACCATTCTCTTTGCGCCTGGAGGTGGTGTTTTGTGTGTGTTTTCCCCCTTTCCACCTGGACGACCTCGAATCCGAAATCATCGATACCCTCCACCTCGAATTCGGCCACAACCATGGAGTCCAACGCGACTACCTTCACCTCGGTGTTGGCCAATGCCAAGCTTGGCAATGTCAATGTCCCTCCCCAGATCGACTACATGATCGAGACCGTCACCAACGCCAGCGCCTGGACCATTCTCTTCACACTGTTGGCCCTCGCCGTCGCATATGATCAGAGTGAGTCGCGTGCTCCGGGTCGCAAGTTGCCATGTTCGACCATCTAACCAGGCGCAGTCAGCTACATCATGTCCAAGGGCACCATTGCCGGCCCTACCTTCAAGATGCCCTTCATTGGTCCCTTCTTGGAGTCCGTCAACCCCAAGTTCGAGGAATACAAGGCCAAATGGGCCAGCGGTCCCCTCAGCTGTGTCTCCGTCTTCCACAAGTTCGTGTCCCGAGCTCTCATTTGCACACATCGATATCTGACCCCCTAGGTTCGTTGTCATTGCCTCAACTCGTGATATGGCCCGTAAGGTCTTCAACTCCCCCGGATACGTTAAGCCCTGCGTTGTCGACGCCGCCCACAAGCTCCTTGGCCCCACCAACTGGGTGTTCCTCGACGGCAAGCCCCATGTCGACTTCCGCAAGGGACTCAACGGCCTCTTCACTCGCCAGGCCCTGGCTTCTTACCTGCCCGGTCAGGAGCAGGTTTACAAGCAGTACTTCCAAGAGTTCTTGCAGACCACCAAGAACGCTGGCGACAAGCCTGTTCCCTTCATGCCGCATCTCCGTGATCTCATGACGGCCGTTTCCTGCCGCACCTTTGTCGGCTTCTACATCTCGGACGAGGCCGTTCGCAAGATCTCCGCCGACTACTTCCTCATCACTGAGGCTCTCGAACTGGTCAACTTCCCCATCATTCTTCCCTACACCAAGACCTGGTACGGCAAGAAGGCGGCCGACATGGTCATCGCCGAGTTCGCCAAGTGCGCCGCCAAGAGCAAGGTGCGCATGGCTGCTGGAGGTGATATTACCTGTATCATGGACGGCTGGGTTAAGTCCATCCTGGACTCCAAGAAGTGGCGCGAGGCCGAGGCTGCCGGTTCCACCGAGGGTCTTGAGAAGCCGACTCCTCTTCTCCGCGAGTTCACCGACTACGAGATCGCCCAAACCGTCTTCACTTTCCTCTTCGCCTCTCAGGATGCCACCAGCAGTGCTGCCACTTGGCTCTTCCAGGTCACTGCCCAGCGCCCTGATGTTCTTGACCGCATTCGTGAGGAGAACCTCAAGGTCCGTAACGGAAACCGTCATGCCGAGCTCAACATGGACCAGCTTGAATCTTTGACCTACACCCGTGCTGTTGTTCGCGAGCTCCTCCGCTGGCGCCCTCCTGTCATCATGGTGCCATACTTGGCCAAGAAGCCTTTCCCCATCACCGACACGTACACCGTCCCCAAGGGTAAGCTTTTTGTTTCACATGCTTGGGAGTCTTTCTGACAAAACCTAGGCGCCATGATCATTCCCACCGTCTACCCTGCGCTCCGCGACCCCGAGGTTTACGACCGCCCCGATGAGTTCGATCCCGAAAGATACTACACCGGCGATGCTGAGGCCAAGGGCGCGAAGAACTTCCTCGTTTTTGGCGTCGGTCCTCACTACTGCCTCGGCCAGGTCTACGCTCAGCTGAACCTGGCTCTGATGATTGGCAAGGCGTCCATTCTGATGGACTGGGTGCACCACGCTACCCCATTGTCTGAGGAGATCAAGGTGTTTGCGACCATTTTTCCCAAGGTATGTTTGTCACGTTCTGAAGGGGAGCGAAAAGGATGCTAAGAAGTGTAGGACGACTGCCCTCTGACCTTCAAGGAGCGCGCATAAAGTATAAAAGCTCCTTTGTAGGTGTGCAAAGCTAGCTTTGCTGACTAGGCTCATCCAATGAATGTGATGAGTGCGGTGTGAGAGTGGTTATACGGGATCACCGCTAGCGCATCCCGTGGATGACAGGCGCCACAAAAGGCTGACAAAACAGGAGGCTCGTAAAAGACGAGTCGAGATTGGTCGACGTCGGTTGTCTAGACTAAAATTTGTAATGAACGTTTGTATATACATAATACCTTAGGCATGGCCTCACGGCTGGGCGATTTCGGCATGTTGTCGTTTCCAGGGACCACGAGTTCCGGGGGAGGGGGGTAGGCCATCCTGTCTGAATGATGCTAGAGAGATAGATTCAGAGCAGCGTCAATGACACGCTTGCAAAGTTATGCCGTATCCGAACCGGTGGTTTTTGTGCTGTCTTGGTGCGATGGACATCATTCTTCTCGCAGCAACCGGCCATCTCTGGCGGCTCATTTCCCAACGAGGCCACCGAACCAGCCAGTGCCTGTGTGCATCCATCACCAGATCCTTGGCCCTGAGAATGGCGATGCTTCGGCTGTCAAAGTTGGAAGGACGTCTGGAACAGAATGTCTTAGTGCGAGGTCGGGAGGTCGGCGCGTCTGCTCAAAAACGCCGAATCGAATGAACCCCGGTGACATGAGTGGGGACGAACGGACCCTTGCTGCACTGCAGTCGAGCGGGCACTGTTGTCGCCGTACCTGGATCCAGTAGCAACCAATCGTCTGAAGCTCCGAAAGTGGCTACCAACACCACACTCACACACAAACCACGTCCGTAGCCGGCGCCCATCCAGAAAGATCCGATACAGTATGTCAGCCACAAGAAGAGCATATTCGAATGCGCTTCGCACGAGTGGCCGCGTCGCCGCGCCCGCCGGCCTCGCAAGACAGGCTTTCGCCATTGCTGCGTCGTCGTCGAAGAGCTTCCGGCCTGCAGCATGCGCAACGGCGAACCGGTCTCTCGCGGCCATTGCGCCAAGATTCTACTCTTCAAAGTCTCGAGCGGACGACTACCACGAGATCTCGGCTACGGGTAGCAAGCTGTGGAGCTTTGAGCAGATGGAGAAGCTTGCCAAGGATGGCAAGCCAAACGTGGTGATTATTGGTATGTAAACTGTTTGTGGTTTCCCCCGCCATCTCCCACCTCTTACAGATCTCGAGTGTCATCACGATGCAGGCTGCTGACAAGGGCGATCTATGGGCAGACGCCCGTGAGCCTGGCGAGCTTGTGCAGACGGGCTGCATCCCCGGTGCCATCAACATCCCTGTTGGGACAGCGCCTCAAAGCTTTCACATGACCTCGGAGGACTTTGAGGACCTACACGGCTTCAAGCGCCCAGGCCAAGACCAGGAGCTGATCATGTACTGCAAGGCTGGTGTGCGTAGTCGGGCGCTGGCGTCTCTGGCCAAGGAGGCCGGATGGAAGAACGTCGGGGAGTACCCTGGCAGCTGGCTCGACTGGGAGAAGAACGGGGGACCGGTTCAGAAAAAGAAGGAGCACTAAGGATTGATGGGTGAAAGTCACGGCTGGTTTGGCATCAAATCTACGGGCCATATCTATGGGTTGCGCGTAGCATAGACAGTCGCATTCGGGTCAATCATGATATTCGTTGTACAGTAATGGTACATGTGGTGGTCCGCACCAAGCCGGATGACGCGGCAATGCGCGGCAATGCCCAATTCCCAAATTCAAACCCAAACAATGACGATGGATCTTTCTCTTCCATTTGATCCTTCTAGCTGACTCTACAAACACAGGAGGGAGGACAGAAGGCACTCCAACTCAGCTCAGAAGAGTTGAGGGGGCTGGCCTTCAGCGGGCGGCGCAGCGGCGGGAGGCTGCGCTGGGGTGCTCGCGACAGGGCTTCCATGCGCAAAGAAGAGGATCTTGATGGCCAGGGAGAGGCCGAGGTGAAGCGCGACGACGACGATGAGGAGAATCTTGCTCGTCTGGTGGTCCGTAGCACTCAACACAGGGTAAAGGTTTCGCAGAAGGAAAGCGACAGACATGCCACAGCCGACAGCGACGAACACCCAGTTGAGAATGTTGATGGGCGACCAACTGATGAGAGCGACAGGAATCCAAATGAGATTGGCATAGCCATAGAGGGCCCAGCATTCAAGGAGGTTTGCAGACTCGGACCCGAAGTAACGTAGAGCGACGTAGAGGCCGACGGGAACGAAGAGGGTGTAGCCGTAGATAAGGCCGGCAGCACCTGGGGCACGAAAGGTCAGCGTGTCTGTGCAGATACGAGATAGTCGTTGGATGTTGAACCTTACCACTCAGAAGCTTGAAGTCGTAGGCAAACGGCCCTGTACCGGTGCTGGAGAGGTACTGGCTGATGGTGCCTCCAAGGAAGAGAATCAAGACGACTGTCGTCGCAATCCAAAAGGGACCGTATAAGTCGGGGTTACCCTCGAGAACATCAAGGAAGTTGGCTCGAGGGAAGAGCGCGGCCCAGCAACGAGACAGTACGGCTGACGTGTCGACATCGAAGTATTGAGCATAGAAGTTCAGGCTCCACAGGAAGCGCTTCGAGGAGCTCGAGGAAGCTGTCGCAGGAGGAGGGAGGCCAGACGCGGGAGGCTTGCGACTTCCTGGTGTTGTGTCTGCGAAGTTTGAGGTGTGAAATTCGAGGTCGTCTTGAAGATCGGTGTGACCGAGGTCACCCTGCGAAAGAATCAGCAACTCGGGTTGGAGTGGAAGCGAGGGATGAAGCTCTCTACCTCATCGTCGACATCTACAACAGCATCGTACCCGGAACCTGAAGGCATAGCTGCTGTATGCAAGGCGGAGAACTCTTCGGAAAGGAATAATACTTTGGGTGACAGCCTGGCGAAAGAGGCAGGTATGCGCGCGCCGCGATCGTCGTTTGTAGGCCCTGAAGTCGATGTGTTCCGGAATCGTGAATGTCCAGTTTCTAGAGCTCAGGAGAAGCATAGGTGTCGTAATCCCACGTATAGCAATTTGGCCCTGGACACTGCAGCTCCCTGCGTGACCGGCCCCACCAGAAACATCCTCCCTGCAGCGTGTGCGCAATGCCCACCCGCTTATACTTGCGACACTACCCTGGATAACTCAACACCCCCGATTTATGCATGGAGCCAGATGTAACGAGACCGACTGATCGATGACAACAGTCACTTTACACATCAAGGTTCCCGATCGTTTGGGTGTGAGGCTCTGTTATTTTTGTTTTCTACGGTGCTGATCTTCATCGTATCATCAATGAAGTATGCCAGTCGCCATCCCGCATCCATCATAGTACGTCTCTCATGCTCGTTAGCATCTCCATGCAGCACTCAGGACGCCCCGGGCGCTCTCGCCATACGATTCAGCCTCCGATCGAGGACGGACGGGTTTGAGGTAGGGCGACCAATTCAGTTTTTATTCGAAGAACTGCTTGTCGGTGGGAAGTAATGCTACCACAAAGCCCGATGAATCAAGGAAAATATTTTCATCCCTGCCATCCTCTCCAGAATGCCAGAACCCGTGACGCCGCATCCGTAATAAATCGTCTATTTGAGCTTCTTCTTGGGGCGGAGCTGGTTGGTGTGACCGCACTTGCGCTTGCGGCAGTTGGTCGCACGGGGAGGGAGACGAGCCTGGGCGGTGTTAGATGAGTCGGTCGGGGGGGATGGATCCGCTAAGCAGGCGAAGACCACTTACGTAGCACTTGCGGCAGATCATCTTGTCGCAGTTGAACTTGGAGGCCAGAGCCTTGAGCGAGGGCTCGATGATACCACCGCGGAGGCGGAGGACCAGGTGGAGCGTGGACTCCTGCGCAAATTGTCAGCTTCCGTTCGTTCCACGTCCAGTCCTCATATCCTTCATCGTCGACATTTACACCTCCTCATATCCCTGCGAGGGTAAAATGCAGTGTTCCACTAACCTTCTGGATGTTGTAGTCCGAGAGGGTGCGGCCGTCCTCAAGCTGCTTGCCGGCGAAGATCAAGCGCTGCTGGTCGGGGGGGATGCCCTCCTTGTCCTGGATCTTGGACTTGACATTGTCGATCGTGTCGGAGGACTCGACCTCAAGGGTAATGGTCTTACCCGTCAGGGTCTTCACGAAACTGTAGCCACCATCGTCAGTCCATCGGCGTTTTCGGGATAGCGGTCGTCGCACGGAAGGAGGAAATCGCGGCGGGTAAATCTTGTTTTCGGGGGTGCTCACATCTGCACTGAAGGTAAAATGTTAGCATCACCGTCAATCGAGCGAAGCGCGCGCGCCGACGTCCGTCAGAGGGGGTGCCTGTGTACTTACTCTTGCCGACCTCTCGCGAACTGGCTGTTGTTACCGAAGAAGTTCTGGTGATCGCGGCAAACTGATGGTGGGGCGGGCTTGAGAACGGTGTTCACGGCGAAAGATCAAAAACAAAAAGCCCTAATTAGGGCACGCGGTAGGTCACATGGATCACGGATAGGCGGGTGCAGGTGCGGTCGACCCCAAAGCGGGTTCCCACCCTGTGCAGCACTGTGGGAACAACCGTAGCTCACAGAGCACCACCACCTCACCCTACAACACTATCCAGCCAGTCTAAGTAGGTACCTCACTTAGGTACTTGCCTACCTACTGTACCCACTACGGCGAAGGCCCCCGACCTCAGCCCTGCGGCAGGTTACTGTCGCTGAGACCGCTGCAGATACCTGAGGTGAGGTAATGCGTATTCGCACTACCTGACCTTGGTAGGTAGGTTGCCTTCCCTACATATGTCGGGTATCATGGATAGATGACTTCACATGTGAGCTCATTAACCCTGCGTTTGAATGTTCCCATGTCATGCCCCGTACAAAGGCGGAATTGCTCTTAATGTCATGAATCCCGTGTATGAATCTATGGTATCTTGGGTATCAAAAACCTGTTTCCTCCTTGCCCCCCATTTCCTATTCAGCAAAGACTGCGTGCACAGCCATCATTCGTCTGGCGTGGGCAGCCCGCCATCAAGCTCTACGCTCATGGCTGATCGGGACCGCTCACGACGTTCACTTGCCCCTCTGCGTTGCTCTCTTTGCCAAACGAGGATGTTTGCCTCGAGCATGTTGACGGCTCGCAACAACATACTGACTGACAGACCAGAGAGACGGCCAGCAAGCCGGAAGAAATCCCTACCCGCAGGGGGCAGATCTTCCTCGGACCTGTAGGAGTATTGTCTGTTCTTTTTCGGACCCTCCTCTTCCATTGTTTCATGGACGGCAAACGACGCAGCCCGTCCTTGAACTGTGCGTAACCTTTCCTCTATCTCATCTTCAGGGGCCTCAGATGGCGGTTGCTTGGGCGGCAGTTCATCAACTGGAAAGTACCTGGCGAGCACTGAATCCTCCGCTGGTCGTAGTTAGTCATGTAACCTAGAGCAATTAACCGTCCGAAGACTTACACTGTGCGTCTGTGAGCATTGACAGCTGAGTAAAATACTCATCCAGCTCTGCTTGCGCCATCGACGTAATGTGTGAAGCCGTTACACCAAGGTAATCAGCGGTGGGAACAGTTTCTGGGGCCAATGCTGGCGCCATGGACGTCCGCCACTCATCCCACTTGAAGTCTGGTATCAAGAAAAGCTTTCCTTCTTGCACCGGTGACTTGGATTCCTCGAGGGGGAAGCAGTGGATGGTCGTGAGAACAATGACGGCAACAAGCAGAATTTCAGGCTGGTGTATAAGTCTCAGTCGAGACTTGCCTAATGGAAATTCATACGGCAGGTTGACGATGAGTGGTATCCTGCGAGCAACCGATATAGTCTCAACTACTGGCTGTCAGCAACGGCACAATAGCCATACCCACGTGAGCCTTACTGGGCAGTCCAAGCTCTCGGACGTACTGCAATGTCATCAGGACGTCATTTAGGGGAGGGAAAACTATGCCGTAGTTGGAATTAAACGACAGAGCGAGACTCAGTACGGCAGCATGCAGCTCCCCATGATCAAATTTGGCCAAGTATGCTGCTTTCAATACCGTTGAATAGTATGCTGGTAACCGGTCACGCATCTCTTGGGGCAGTTTTCGATACTGGTCATATCAGCAGACACTCTTAACACCATTGACGCTCAAGCTTACACTATGCTTGTAGGGAATGTTTCCCGCCCTCGCCCACCTAGCCAAATCTCCTGTGCGTGTCGGCATTCTGAGAAGCATGCACCCAAGAAAGCAGAGCGCTAGAGTGTCCATCAGTCGCGGAGCGGGCCACTCGCTCCCACTCTCGGGGGTCCAGTTCTGTGCTCCCTGTGTGCGATTGCTAGGTTGCTCGTCCTGCGAGAGGTCGATTTGGGAGCTGAAGAGGGAGAGCTCGGCCTCTGAAGCAGAGTCGTTCTCAGCAGCACTCGCGGCTCCTCGTATGCGAAGATCCCAAAGGTCGCGAACTACTGTCTCGAGCTCTGCCTTGTGACCTTTGACGTCGACCAACCACATCACCTGTTCCCTCAGTATGAGTTGAAGGCATTCGAGATACAGATCTCGTGCAGGCGGGCCGGTGAGGACACGTCGCACGCGCTCTTTGATTTGCTTCTCTTTCCGGGAGACTTTTCCCTTCTGGCCAAAGTCTTCATCACCGAGATCGAACTCAACATAGCCCTGAGGAATGGATCAGCTCTAGATTTTGACACACATGGAAATCATCACCAACTGACCTCGAGCTGGTGGCCTTCTTTTGCACAATATCGAAGACCATTCTCTAAATACCATTTTCGTGAACCACAGTGTTCGCAACGCTCCCCTTTGGGGAATTTGTGCAGTTCCCTGCTTGGGGCCATGTTGTTGTGGTTGGAGGTTGAGTTGCAAAGATGAGTATCGGGCAGAAACTTACCCTGTCGGAGAATATAGGACAGTGCTCAACCGGTTACCTTGATTCGACAAGATCAATTAGGCAGACGACCAGACTGCACTTTTCCACAATCTTCGAGATTGTGCATAACAGGGAAGCAAACCAGGTTACAAGCGAACTGAGCATCGTCTCAATTTACTACGAGCCGTAGATGAACGAAAAGAGTGAATGTAGAGATGCACGGTGCACCAACTGTGGACCTGAACTTGAAGTTGGGCATATTTTTGATGACTTCACGTCAGTATTACCCGCGTTCCAGCTTGACCCGGCAGCTTAAGAGTAGATTTACATAGAAATATATTTGCACAGATTGATGAACACAAGGCACTGTAAAATGGTAACGAAGAAGGAACCACGAGGTGGAGGAAATGTGCCGTTTTTCTATCGGACAGATCTGTTGCCACCGCGAAGCTCTCCCAATATTTTTCACCTATCCCATTGCTAGTCTGGTCGTCATAAGAGTCTGTGAAACAGACCAAAACAAAGGAAAAGTCGTGCGACGTGTCTTGCAGTTGTCGAGTTCGCGTAATCAGTATCAATTCCTGTCCAGATAGTCCTCTACGCAACGATCGACGGGGAGCTCGCTGATATTCGAGGCGCCAAGAAATATCTGTAGTCATGCTCCCGATCTGCCAACATCTGCCAACAAGGCCGCACGGAGTGAGCGCTTGTGGAAGTCATTGTCTGTTGAAATAGTAGAGTTGCGACGCTTAAGCCTGCTTGGGGGCCTCCTTGGCCTCAACGGCAGCCTCCTCACCCATGGCAGTGAGAATGACAACGTCTGTTGAGCTTGCTGTCAGCAACTGTTCTCTTGAAATATGGGAGTTGATGTGTCCTTACTGGTGTCCTTCTCGTCAACCTTGAAAAGCTTGTTGATCTTGTCGCCAATCTCGCCGTCGGGGACGCGGACGTCGTCCTTGGTGTCACCGTCGTCGTTCATGAGGGAAAGGAAACCATCGTCGGAGATGTCAAGCTGAGAGTGTGCATGTCAGGAGACGGGATCTCATTTGCCAAATTCGCAGTATAGATCGGGACTTACGAGCTGGTACTCGCGGCGCTGGACATTGGGGACGTCCATGTTGTGGGTGGAGGGGCAGAGATCCTCAAGCTTCTTGCCAGTGAAGATGTCGATGGCGACCAAGTGAACCTTGGCGTGACCGTGCTTGCCAGTCTTGGAGGTAGACATGTCGACGATCTTGCAAGGGCGGCCCTTGATGACGACGTGACCGTTCTTCCTCAGAGCAGAGCACTGCATGGGGTAGGTGGCAGACGCGCCGGCGTCGGCGGACTCGAAGGTGTGATCATGCTACAGAACCGGCGTGTTAGCATACTGAGGCACGCCGGGATGAATACAACGAAAGACAATCTAGAGAAGATGGAAAGTCGAGTGTTCGCAGTCGGCGGTTCGTGGTGTACGGATGTGCTGCGCTGAGCCGTGGTGCGTTGATGCAGCCGCGGGGCTCACCCAATGCGGGGTGGTTGTGAATGTGGGTGGTGGTTTTTTCCTTCGCCCGAGCAACAACAGCGGTGCAGCGCAGCGCATGCGACCAGCACAAGGGACAGAGACGACAGAACAGAGATATCAGCTTGCGCATGTGCTTACCTGAGAGTCGTCGGCCATTTTGAAGGATTGACTTGAAGAAGATGTCTAAAAATCGGGAACGGAGATGTCGACGGATCAAGGGCGATACCCAGCAAAAACAACTGCTTTTATTTGTGAGGGGGGGGAGAGTGTTGTGTAAAGGAAGAAGAGCGGGCTGGAGGGGGGAACGGAGGGGAAAAAGAGGGAAGGCAAGGCGGGAGTAGATAATTTTTTTTCCTGGTTTTATTATTGGGTTTTTTTTTCTTAGGTCCAGATTCGCGCCCCTCTCCTCTCTCCGACCCTTTCTCACGGGTGTGCAGGCGGGTTGTGTGGGACACTTGCCAGTGTAAAAAAAGGTGGAGTGTGGGCTTTTTCTTTTTTTTTTTCTCACCCTCTCCCCTCAGCATCTGCCACCGCTGACCACGCACAGCACACAGCAGTCGAAATGTCTATTTCTTGACAACCTAGGTACCTGGGTGTGCTGGGTAAGGTAGGTCGAGACTGCGGCGGTGGCCTGCCACTCTGAGCACCTTAGTGTGAGCCCTTCTGCCCCTCACCTCTGCCCCTCCTTCGGCCACTGCAGCCCAGCCTTCGAGCGACAGACACTCGGGCCCCCTTGGCCCTGTGCTTCCCGCCCGCAATCATTCACCGCAGGCACCTGCCGGTGAGGCATAGGGGGTACCTCGCCGCAAAGGTAGAGTGCGAGAAGTCGGTCTAAGTCATGAAGAGCCGTCCATGTCCAATGACTCCACGCCGAAAGGTCATATGGTGCTTTTCTAGATTTGGAGTGCCCGGAACAAGCCCCTCGTTCTGAGGCTGACGAGATATAAGGAATTTCGGCGAGATACGTTACGGCGAGCCAGCAATGGACAATCTAGCTACTCACTAAGGTGCCTACGTGGTACGCGGGCGCCTGCCCAAAGTCATCGAAGCTGTCGGGTACGTCCAGCTCCCGTGGCGACAATACCTCACAGTCCGTAGCACTCATTTTTGGCGCTAATGCCGCCTGACTAGGAACCCGACTGCTGCCAACACCAACACTGGCCAATTCAGTCACCCTGTCCGGGCCTCCACTATCTAGGGGAGGCCCTGAAGGCGGGAGTGATTTGCACGGTATGCGCTCAAAATTTCCACCAAACGTGGTCATTCTCGTTGCGCCCGTATATATTGGTGCCGTGTAGATATTCATCAATGCCTGCCCCTCCTTTCTGTGCATTGGCATTGGGTGTGTGCGTTCCTCTCGTCTTTTGTGTGTGAAAGAATAGAATCCGCGTCGTCGGAATCAGACAGAGGAAACCGCAACAAAGCCACAACGGAAAACAAACACGACCTGTTTCTACATCAGTAGACAATCCCACATACCCCTCCATTGATGTCTCTGGAACGGTTCGTTACCCGAGAAACGTCGCGGATTCTGCACAACATGTTTGATGCAGCATCTTCGTCCCTCTCCCGGATACACTTACGCATTTCGGATGCATCAATGACCTGTTTTTGCGCCTGTCCAAGTCCTGCCCCGCACGTTTGCTTCAGTGCTCCCGCACCGTCGGCCTTCCAAAACGTTGCCCCGCACTTTCAACCTCTGGGCGGGACTTCATCAAGAGAAGCAAACATCCGAATCCCTGCTGCGCCACACTAAGCTCTACATTACGTACTCTTTGTGGCTGAAGAGCCTGGACTGCAGATTATCCAATCAGAACACATCACCCTGCAGGAGACTATCAGCCTTGTCGGCTCCCGGTCAATATCACAGGTCTACGTATCCTGAGTGATCCAGCTCGCTTGCCCCCTTCCACGCCCCCCCATCGACTCCAATCCTTCGATGTCATGGTGTACGACCGAACCGACCGAACCGACCGAACCGCTTTGTAGCCTCTTCCCACCGCAAGCCCATCATGTGGCTTGATCGGCTCGCAGCCCAGTCGAACCCGTCTCCTTCACCGTCGCAGCCCGGCAGCCGTCCCTACTCTCCCCTGCCGCGACGAACCTCCAACAGTCCCTATGTCACCTCTCAACGACCCGGCATAACGCCAAGAGGCTCTGCCCTCTCCCTCGTTTCCAATGACTCTTCCAACTCGTTTCTGGCCTCCCGCAAGGTCAACGGGTCCGGCCTCAAGCAATCGCAAACTACCTACGAGGGACCCGATTCGGTCGAAATCCTGGGCCAGATCCTGGATACCCCCTCATTGCCAACACCCGGCGTGAATGGTACAGCCGGGGCCATAGCTGAGAAGGATCTCGAGTTCCAATTCGACTTTAATGGAATGAGTCTGCGTGAGCTGGCGAGCTCCGACACCACGGCTACGGACGATGCCGATGGCTACCGCCGGCAAACCGCAGAAGAATGTAAGAGCTCTACAAGTTGGTTTTTTTTGCGGCCAACCTTCCGTATGCTGACCCCACGCGCAGATGAGACCAGCAAGGCCCAATTTGAAGATCTGCATCGGTCCATCGCAGCTTGCGACGGCGTTCTCAGCTCTGTCGAGACGAACTTGACGAGCTTCCGCAACGATCTCGCGACGGTCTCCGCAGACATAGAAACTCTGCAGGCCCGCTCGACAGCCCTCAATGTCCGACTTGAGAACAGAAGAGCAGTGGAAAAGGCGTTCGGACCCGTGGTTGAGGAATTGAGCGTCTCCCCCCATGTCGTCTCCAAGATATCGGAAGGTCACATCGACGAGACATGGGTTAAAATGCTAGCTGAAGTGGATAAACGTGCAACAGCATACAAGAAGAACACGGCCAGTCCGCGGCAGAGTAAAGCTTGGGCTGACCTCGGCCCTCTATTGGAGAAGCTTACCATGAAAGCCATCGAAAGGATACGAGACTTCATTGTCGCCCAGATCAAGGCGCTCAGGTCCCCCCACATTAATGCCCAGATCATCCAGCAACAGAACTTCCTCAAGTTCAAGGATCTTTTTGCATTCTTGCACAAACATCACTCAAAGCTTGGTGAGGAAATCAGCCAGGCTTACATGAATACTATGAGGTGGTATTATGTGAATCAGTTCACTCGATACCAGAAGGCTTTGGAAAAGCTGAAACTACACACGTTGGATAAGAATGACGTCCTTGGACACGAAGAAACATCACGAAGAGCCACAGTTTTATCTGCAACAAAGCCGGTTGGTCCGCCGCACGATGCTTTTAACCTGGGGCGCCGCATCGACCTCTTGAAGACGAGCAATCAATCCGCGATATCATCTTACTTGGCCGAGGAGGACCAGACCACTCACTACCTCGAAGTTCCTTTCAGAAACTTCAATTTGGCGCTCATTGACAACGCCACTGCAGAGTATACCTTCCTAGCCGCCTACTTCTCACCGCCGCTTTCATTAGCAGCAGTGTCGCGGCAATTCAACTACATCTTCGAACCGACCTTCGCTCTCGGTCAGACATTGACCAGGACGTTGACGAATGAAACATACGACGCTCTGGGTCTACTTCTGTGCATCAGGCTCAATCAGCACTTGGCGTTTGAGCTACAAAGACGCAAGATTCCCGCCGTTGATAGCTATATCAACATGACTACCATGCTCCTATGGCCTAGGCTACAGGTTGTCATGGACCACCACTGCGAGTCGGTCCGGCAACTAACCAATATTCTGCCCACTAAGCCCAAGGCTGCGGATCAGAACAAGCTGTCTGCAGCGCCTCATCTCGTCACCCAAAGATTTGGCCAGATCCTACAGGGTGTCTTGACGCTCAGCGCCGAGGCGGGTGATGATGAACCCGTGGTCACTAGCTTACGGCGGTTGCGTTCAGAAGCGGAAGCCTTCTTGACTCGATACAGTCAATCCTTCGGGGACAAGCGGAAGCGTGAGCGGTTTTTATACAACAACTACTCGCTGGTTTCGACCATCATCAGCGATGTGAGTGGGAAGCTGGCTACGGAACAACAGGAACATTTCGAAGAACTCAAGACGGCATTCCAGGAGGGTGCTTAAAATCACAAACCATACTGTTACGGCGTGGGCAGGCATGGCGTCGGGTGCGTAAGTCAAATGGGATATCATATGTGCGGTAGCTTTTCTCTACTACCAGGGACTTTAAATTTACACGCGGCACTTTTCCCTGCCCGTCTAAGGTTCAGACTCTACCAAGCATCGTCTAGAAGGTGTGTGTCCAGTTTGTTCCGTTTGTCCACTTCGCACACCAGGCAGCCAATTCTGCGATCGGGCTGCTGTTGCGGCGCAAATATACTGCCACCAGTCCGACAACGACAGCTAAACCTGCTGCTGCTGCCCCCTTCCTATACGCCCAAAGCGTTCTTAGTATCTTCTGCCGGCGTTCCAGGGCACGGAGCTCGGCCAATTGCCTCTGGAAAAAGCTAAATCCTTCGTCCATTGTCTGCTTCGCGCAGACTTCGACGGACCGCGCTGTCTTCAGTGAGCTCGCTTTTGATATCCGCCGCCATGCTGATAGAGTCTCGGGAGGGTACCGCTCGTACAGCACAGTAGTGCTGGCGATCAGCGCCTCGAGATCCATCTTCTGCGGAACCTTGGATAATATCAGGTGCAGCATGGAAGGGTCGTCTTCGTCATTGTCAAAGAGCTCGTCTCGCCGATTCAGGACGATTTGAGCGAACATATAGACGCTGAAGACCGGCTCCCGAGTGAGGAGGATGTCGAAAAGGCGGGCGATATCACGATATGCCTGGATATCGTGGGCATACATGGTAAGCGTACCGGCTAGGGCGTAGAAAGGCTCGGTGCCGGAGAGGTGTCGCTTTAGCTTGGGGTCCGCAGCATTCAGTATGTCAGGAATCAGACGCAGCTGCGCAACGGTTGGCTCAAGGTTTGTGAGCATGAAGTCGCGAATGCGAAGGACAGAGAGGCGGGACACTAGACGGGCACGCCATGGCGGCTCCAGTACGAGTAGAAACACCTGGCAAATGTCGTGATAGCCCTGAAAGTAGCACAGGTACGGATATCGTCGGAGGACCTCGGTAATCAGATCAGATAACTCGCTCTTGTTCGTGTCGAGTTCGGCGTCAGACTGGTCTATAGGTTGGGTCGTCAGCTCATGGACGGGACTGTCGGGCCAAAACTCGCCTGGCCGTCTTCGCAAGGAGAAGCGTACGATTGGGGTAGTAAATGAAGGCTCTATTGACGTCGAGCTGGACCTGGTCCTCGTCCCTGTGACGCGGGAGGTCTTTCCACGAGTTCGTCTCGTCTATACCAGTCGCAATTATTTCCTTGAAGTCCTCGCTATCCGCAAGCCCGAGCAGTATGGGCCCTGCCCCAAAAATGCCGTGTTAGAAGGCTAATCAGAGGAGTTGCTAGGCGACGGGATGGCCACTTACATGCTTTACGGCGCAAATCATCAGTGAGGAAACCACCTCGTGTGCTGGCAAGGCTTCCAAGGGCCTCGATATTCCGCCATTTGCATGCTTCGAGGATATCGTCTGTCTTGCGACGTAGATGATCGGCTGCGCCGCCGTCCTTGACTTCGTCGCCAGTCGCTTTGGTGGCCATGACCTCGAATTACAACCTTCAGCGCGTCGTCTAGTCGTTAAGAATTGCTCGTCGCGTGAGCAGAGCAAGCATCCTGCAGCTACAAACTAGCCTCACTGGGAGCTCGTCGAGCTGCAAGGATGCTTTTGGTCCGGCCTCGTCGCCGCTGGTTGGTTACGCGAACCCCAAGACCCGTCGATCTCGAAAGATCCGACAGGAGTATGATGCGGGGCGCAGGCAGAAGCAGAGATCGGGTAACTACTCGGCCAGCGAGAAGCAAATCCTGAAAGATCCAAGAGAGAAGTTAGCGAAAGCTGCCACGATGACGGAGGACCTCCACTGTGGAGATCTGTCGCACCACTGGATCGCCGCCTGGAGGTCCTTGCCTGCCTTGCTACCCAGGTACATCTGCTGGCGGGGATCAAGCGGTCCAGGCCCTTGCGGGAAGGACATGGTACTTAGGTAAGCTGGAACGAAGGGAAACTTACCAAGTGCGTTGCATCACGTCCTCATGTCTATTATATTTCCATATCATATACCCTGTCCAGTCAATGTTTAATAGTGACAAACGATCAGCCGATCTTTGCGCCTGCGGAAACTGTACTGTCACCTCAAAAAGAGAACACCGGCACCGGCTGCAGCATGTAGGTCTCGAAAAAAGTATTCGACCCAAGTGACCAGCAGTGTCCAGCAACAGTCAAGAAGTTGTGTAACCCAAGTCAACATTTGCAAAGCCCCTTTAGGACTCATTATGGACTTCAAAAAGGAGCATGTGGTTTGTCACAAACGACAGATCTTGCTCGGGATGTTGGCATCGGTTGGCTAGCCTAAGAGCGCCATATTCTGCTTCTTTGCCTACTTGCTCCCTGGGCTAGGAGGGTTGCATGAGCAATGGTCAAAAAAGTCGGCCTGCAGCAGTGGATGCAAGGTAGCACACAGCTCGCTCAGTTCGAACACAAACTGACATACGCCCGTAAGGTAGGGAGGCGGCCACGAATGCCGGTCGTCCTAGCCGCCACACTGCCTGGAGACTCCAAAGGTTTTCTACATCCACAAACATCGCGCCAGCCTCAAAGAAAAAGCGGAAGCCCTTTGTGCTTGACCTTCAGAGAAGTTAAGATCGATGCCACTGGCCGCTTTGTCTTGGCCATGTTGCAACGAGGCGAGCAAGAACCGGTTGGTTCGCTCGCAGCTGTCTAACTAGCGTCAGGCAAGAGGGAGATTTCTGCCGACAAATTTGTGCTGACAGAGATGACTGGCTCTTGGAGAAACGCACAACGGCCTCGAGATACCAGGGCGCCTCCTGTTGGACGTTTGCCGGAAGTAAACGCAGACGTCCGCTAGGTTGCGCGAAGCACGTCGAGTCATTTAGAGCTCGAAGTAGGCAAGGTTGAAGGCAAGCGAGCCGGCCGGTGAGAACGGTACGGACCACGTCGACATGGATCTCAGCCAGGATGGCAGAGATTCAAATGAACCTGCAGCATCTTCCTACTTCCACCCAAGGCCAGATTCCACATACGCGCAGCCAATGCTCCTCCCGACCATTGTCTGCTGCAGCCGTCTTGATACGGCGGAAAGGGCCAAACATTCTGCGACGACTGGAGGCTCGACCGATGAATGGATATTCTCGCTTCTAATGCGGCAATAAATTGAAGGACTGCCGAGGTCTAGTCGCCTCTGAAGCATCCCGGAGTGGTTCACCGGTTGCCGCAGGTAGAAGAAACTATGCGTGTCGACAGTTGTTGGGATGAACGGCTTTTCCACTGGACCTGGCCAGCCCGCAGGCCGGGTAAGTGTAGGTAGATTCCTTGGGTAGCTACCTTAGCTACAACGGCCCACACACTGTGGAAACGGTGCCCGTCTTGTTAGCGCCGATTCAGACAACGGAGTGGGTAGACGGGATGACGGGATGGCGGGACCGGGTCAATCCAGGCGAACCTAGGTAGGTACTAAGGTTAGAATGCCACTTGCCAGCTTCTTCAGCGGCCGTCTGTGTCACTCAGTGGCTGAGGGCCCTGTCGTTGACTTGATCTACCCCGCCTCAGGCCTGCTCAGGGAAACTACACAGCTTGACAGCTTCGTACGTAAGGTTGGTAGGCAAGTTTTATCGATAAGGCGCGAGAGGTGGGAGGGCATGCAAAGTAGAACGATTATCTGGACTGTTTGGCCAAGCTCGGGAGCACCTCGCGGCCCAACAGCGGCGTGCATGCTTCAGTTGCTTTTTTACTTCCATTGTTTTCCCCGCGGCTCGCCTGATGGCAGACACCGTGACAGCTTCCAGGACTCGGTTTTTTCATCTTAAGAGGGCGTGCTAAGTAACAACTGAATCCAAGTCACGGGCACACCTGCACCAGTATAGCCACACCTCCGCGTGTTACTTGCCTCTCAGGCAAGGCTTTTAATCATCCGTCAGCCACCTGAGAACTCCATACTGTTTGCGCACTACCCAAATGATGTTGGGCAGGTTTAAAGCCGTGAGTGTACCGTGGGCAGACAACCTCAGGTAAGGTAGACGCACCTGCTGCCCTGGGCCCCAATGGCTTGAGAAACGTGGGGCCCCACTGGACTACACAACTCTTAAACCACAGCAACCTAAGGTAACCTCAGTCTACTCCGCGCTGACCCAACTTTCGCGCCGGCTTAAGACTACAATACATTCCCACGTCCGCTGCCCTGCCCACGGCTACACCAGGTTGCTTACGCCGGCAACAGCGTCCCATTCACCACCCGGCTTCTCCTCGTACGGCCCCATCGACGCACTCATTTACTCTGTGTAAGATTGAGAGCACTGCCCCAAGTCGAATTCGAAGCTCGGGTTCCTCCCGATTGAACTCCGTCATACCGCCCGGCGATATCAAAGGTCCTCGTCCCTCTGAACGTTCTGCCCCTGGTCCTTTGCATCGTCGTCACCTGACTGCACTTTTCGGCCCCTCACAACCATGTTTACTTGACAAGATCTGTTGAAATGGCCTTTCAGACAAACGTTTTCAGGGATGGGGCTTGGGTCACCGAGACCGTCGACCTCAAGACCGTTCTTTCCAAAGGTTCGGCCGCCGCCGCATCGCCCGCTGCCCCTCCACCCCCTACTCCGCCAGACTGTGGTATTCTTACCAGGACTGTTATCGAAAGTCCCATCGCTCGCTGGGTGCTGCCTGCCCTCTTGCGATCGGCTCATCACAATGATGTTGCTTTTGTCGGCGTGAGTCTCGAATCCGAGTCCTAATCAGCTTACGCCCCACGTCAGCCTAATGTTCAACACTCGCTAATTGCTCTAGGATCGCCACGTGAGCATAAGCGAGTTGCGTAAAGATGGCCAGCTACAAGAAGTCCTTCGAAAGAAAGATTTTGGTTGCCGTATCCGCAATGCTTGTGTCATTGGGAACAAGTATGAACGTTTCCGGGCCACTGCCGATGATGCTGGTGTCGACCACATCAAGAGTGAAGATGAAGACGACGACACTCACATGGTGGATTCTTCCTCTGCCTCTGGTCCCATCGGCGCTCACGGTCTACTGCCACCGCACCTGCTGCTCCTCGTCCTCGAGACCGGCACCTTCGTCTTCCTCTTCATCAAAAGAGACATGCATAACAAACTCGAGTTTGTCGCCTCGCCCTTTCATAACCCTGCAAGGCGAATGGGCCATCACCTAGGCTTTCATGTGGCTGTGGATCCAAGATCCCGCTACATCGCTGTAGCTGATGTGCAGAACAAGTTCGTCGTTTACGAGCTTGAGTCGATGGAAGCCATGAGTGATCAGTACATGCGCAAAAACGCGATTGCCCCTGTCAGCGCCCATCACTCCCGTGCGGTTCAGGGCACGATCCTCAAGATGGAATTTCTTTATCCTCGACCAGAAGACCAAGGCCATGTCATTCTTCTTATCATTTTTGTCAAGGGCGACAAGTCAAAAATGGTGATATATGAGTGGGAACGCGGCGACGATTTGGCTCGGGTCTTTGCCGAAGAAAAACGTGGTTATCGCATACGTCCGGAACATCGCTTGCCTCTGTTAGTCATTCCGTTGACAGTAAGAAGTTCTTTCCTGGTCATCTCTGAGAATGCCTTTGGCATCTGCAAAGATCCTCTACAAGGCCCTCTCGATATTGAGAATCACTACCCGTTCGATCCAAAGGACCACCCCACGACACGTTTTCATCATGGGCTTGGCGTGCCGCTCTGGACGGCCTGGGATCGGCCTGTTCGAAGACGAGGCTACTACGACACAAACGATCATATCTATCTGGCCCGGGAAGACGGCGTTATTGTATTTTTTGAGTTCAACTCGGCAGACGTCCTTGGTGTTTCCATGAATGTGGGCGAGTGTGACTGCAACATCTCCAGCGCGTTCACCACCATGTACGATGCTTACTCTGACTTCGCCATAGTTGCAGGGGATTCTGGTCCTGGCATGATATTTCAGGTATGCTGTCTCCATCGCTTATGTGAGAGTATGAAGCCTGACACACTAAAATAGCTCAAACCTCGACAGAGCATAGTCCAGCTTGGCCCTATTCCGAACTGGGCTTGTGCTGCCGACTTCACAACTTCAGATCCTCTTGTATCCTGGAATCCAGCAGCCGACCACCGGGGCAAGCCAGTAGTTCCCTGGCGAAAACGCACTGCGGGTCATGTATCAGCTCCTGACAAAATCCTCTGCGTATCCGGTAACGATCCGCAAGGCAGCATCACTGAATTACGTTACGGACTGCCTGCAAACATAATCTCCTACTTTGATACACTCCCGATGAAAAGAGCTTGGGTTTTCTGGACTTCCGATGCAACTTGGCCACTGCAGATGCTCATTACTAGCCCCGGAACATCCGATGTCTTGGTGTTATCGGCCGACCTTTCACAAGTGGAGATGGCAGATCCGGCTATGACACGGCTAGATACAATGTCCCGCACGTTGGCGGCAGCCCAAGACTCTGACGGGAACATTGTTCAAATTACTGAACAGTGTATTGCTATCAAGGGCCCTGATCAAGGCGACGAAAGGTGAGCTCCGACTAAACTCGCACTGAGAAATATAAAGCACTGTCCAAAAGGCGTTCGTGACGAAAGTTGGTCTGACGAGTTCTAGTGCGAGTCACTCCTTTGGCGATTTCCCGGATATCGACGGCGTGGTTGAGCATGCAGTCGTCAGGGGTAATTGTGTCTGTATATCAGTTTTTGCACAGTCGCGCTTTCAGGTCCATGCCTTGCGTATCAAGGAGACGATGGTATCTCTGGCTCATACCTACTCTGTTGACGGAGAAGTTACATGCCTCTCGCTCTGCTGCATTGACGGGCGGGAATGTTTAGTCGCTGGCTTATGGCGACACAACAAACCCTGGCTCGCTATATGGCCGGCCGAACGGTCTCAAGAGAAGCCACTCATGATTCCTTTGGATACTGGTACGTCGAACTTTTCACACGAGTAACGTTTTGACGCGTTGACCAACATTGTTACAGATGGAGTAGACGATACGGAGCAAGGAGATGCGATGGACATATCTTCAACTGTCGAACTGATCAATTCAATCGTCGTGGTTTCTGAAACCGATAAGAAGACAAACTTGGTCATGGGATCTCGAAGCGGCCATTTGATAACGGTAGAGCTGAAAGGCTCCACTCCTGCCGATCGAGCAATCTACAGAGAGAGGCTTGGAACCGTTTCAGTTGAGGTTCTGCCTATCAACGCAAAGTCTGTTCCAGGGGCTGTCTTGGTCTGCTCCAACGATGCCTTGTTACTCTTGCGAGACTTTGAAGCTAAGCGACCTGGGTATTTCGCAACGCGACATCGCGCTTGGGTAACAGACCTCAAGAATCCGGCAATGCCATCTTTACCCGTTATCTCAGCTGCCAGTATACCGAGAGCTCATAGCATGGAGAATCGCATACCATTGGTACTTCTTTCTGGTGAGCGCATCTCGTTTACAGAACTGGACCTACAAGACGGACCAGTGCCCAGACGTCTGCCACTACGGACAGGCACACCCGGAAAGGTGCTCTACTCCAAGACGCTTCAGTGCCTCGTCGTTGCGATACAGGTAGGAGACCAACCGAACATCATGTTTGTGGATCTCGAAACGGGAGAAGACTTGTCGTATCCACTCGACAAGCACGGTAACCCAACGATATTTGTCAACGGACTAGGCGGTCACGGTGATAGGATTCTTGGGATGTATGAGTGGCTGTTCACTCAAGCAGGCATGACATTTCATTATCTAATTGTCACCACAAGGGGAGGGCGCCTTATACTTCTATCCCCCACCGCTGACGAAGATCGAGATTCGGAGGGGAAGAAGCGAAAGAGGATACGTTTCTCTACTCGATACAAGTCGAAAGAGCAAGCCCCCATATCTTCCGTTGTAGGGGACGACGAAGGACTTGTGTACTGTGCTGGGAGCACTCTATATTCAGAGGTTCTCGACACGGGTGAGAAGAAGCTGGTACGACAGAAGAGCTACGAGCTAAACTCCCCCGCCATTTCATTGCGACTAGTAAATGGCAAGATCTGTGCTCTGACTTTGGGCGACTCGGTAGTGGTCATAGATCACAAGACGGTCCACTATGGTGAGGAGATGGACCTCATTCACATGGACAAGACGACAAGAAAGTCAAATGATTTCTTTGATATTGGGGAGTGCGCAGACGGACCAGCAGCCTGGCCCATAACTCTACTTTGCGGTATGAACCGCGATTTCGCAGCAGTCTGGACTCCTTGGCAACAGAGAGGCAAAGAGTTGGAGGTCGTCGCGGAGGGTTCGTTGCCTGTGAGCGTCAGAAAGCTCGGGCGTGGGCACGTTCGTCCCGAGTGGCTGGCGACGCAACTGGCGACGCAGTCAGAGACGGATCATGGACCACGATACGGACATATACCCAGCACAGTGGATGGAGCTGAGTTACTCGGAATGTGCCTAGATGGGGCGTTGATGCATTTCAGCCTGTTGGACATGCACGCGTGGCGATTCCTGCGTTTCGTACAGAACCTTGCAGTAAGGAGCCATCTTTTATTTCCTTACAGTTATGAGGTTTCGGTGCTGGATGACGAGGATTACGATGCGGAGGTGAGGGAGGCACCTGCAACAATGAAGCACATAGACGGAGATCTGCTCCAAAGGTGTGTCGACAAGCGAGCGCTGGAGAAGCTCATATCCGAAGACAGCAACATCGACCTCTTGAGGGAGTATCTGGACTATTTGGACGATGGAAAGTGGACAGCGTCTTTTCAAGATGACAATGATGTATCGAAGTATTTCGGCTTGGCATACGTCGTGCTGGAATACCATTTGAGTCCGGTGCTATGAGTCACAGGGATGCAATGATCTTGCTCTTCTTCCAGCGAGCTGGATGGCTTGGTAGATAGTGCTAGGTCAAGAAGTAGGCCGCAACACGGCTTGCACGTACCCATGCCATAGATGTCAGAGCGATGATTGTGCTTCTATACATGATTGAATAAGGGACAAAAGAAGCTGGTCCAATGCATTTTCTTGCTATCAACCCAAGATTTGGCTGTTGGAAGAGCTCGCGAGGCGAGGTGAGCAGCGGCGGACGTTCGTACGGTATGAATGTGTGCTGCAATGGTGGAGGAGCCGTTGGGAGGTTCCCTGCTACTTTACCTAGGTTGCGCGCGGGCGGAGAACCCTTGGCTGCCAGGCACCTCCACTCACTGCGTTTAGTGCCACTGCGCGGGCTTAGGATCCCCTGCTCCTTCCCACACACTGCACTACGGACAGGTGCACACTTTCAAACACGACCTGTGCCCCGCAGTGAATGTGCTGATGTACGGATACGCTCTCTCTCTCTCTCCATCTGTCCTATTCACTTCCCAAAACTCGACGAAACATCCACGGCGGTCCTTCTACATTCGTTGGGATAAATAGCCATCAAGCGGATGTTGACTGAGTAGTATCAGCATACCAGTGATTCGTGATTTATTGCCACTTGAACTGCTGCCGTACCACCTTTTCGTACTTGAGACGCCCGCCGAGAGGGGAAAAAAAAAGAAAAAAAAAAAAAAAAAGGAACTACCCCACACATCCTTGGGAATTTCGATTGATTCTCTGCCGTCACTCATTTTCTGGCGTCGCCCACAACTGGCAACCTTTTCTCCCCCTCCCCTCTGGGCACACGTTGCATCCAGGAACACACTTTTCAAACCCCAGTTCGCCCAATTGATACCCGCCAAAATGCCGCCCAAGAAGAAGGGTAACAAGGCCCGGGCCAACGACGACTGGGAGAACGAGCTCGGTGAGAGCATCGCCCCCGCCGATGGCGCTCCAGAGGCTGCTGCCGAAGCGCCAGCCGAAGATGAAGATGCGGGCGGCGCGGGAGGTTTGATGGCCACCATGCGCAAGAACAGAGAGAAGAGGAAGAAGAAGGGTATTGAGGAGCCCGTCGAGCCCATCCCTGAGCCCGAAGCTTCCCCCGATCTCGCCGAGAAGGCTCCCGAAGAAGCCAATATGGACGACGAGTTCGCTCTGCCCGAGAAGAAGGGCAAGGGTGGCAAGGGTGGCAAGGGCAAGCAGGCCGCCCCTGCACCCGCTCCCCCGGCCGGCGAAGACGATGATACTTCTGGTCGTGTGTTGACCAAAGCTGAGAAGGAAAAGCTGAAGAAGGAGAGGGAGAAGCAGCGTAAGAAGGAGCAGGTGAGTATCAACAAAACCTACTGGCTCTGCACATGATCGCGCTAAACTCGTCGCGCAGGCTGCGAAGAAGAAGGGCGGCGCTCCAGCGAAGGCTGCCGAACCGGCCAAGGAGGCGGCTCCGGAGAAGAAGGACACCCCCGCGCCCGCCGCTGCTCCGGCCCCTGTCGAGGAGAAGGGTGGTAAGAAGAAGAAGATCCCTGCTCATCTGGCCATGATCCAGAAGCAGCAAGAGGAGCTGCGCCGCAAGCAAGAAGAAGAGACCCGTTTGGCTGAGGAAGAGAAGGCACGGATTGCCGAAGAGGAAGCCCGCCTCGAGGAAGAGTCCAAACGCAGGGAAGAGGCCAAGGCCCTCAAGAAGCAGAAGGAGAAGGAGAAGATCGAGCAGCTCAAGAAGGAGGGCAAATTCTTGACCAAGGCACAGAAGGAGGAGAAGGCCCGCAATGAGCGCAAGCTCCAACAAATGCTTGCTGCCGGTATCAAGGTCGGTCCCAGCGACGAGGGCGAGAAGAAGAAGAAGCCCGTCTACGAGAACAAGAAGAAGGGAGGTCGCAAGCAACAAAACCAGGTATGGCCTAAGAGTCTGATCTTCGGTTTCTGAGATCGGTTGGCTTGGTTCTGATGCTAATCACGCAATGTAGATCGACGAGGAGAAGGCTCTCGCCGAGGCCGCCGAACGCGCGAGGCAGCAGGCAGAGCAGCTGGCCAAGGAGGCGGAGGAGAAGGCGGCGAAAGAAAAGGCCGAGGCCGAGGCCGCCGAGGCCAAGAAGAAGGCTGCCGAAGAAAGCGAGTTGGAGGACGATTGGGAGGCCGCTGCTGCCGCCGAAGACGATGATGTCAAGGACAGCTGGGATGCTGACACCGAAGATGAGCAAGAGAAGAAGGAGGCGGCCAAGGCCAACGGAAAGGCCGGTGAGAAGTCTGCTCAGAATGAAGACGAGGACGATGATGAGGACGAGGAGTCCGAATCTGAGTCCGACTCTGAGGATGAAAGAGAGTCCGCCGCCCGTCAAGCCGAACTTCAGCGCAAGAAGGAGGCTGCTGAGCGTCGTGAGAAGGCCCACCAGGCTGCTCTGGCTGCCAGATCCAAGGACAACCTGCGGTCCCCTATTTGCTGTATTCTGGGTCACGTCGATACTGGAAAGACAAAGCTTCTCGACAAGATTCGTCAGACCAATGTCCAGGAGGGCGAAGCAGGCGGTATCACTCAGCAGATTGGTGCGACTTACTTCCCCGTCGAGGCCATCAAGCAGAAGACTGCCGTCGTCAACCCCAACGGCGAGTTCGAGTTCAAGGTCCCTGGTCTCCTCGTCATCGACACACCCGGTCACGAGTCTTTCTCCAACTTGCGATCGCGCGGTTCGTCTCTCTGTAACATTGCCATTCTCGTCGTCGACATCATGCACGGTCTCGAGCCCCAGACGCTGGAGTCCATGAGAATGCTGCGTGACAGGAAGACTCCCTTCGTCGTTGCGCTCAACAAGATCGATCGTCTCTACGGGTGGAAGAAGATCGATAACAACGGCTTCCAGGAGAGTTTGGCTCTCCAGCCTAAGAGCGTCCAGAACGAGTTCAAGAACCGTCTCGAGCAGACCAAGCTCGCCTTTGCCGAGCAGGGTTTCAACGCCGAGCTGTTCTACGAAAACAAGTCCATGGCCAAGAACGTCTCCCTCATCCCCACTTCTGCACACACCGGTGAGGGTATCCCCGACATGCTCAAGCTGATTGTGCATCTCACTCAGGAGCGTATGGTTGGATCTCTCATGTACCTCTCCGAGGTTCAGGCCACTGTTCTCGAGGTCAAGGCCATCGAGGGTTTCGGAATGACCATCGATGTCATCCTGTCCAACGGTATCCTTCGCGAAGGTGACCGGATAGTCTTGTGTGGTGTAGAAGGAGCCATCGTCACAAATATTCGTGCGCTGCTGACGCCGGCACCACTGCGTGAGCTCCGTCTCAAGTCTGCTTACGTGCACAACAAGGAGGTCAAGGCTGCCTTGGGTGTCAAGATCAGCGCTCCTGGTCTTGAAGGCGCCATTGCTGGTTCTCGTATGATGGTTGTTGGCCCTGACGACGATGAGGACGACCTCATCGACGAGGTGGAGTCTGATCTCGCCACTCTGTTTAGCAGAGTCGAGAAGACGGGCCGCGGTGTCAGTGTCCAGGCCTCTACCCTTGGTTCTCTCGAGGCCTTGCTCGACTTCCTCAAGGACTGCAAGATCCCCGTCGCCAACGTTGGAATCGGTCCGGTTTTCAAGCGTGATGTTATGCAAGCTGGCATCATGTTGGAGAAGGCCGCAGACTACGCCGTAATGCTCTGCTTCGATGTCAAGGTCGACAAGGAGGCGCAGTCTTACGCCGACGAGGTCGGAGTCAAGATCTTCACTGCAGACATCATTTACCATCTCTTTGACGCCTTCACGAAGCACATGGCGGATCTTTTGGAGAAGAAGAAGGAGGAGTCCAAGATGTTGGCCGTCTTCCCTTGCGTCCTCAACACCGTTGCCGTCTTCAACAAGACAAACCCTATTGTCGTCGGTGTTGACGTCGCGGAGGGTCAGTTGAAGGTCAACACCCCTATTGCAGCCGTCAAAACGAATGCGGTGACGGGTGTCAAGGAAGTCGTCAGCTTGGGCAGAGTGTAAGTTCTTATCACCCCTTTCCAAGTACAGAGAGATGCTAATTTCTACTCAGTACTTCCATCGAACGTGACCACAAGCAGATTCCCGTCTGCAAGAAGGGCCAGCCTTCCGTGGCCGTCAAGATCGAGATGGGTGGCTCTCAGCCCACGTACGGCCGCCAGCTTGAAGAGGCTGACACTCTGTACTCTCTCATCTCCCGTGCCTCCATCGACACGCTCAAGGAGTTCTATCGCAAGGAGGTTACCAACGACGAGTGGCAACTCATCATCAAGCTCAAGCCTCTCTTCGACATCCATTAAATGCACACCCCCCAAAGCAATTGCGTCTTTCATTTTTTTTTGGGTTCACAAACATGTCATGAGGGTTGTGTAATGGCTGGCCAAGAGAAGTATGAACATGAAGGGATGAAAAGGTTGGCGGGAAAACATATGGACGGCATGGACATGGATGGATGGACACGTAGGTGGAGAGAATTGCGAGAAGAAAAGAGTTTATGTTCTTTTGTGTACGAGACATCTTCCCCCTCCCTCAAAAAGAAGCCCCCCTCCAAAAGCATTCTTGCGGTAATTCTGGTCGCCATTAAAGGAAGAGAGAAGAATTTTCATGAAGCACTTGACCATGTGTGCGTGCCGCTTGGTAGCGAGCATGCTGACAAGCAACTAGGGGAGCCGCACTCAACTTCCTCACCACCATCGCTCGGGAGGCCTGGTCTGTAGACATCATTGAAATTCCAGAATATCATCAAATTGTCATGTCATTGCTCTCATTCCATGATAACCGTCGAAGCTGCTCTAGCCTAATAACCCTATGCCAACCCGAAAGAAACCATAACTTGGGTCTATTCTATCTTCTTCGTTGCTTCTTTTTCTCCGTCACCACTACTTCTCTTGTTCAGAAGTCAGCCAAGTTCACGGGATTCTATTTCGTGCCCTCGCCAGCCTCCTCGACCTCGGGCTTAGCGTCTGTCATCTCCTCGTCCTTGGGAGCATCCGCAGACTTCTCGGCCTCAGCAGCCTTGCGAGCCTCCTCCTCAGCGGCTCGCTTGGCGGCTTTCTCAGCCTCTACTCTCTCTTGGACAATTCGTCGCTCCTCCTCTACCTTCTCGAAGTGGCGCTGGACAATGGGTCCGGCCATGGCACGGATCTCGTCAAGCTTGGCGACGTAAACAGCCTTGGTGGTGTCCTCGCCCTCGTCGTAGAGCCAGTCCTGAGTATCATGATTAGTTGAAGCATACTTCTCGGTAAATAACAATATGCACTCACCTCGCTCGCCTCAAGCTTTTCGCGAATCTTGGCCTTCTCCTCGTCACTGGCGAACTCGGCGTACTGGTCGTCGAGCTTGTTGCGGAGATCGTAGATGTATGCCTCCAGCTCGTTCTTCTTCTCCTCCGTGTCGGCGACGAGCTTGTCCTCCATAACCATGGCCGCCTCCTTCTCCAGGAGCGAGGTTCTCGCGGACTCGGAGAGCGATGCTGTGCCGCTGACAATAGGAAGATCACCCTTGCGGACCTGCTTCTTGACCTTGCGGGTCTTCTTGGGTCCATCGTCCTTGTTGTCAGTCTCCATGGCCTGCGAGGGAAAATAAGTTAATTTCGGCTCATCGGCATCTCCAGAAACACGAGCAGGGGAAAAGCCAGCCTCGGGGTCGGCATGGTGACGTCGCCGCTTCAGGGGCGACTCCTGGTAGCCTCCCGATTCGGAAGACACTGTTTTCGAACGAAGCGTGGAAACACTCACATCGGGGTCCTTCTTCTCGCCATCCTCCTCCTTGATCTCCTCCTCAACCTCCTGATCCTCGACGTAGTAGCCACTCTCAACGTTCAGGACACCGTGAATGTTAACACGAGCCTTGAGCTTGCAGATCATGAAGTCGTCCTTGCCATCGGCCTTGACGCCCTTGACAGAGAAACGACCGATCCAGGGGTTGATCTTGCCGGGCAGCTCTGCAGGGTTGGCATAGCGAGCCTCCAGGTCGAAAGGCTGCTTGCGGTAGAAAGTAAGAATCTTGGTCGACGGCAGAACGTTGCCGCGGTTGAAGACGGTCAGGCTGGTGTCCTCATCAGGAATATCGGGGGCCTTCTCCCAACCAAACTCGATGGGGTAGCTCATGATGTCCTGGACAGTGAAGTCACGGACTCTGAACACAGGCGACAGGATAGCACAGCTGAAGGCTGCACCACGAGCGACAGCCTCATCCTGGTTCAGAGTGTAAGACAGGGGCTTGCCAAAGAAGTCTTGAATTCTCTCCTTCAGGGCGGGGACACGGCTACCGCCACCGATGACCTCGACAACGTCAATGTCGTCCTTGGTAAGCTTGGCATCGGCAAGAGCCTGCTCGAGAGGAATGGCAACACGGGTCAGGAGAGGCTCGACCATAGCCTCGAACTCCTGGCGGGTGATCATAGCCGAGACATCGATGTCGTTCATGATAGACTCGATGTTGACGGGGGCCTGCTGGTTGGCAGACAGAATCTTCTTGCACTTCTCGGCAGCGGCGATGGTTCGGGCCATGGCGCGACCGTTGGAGTGGATGTCGATCTTGTACTTGCCCTTGAACTCCTTGCCAAGGTGGTCGACGAGGGCCTTGTCGAAGTCACGGCCACCAAAGTGGCGATCGAAAGCAGTACCCTTGACAGCCAGCTCGCCCTTCTTGAACTCAACGATCGAGCAAGTGTAGTTGCTGTGGCCGATGTCGACAAAGGCAACGCGGCGGGGCTTCTCCTCAGGGGCGGGAAGGTCGAGCTTGGTGATGCCCCAGCCGAGGGCGGCGGCAGTCGTGTCGTTCATGAGGCGGAGGAGCTTGAGGCCGGCAATCTCGGCAGCGTCGATGAGAGCGCGGCGCTGGATGTCGGTGAACCAGGCGGGAACGCTCATGACCAAGTCGGAGACGGGGAGCTTGAGCTCAGCCTGAGTGGTCTGCTTGATCTTGCTCAGGTACATGGCAATAAGCTGAGTGTTGGTGAACTTTTCCTTCTTGCCCAGGTAGGAGATCTCAGCGCCAACTTGTCCGTTGACGTCAACAAGGGGGGCAGTTATGTATTGCTGCTCGATCTGGGTATCAGGGTCGTTGAAGGTGCGGCCAGCCAAGCGCTTGAGGCAGCTGACGGTGTTCTTGAGGTTAGAGATTTCTTGCGTCTTGGCAGACTCGCCGAGGTATCGCGACTTGGGTCCGAAGCCGACGACCGACCTACAGGATGGTATCAGTTGAACTGGTTCGAGCATTTGCAAGAGTTTGGGGGTAGAAAGGTACATACGGCGTGGCACGGTTGGAAACCTCATTGGTGATCTGTTGAGGGCAAATGTCAGTTATCTTTCTGTCGCAAGTCCATCTTTTTTTCCCTCCTCGAGGAAGAGGAGGGGGAGGGGCAGGTAATGTTGGGTACGCACCACATCGACACCGCGATTTCTGGCGACGGCAATGACCGTCTTAAGGGTTCCGAAATCGACACCTGTAGGAGACAATGCGCATCAGCAACCGATCCGGCATTTGGGATATGGACGGGCGACAAAAGGGGGAGCGGTGCGCTCAACTTACCAACGACACTCATGATGGGCGGCGGTGTTCAAGTGCTACTCGGTTGTGTAAACAAGGGTTGTCCAGCGGACTTTTTTGGTTGGTGAAATGTGGCGGGGTTGCTCACAAACAGCGCTGCTGGGAAGGCAGATATGGTGATGGGAGGTTGAAGTGCGTGGATGGCGGTTATCCGACTTGCTGAAAGGGTATGCGCAAGCGGTCGAGTCGATGGGTCGTCTCGTTGATGTTGGGAGAAAACAGAACACAGGTAAATGCAAGGTTTAAAGAGTTTGTCGATATGCAAGAGAGCCTGAAGGTGGGATGTGCGTGGGAGCGGGCGTGGGAAAAAAAAAGTTGCAGAGGCTGCGTCCCTCCAGCAAGCGGCTAGTCAGACCGGGGCCGGTGAGGTAAGAAGATGGGGGGGAGTTCAGATGTGTGTGTGTGTGTATGTACTCCTGGTCGAAGCTGTGGTGGGGAGGTACTTGGCCAACGCTAAGTAAGGTAGACAGTGTAGGCCAGGGATGGTAGGTGCGCTGTACGGTTCGAAGACAGTGGTCCTGGCAGTGAGTCGTACACAGCAAGAGGCGCTTCTTCTCAGTGGATGTTGCGTGCTGGGAGTTTCAAAGGCATGGATTGGGCGGGACGGGAACGTGTGCTGCCCCGCCAGAATTTTCAACAGGTGTCGGTCCGCTAAATATTGGTGGGCGCGGAATGGGAAAGAAGATTCTCCCTCGTTCTTTGCTGTTCCCCGGGCCTCTCACCGGAGGAAAGATGCCCAGGTCCAGGCCTGCGGTGTCCGTCACCCCTCCAGCCCTGCCCCTCCGCCCCTCCACCCCTCACTTGGCCATCTCCAACTGGCTCCAGCCTCTGGAGCCTGCTACGTAAGTAAGGCGAGGCAAGCAGCATTCAAGGCAAGCATCGTGGGTTGCGCCAATGGCGGAAAGGATAGGATATGCCTTATGGTCCCCGTGAAGGACACCTCATGATACCAGTGTCCTCCATCCCTCTGAATCCAACGACATGGCCGAGTCCTCCAGGCTTCAAGTTCACTCCTGGCCCTCTGTCGCATGCCAGCTCCTCGCGCGGGGCCACGCCCGCCCAGGGTATAGATACAGCCAGGGATCCTTCATCTGTCAAATCCAGATTGAGTTCCGGCGCACTAGCTCCGACCCAGCTACACAGGCACGAAGCTACCAGAAACAACGCCAAACTTGAGGCTGTGGCATCAATGGTAGACCGGCAGACGTGCTCCGTTGACAGCGTGAGCCATCGCAAGGCCCGGAGCGTCTGTCGCGGTGAGAAGGCCATCAGCGTCGGGCAGCTCATCTGTGATGCTGCTTAGTACCCAAGGCAGGCACTGATCAGTGATGCAAGTGCAACCCACCCGGTTTATCTAATCTAATCTTGGCGATATCCACCCGATGTGTAATGCAATCCCTCAAAGACACCACTGTTGCCATGTACATCCCCCTAGACTTCCCCCAACTTTACCTAAGATGCTACCTGCCGTCCAATCCAGCCTAGAGAATCATCAGTCGCTCTCGGAGCATCATCCGGAATACTGCTGATATAGACGCGAACCTGCCCGCCTGGCCAGGAACAGGACCGAGACAGCAGCTTGGCTTACCATGGTTCTTCCTCCTTCGGCCTACCACTGGCTGTGCCATCACCTCTCATTACCCAATATCATCACAATCCAAGATTTCAATCGCTTCGAAGCCACATTGCATTAGGTAAATCTTGCTAATAGGTCGGATATTGTTATCATCTGCCGACTGCCGCACAAACTCGACACAAACAAACTCTTCGCTTTCAGGCTTTTACATGGCCGACGTGTGGGCACAACGATTTGAGTATACAAAAGGAATGATGTTGATGGTGCCCACACCTCTTTACCTGTCAGCTCTTCTCTGAACCCCCGTACCAACGCCAGTAATATGCATATGAACCCATTCTTCTCACCAAACCCCACACTTCAGTCTCCGTTTTCAGCTGCTTCACCTGCCATTTCCCTTGGGGGAGTGGTCTCGGCTGGGCCCACCGCCGTTGCTGGAGCTCTCTCCCTCAGACTGAACGTCTTCCAACGGGCTTGTGCGAACGAGACTGGCACGTGCCAGAGGGCTCCGACCGCTTCGTGCCGAGTGTGACGCGGCAAGGCCTTGACGACCTTCACCAGACTTGGGCCGATTATCAACGTTTGCCAGCCTAACGTTGTCTGTGTAAGGGCCTCCTTCCAATGGGTCAGCGTCATGGTATCCGGCTCGCTTCATTTCCGACTCGGAGTACTCGTACACCTGACCCGAAGCCTGCTGTCCGCCGAATCGCTTAGAATTCGCCAAGAACTGGTTGAACTGGCTCTGCTGTGCCATTTCATACTTCTTGCGGTCTTCGTCGCCCATGATACTCTCCACACGTCGAGGAACATAGACCGAGTTGCCAGCGGTCTGCGACGACACCATACTGTCGAACGAGTCGCGCGACTGCAAGGCCCACGCCGGCCCGAACCCGCTTGGCCCGGACCGGTTGACGGTGACCGGAGAGTCTTCTGCGTTGACATACCATCCGCTGGCCGTCTTCTCTCTGGCTGCGAAACGTCCCTCGAGGTTTGAAGGTGGCTGTACCACGCTGTGCTTTCGGCCCATTGGTCCCATGTTTCCCTTGCCACCTGCAATGCTTTCCTTGCGAGCCTGTGTGGCAGGGATGAAACTCTCCGGCACAATGTTGAGTTCGTCTCCATTTTCCTTGGCTTGCTCAATGGCTTCCTGAGGTGTGGTATCAACATCGGCAGTGGCGGCGTCGGCTCTCGGTCCTCCCCAGGTTCTCTGACCGGCGGTGAAAATGCCGTAAACCATGTAGAACCAGTTGAAGAAGGGGTTCAGGATGAACATGATGGGGTACAGCCAGATCTTGAATCTCCTCAGCTTGGCACCGAAGTACAACATCATCAGCCAGTTCAAACCCAAGGAGATGGCGATAAATCCGACCGGCAAGTTCTCGACCTTCTTGGAAGTCGTGATGATGGCAAGGACCATGATGAAGAACAAGAGGGCCGTAGTACGGATGGTGTTTTGCATGAAGCGGACAAGAACCAGAAGGGGATAACGTCTCCAAAGACGCCAGTCAGTAAGCATGCAAACCTCGTTGGTGATGAAACCCAGGAACCAACGCCGACGCTGCTTGATAAGAGACCTGTAAGTCTGGACAGCCTCAGTTTTGCAGAAGGCCGAAGTGCACATTTGGATCTGATACCGCTTCTTGGCTCCAATCATGAACAAATGAGTGAGCCAACGGTCTTCACCCAAATGGCACTTTGCAAAGTCGAAGAGATCCTCGCATTGCTCCGCCTTATCAGCAAAGTAGTACTTGGCCATGCGACGAAATGCCGAGAAACGTAGCATTGTCAAAGCTCCAGGAAGACAGGTGACGGCACCGCATCCTGACTCGACAGTACGCTCAAAGAGTTGGCCGTGAATATACTCCATGTCTTGAAGTAGGGTGATCAAGCTGTGCTTCTTAGTCGTAGACGTGATAACACCAGTCATGGCCAACATGTCTCGGTGGTTGCCGGGGCTCAGTTCCATGTCGAAAACGAAGTTCTGCAGGCAAGTAGGGTCGAGAATGCAATCAGAGTCGATGAAGAGAATGAAGAGGTTGTCGTTTCTCTTGAGGTAAGTCTCGTAGACCTTGTCGATGAGCTTGAACGTAGCCTTCTGGCAGTGGCGCTTTCCTCCGTGGGGGAAACGGGAAACCGTAATGCGAGCGGACTTGTAGGTAACGTCGATACTCTTGGGGTACGTCTCGAGGGTCAATGGCACTCCTAGTTTTTCGAGGGTGTTCAAGTACAATTCATCCTCCTGGTCGCCATCAAATGACAGGAAGACGTGAATACATGACGGCGGGTAGTCGCAGTCGACGACAGAGTTGATGGCGACGACAAGGACATCGGGGTCTTCTTTGTAAACGGGCATGACAATCACAACCTTTGGTGCGGAGACTTCGTCGAGAACCTGCTTGATTCTCTTTGTGCGACCCAGCTGATTTGTAACCAATTGGTAAACGCAGAAGAGCCATGGAATGGTCAAGAGACCGGCAAAACTCCAGAAGGCAAACCATTGAAGGCCCTTGACCATGGCGTCAGGCCACACTGCAACGACCACACTAGGTAGCGGCAGAGTGACGATCATGATGGGGAGGAAAATGGCTCTGCAATAGGGTCAGTGGGGTCTGAGGATATGGTCCGCACGCCGAGTACCTACCTGAAGCATGTGAACAGGATGCCAACGACGACTGCCAGTACCCTAATAGTCCAATGTTCGGCCTTGAGGAAGACCTTCCACAGGCAGTAACAAAATGCAGCAATCCACAAGAACCATTCCAAGATGGCAGCCAGCATCACCACGCCGACAATCGCCGTGTAAACGATCTGAACATCGCGTTAGTCAAGACTGGCCAAAGAGTCTTTGCCAAATGGTCGTTGCTTACGTCTTTGGGCGCCCATGAGTATTCCACATCGCCCGCCATCTTGTATGATCGATATCTGTTGTTCTCTGAGCTACAGATGATGAGGTGAAGAGCTATGCAGGCTCGTTTGCCAAACCCGGGAGGGCGAAGTGCCTGACGGAAGGTTGCCCCTTAGCCGTCCCAAGAAAATTCAAGTCGCGGTGTAAGAGACGGGGCCGTGCAGGTTCGACGTGGTGTGCTCGGGTGGTTACAGTTCGCTTGTTTGGGGTGTGCTATCTTTATCACTGGTTCCCGAGAGTTTGTGGAACAGGAAAAGTCGGGCTGGAGGAAGGTATCGTGGCTCGGAGGGTGGCGACCCGGCGTAGAACTTTTCGAACCAGTGCACCACTGATTATGCGGCTGATTTCCGTACTTGCTGATGGGATAGATGCTCCCGAAAGACGGGTTTTGTCCTCCCAAAGGCGAATGTTTGTGGGCGCCGTTGCCTTTTTGATGCGTGTGAGTCTGGGGTACCTTCTCAGTTACCGGATGAGGCATCAACTCACCTCCCAAACCAACGCTATCCCCCCTTCTGGCTTCCCAAGTGCCACAAGGTTGGTCGGATATGATCGAGTCGTCAGTCAGGTCTTATGAGGTCAACGAGTATATCATCGGCGGGATCAGCAGTCGAGGACAAAGAAGAGCTGAGGAGTGATGGGAGCTAAAGAGGCGCTGAATGGACAATCAGATGATGGGACGGGTTGACCGGCTTGTATATACGTCTTGAGAGGTCCTGAGCTTGACGTGGGGGGGCGACGGAAAGGGAAAGGGGCCGTCGACGGAGAGGCACCGATGGGTTCGAGACTCGACCCTAGGCAACACGCCCGGTTTGGATCTTTCCGGCACAGGCTGATTAAGTGAATAAGCCAAACAGAAGAGAGCAAGCAGGGAAGCAAACAAACACCCAGAAAAGCGAGCAAGCAACGTTCAGGGATGCCCAACATGCACGGGTCAGGTCACAGTTGTTTGGATGGACGCCGACACCGAGCTAGAGAATAATTTGGGGGGCATCAAGCGCGTACGGCCGCCCGAATTCACACATGGGTTGGCCCTTTGGAATTGAGACCGGCCGGTTCGAGGCACCACACGCACTGCACGCTGCTGCAAAGTGCACGCCTCTCGGGTCCCGGAGGCGTCTTTTGGTGCGCGGTGTTAGACGCCTCCGGCTTCGTCTGCGCAGCGTGGGAACGATGACGTTCGGGGCTGCCATCGTGGCAAGAGCTCCGCCCAGAAATGCTGCTAGAGCTTCCCAGGCCGAGAACGAGAGAGCATGTAAGATATTTGGTGGTGTCAGTTGGACCCCTGGTACGGGTATTCGTAGATGAATAGATCAAGGCACATTTCCGACCTGCGGCGAAGACGGCAAGCTGGCAGACACAACGGACGTTCTTCCCATGCTTGGTCGGATTGGGCCTGCCCCATGGTCGATGTCTTGCCGCGCTCGTTGATGGGATGAGACGAGAGGATCCCGCGCGACGGGAGCAGGGACCAGGATGAAATCGATGGACATGTCTTGGCCTGCCGTGCGTGGAATGCACAGCCCAGCCGGGCCCGAGAATTTTTGGTCTCTAAGCCTGAGAGCTCCCCCACCGTTGGCAGGGCCCAAGCAGACCGCGTGCGCGATGGGTTGTCGAGACAAAACATCCGAGCGCGGTGGAAAGTAGAAAGGAGCTGTGTGGTATCCGTACGGCAAAAGGTGAGCTGCCTAGCTGCATACCCAAGCTCTGCAAGTTGTTCTTCACTCTTCATCACCTAGGATCAGACGAGCCGCTGAGCGGACCTGATCGACGAGAAGCGCAACCGGGGTTAGGCGGTGGGGGCCGCTAAGAGCAAGGAATCGTGGAGCGTGGACACTGGCTGGATGGATGACTTGGTGATCGATGTCTGCTGCAAGCTGATCGTAGTACGGCAGAGGAATGAATTACTGCATAAATGCATGCACGCACTCGGATGGTGTTTGAGCTATCTGAGGACTCTGGCCGGCATTGGCTCATCCTGTCATCTTCACCTTATTTTGGTCTTTTCACCTTTCTGCAGCTCCGGTTGCCGTGGATATCGACATGCTTAAACATCTGTTCTTACCTAAACCTTACCTTTTTTCAGGCGACATTTTCCATGGCTGACAAACGGAACAACAAGATCAGACTGTCTGACGCGGAACACCGAGAATCTGGGCTCCCACGAATGAGATTATCTTGTGGTGTTTTCCAGAATCCTAACACCGTCTAACAAGCCAAGACTGCGTTGCTTTTCTTAGACAATCGGGACTACCTAGGTAGGGAGGCGACATTGAAAGAAGCTGTCTACGAAGACGAATAGAGCTGTACCGGGTATCCACACATGTCTGCAAGAAAGACGCCGATTGGCCCATCCGGGGTTTCTCTTCCGCCCCATTGTGAAGTGACCGGGATGGTGCGCTAGGACAATTTAGTCCAGGGGCAGCCAATCTTGCAGATGAAGATCCCGGCTGTGTGGGGAATCCTTTCCTCACCACAGCACGCTGCACGCTCACATCGCCAATGCCGTCGTTCCCTCTTCAGTTCTCACTAGGTATTTCAATGGCCCACCAATCTGTAGGACAAATTCCCCGAACTCCGGATCCACACTACCCTTCTACGCTGAAGCTTTCAACCGAGGAAACATACGGAGCGACGTACCGCACCATCATGACGCTTCACCAAATTGTTTGAACCGCAAGCACGTTCGTCAGTCCTGGACTCGACGCATTTCACTCCCCAGCATAAAGGCCTCTGTTCGTCTCAACGTCAACATCGCAACGGCCAAAAATGGTCAATTTGCAGATCGTCGCATGCGCTTCTCATCCTGCTTCCCAGGCTAGGCTCCATGCCGCCATAGTCTCTTGTCTGAGGACATGGTAACGGTACCATCTCCTCCTGCCCACAACGTCCGTGGACGTCCGAGCGGGCTTGGAATCATCGCTGGAATGTGATATTTCAGGATATCCTGGGACAACGGCGGGAATACGAGACCTCCTGCCACCGTCTGGCGCCTCTCGAAAATATTCGAAAAATGACACACGCCTTCGTTTGCGGCTTCTCTCCTCCACTTCAAGCCTGGCCCCCGACGGAGGCCAAATGGCTATCCATCACTGCCATCCACAGTGGCACGCCATCCCGACTCAGCGCCCATATGCATGAGCCAGCCGTCACTGAAGCAGCAAGGAACTTAATAGCTCAATACACATCGTCGATTTCCTTCGGCGCGACCGGCAGCGGCAAGCGAACGCCATCCCAAGTAACGCATATCATCTCACCTTCCGCGCATGTACTACTTGAGCTTCCGTTTGCGGGAGCCGCCGCGCCCCTCCTCGCTCGCCGTCGACCTAATTAACATCTGACGGATAAGCGACGCGGTCTACCAAACGCGAACTGGTGCCACGTCCCTTGGCTACCGTGAATGCATCATATTCCAGATCCCGTGTCAGCATGGTCCGCCATACCCGGGAGGCCTGTTCAGTCTCTATTCGTCCGTTGCCGCGGCCGCAGTTCAGGGTATGCTTTGTACCTGCATGAACTCCCAAACTCACTTCTGCCTCGCCTACAGGTGCAGGCAGGTGCAGGCAGGCACAGGCACAGTCGTCCGATATTCGTGATCTGCGTAGCAACATGTTTTCGGGACGTTGGGGGGCATCATTGTCTCGAAAACTCATGTTGGCAGAGACAAAGTCGCCTTTCCCAATGCCACTTGCCCCTACTGCCTCGCCCTCTTTCTTCTCGCCCACGAGTTGCCCACGAGATGAAACAAGTGATGGCGCCCTCTTAAAAACTGCCCCAACTGAAACACTTACACTTTTCGTATTTCCTCACTTGAGCTGCTAATACCTGCCAAGAAACACCATCGCTTCACGTCCATCCTAGGGGCATCTGCACTCTCCACCACACCCACTCTCCCCTCTGTCTCAAACCACATCCGCAACCGGCGTGTCTTAGCTGCCCGATTCTTCGCTAGAGAACCGGTCTGCCCTGGCCATCCTCTAAGCTTACATACATGCAATAGCACGAGAAGTGGTTGCTTAGGATGCAAATCATTTACAAGTCCGGCCTGCCTTCTGTATCGCCGCTCCCATAATCTTTCCCGTCATCACCGATCTTCCTTCCCACATAATCGCTTTAAAGATTGCTATGCTTGGTCGGATATCAGTCGACCATGATTTCAGTATCACCGGTCCTGCCGTTGGCGACCTCGTTTCGCGCACACATTGTCTGTATTTCGCTACACCACTGCCCCTCTATCTCTCTATTGAATGAATGCCATGAGTCTTCCGCCTGGAGATTAGAAGCAACGGTGACCCAGATGTTTACCGGTAGCAATACATTTCAGCCCACGAAAACGCATATCATGTTCTCGGATATGATGCTGAAGATGTGAACGTTTTGCTTCGGCCCTTGCCAAACTGAGCCTTTCCGCCGTCTACGGCCCCATACACCCCGTCAAGCTTATCCTAGCCAGTTTCGTGACTAGCCATCGCCACATTTATCTTATCTGCGTGAGTGACTTCTCCTGGAAATCATTCGCCATGAGGCCACCCAACAAACCTCGCTGGGCCTCGTGGGCTGGCCATCCAGATTGGCTGTCGGTTAAAGTCTTCAGGAAAGCCTCAATCTAGCCGAAGGCGGCCGGTGGTACTTCCTGTTGCTCGGGGCACGGAATCTGTGTCGTGGTAGACTTGGAAGTCGACCCTACACGCCAGATCTCCCGGCGACTCTGATGTCGAGTCGATTTCGTGAACGGCGTCTGATAGCCTGCGATGAATAGTTTCCTGGACCATAGTTCCGTAGGATGCACTTTCTTCACGTCCTGTACTCAGAGCGAGGTTCCCCCCGTTAGCAAATCATTCTTGAGTGTGGCGGAATCCGCGAGACTGTTTCTTGCGAGCATCCGATTCAGGCTTCTAGCCCATAGCTGGTTTGCCACGCTTGTCGACAACGCTATGAAGATGATGCGTCAAGGAAGCCTTTGACTGCTCCTTTTCATCTCTGTCCGTCACTGCATTGGAGCAT